CAGGTATGCGGAGTGGGGGAAGCTTTCGAAATATGAAGCTGACAGAACATTCAAACACCAAACTGAAATTGATAAGGAAAAGACCCGATATGCGACAGTAGTGGCTGTTGATTCTGTCCTATGTTACATCCTCTCTTTTATGTGTGAAGAGGAGGCCAAGGCGCTGGAACAGCGATCTCCCCCGATAGACACATGGCGTTCAATTGTTCCTTTATCAAAGTTTGTTGCCGAGAAATGCTATACTTACCCCCCACTCCATGGTCTGTGCAAACAGCTCGAAGCTATTATCCGACAGCATTTGTTTGATATGGAGATTGCTGCATTTGAAAAAGTACCACTCCCGGACTCCGCCTCCAAAGCCCCCACTCCCGACTCGGGCACCAACACAAACGGTGTCAGCATCGACCGCACAACCTACCTCAAGCACCGAAGCACCATTGTCCGCGAGGCCCGCGAACTCAAGGACTGCTGGCTCGACGGCATGCGCTACCTCACGCTCGACGTCATTCAAAGCCAGTTCCCCCACACCTGGGCCGAACGGTCGCGCAAGTTTGTTGATCCCACGGCGTCGACGCTGAAGGTGGGAAAGTACAAGCACTCGTTTCAGCTGCCGCTGCACCCGAATACGTGTATGATTGAGGCGCTGAACTTTGGGTTTCTGTTTCTGCAGGAGTGGGCGGCAGCGGAGGGGATAACGGATTTCAAGAGTAAGCTGGGTGTCTTTTTATGAGGACCCATCGACCGATGGGGGCTATGGGGACTGGATGGAGTGGGGTAAAACAAAATGGGATGATTTACAATGAAGTTAGGAGACAAAGGATATATGGCTTATGTGTGGGGCTTCTGAAAAATGGACCTCTTACTATCACTCGAATAACTGACTGATCGACTAACCTAGCTTCTAATGTGAGAAAGAGGGAGGCGCATTAACTACTAATGAATTTTCTGTCTATTTTTTTTTATACCTAAAAACGGTGTTGGGCCTGGCCTTTTTTTTTCTTTACGGGAAGGGGATTATTTAGGGGGTCATCAATTTCTTTTTTTAGTCCTTTTCTTTTCTTGGTTCGTTTTCCTTTTGCCTTTTTCTTTTTCATTTTGTTTTTGCGTTTTTTTGACAAGGGCAAGGGAGTTTTTTGTGTTATAAATTTTTCTTTTCTCTCATCTCCTTTTATTTTATTTTATATATGTTCCTAACCTGATTTGTCATCTTACAGCTTTAAGTAGTAGGTATTCAATAATTTGTTCCTCTCTATCTTCTTTTTTCTTTTTCTGGTTTCTCTGGTTGTTATCTTATCTTATCTCCATCTTATCTTCAGCAAATGGATCTGAGGGAATGGAGATGAGGATTGGGGATTGGGATTGGGAATAAAGACCAGCAGCTATGTAGTGTTACGATGATGCTTTTCTTTATCTTTTTCTTTTCTTTTGCCTTATTTTTTATGTCTCCTTTGTACGTGCACGGCACGAGCTTTCCTTCCTCCTTCACCGTTCTCGTGGGAATGATGGTGGGGACTAAAAGTGGTATTTACGTCTTTTCTTTCTGTTTTGTTTACTCTTCTCTGATGATATGAGCCTGTTTATACTACCTACCTAACTACTTACCACCCCCCCAGTACCCCCGGATATTGTAGCCTTCTAGTCTTTATTGTTTATTACCCACCTCACCACGTCTCGCCCTCCCCCGATTCTTTGCCCGGCTCACATGGTAGCCTGTGTGAAGCGGGGAGTAGGGGTGGTGCTTGTTTTTTTGGTTAGTCTGTTTGGTTGTTTATTGGGTAGGCAGTGCTATAACTGGAGCTGTTATGCCTGCCCCCCTTCGTTCTTTTTTGCCGTTTTCTTTCTGTCGTTGAATACGCGTGGGGATACTTTTATCGCACTTCTTCTTATGTTATGCTTGGACCTTCACTTTTCCTGCCTTCTCGTTGCGTTATGTTTTTTTTCCAGCTTTGGCCTTTTTCTTTTGGGGTTTCTCCACGGCGCCTTTTTGTTTTCTCCCTTGCTTTCCCTTAACTGTTTTTTTCTTTCTTTGGGATATGCGGTTCAAAAAAAACAGTTCTTTTTATGTCTATAACTTCTTTTTTTCCCCACCTTCCTCCATACCGGCTAGTTATAGCCATTCTATTCTTCTTTTGAGCCTTTTTTTTCCTGTTTTTTCATGCGTGTTTTTTAGATGATGGGTGTAGCTAGGTGTACAATATCGATGGTTCTTGTCTTTCTCCCCCCCCTGCCCGATTTCCTTTTTCTTCGATTAATCCTTTTCTCTTTTTTTTTTTAAGTTTGGCCCGCGGGGGAGGGGAAGAGGCGAGAGAGAGATAAAATAAATTTCTTGCATATGATAATGGGTTGTGCGTACATATGGCGGATACGGATACGGGGTTCTTTGGTCGTGTGTGCGGTGTGTGATGGTGTGCGGTGCGGTAATGCGATACCCGATGAGGTGCTGTGCACCGAAGGGGGAGGGATGGAGGGAAGGGTATTGGGTATCGGTATTGGTGTTGGAGTGGGGAAAAGTAGATGTGAAAGTGAATGTGAAAGTGAAAGTGAAAGTGCAAGATCGTAAGGATACTAGTAACCGGGGCTTTGTTTCATGTGTTCTAGCGAGACTTGTCTCTCTTAAAAAAACAAATACTTAACTGTCGTCGGAATACTAAGACATGTTGGTCCCTGGTTTTCCGGCGGGCGCGCCCCCCAATGTTCGTCCCATAGAAGGCGGTCGAGTCAACATTTACTCACTCTATTTCCTACCCCAGCCCCTAGAGCTACCGTAGAGCCTAGGCACGGTGTGCCACGTGCTTTTTACACCAACACTGAGAGAGTTTCAAGAGCATTAGAAAGACACCGTACCATCATTTACCGCTGTAGCTCAATACAAGTAGCTGTCGTCTAGAGGGACCGAGGTCGATAATTCGAACCTCCCGGACTCGGTGGAAACACTGTACAGTGACTTGGTAATATAAAGAAAGGAGTAGAGCGGGATGGTTCTCCCTTTTGTTGCTCTGCCCCCTCTTTTTTTTTTCTCCTTTGGTAGACAAGGTATAGACTACACAAGACTTAAATGCGGAGTTTACTAGCACTTCATCTGCTAGTTAGCCTGCTAGCTTCTATCCTACCTCCGGCAGGGAATTCTCAGTTCTCTTATAGCTTAGTAGGTAGCACGAGGTATACAGACATATTTCTAGGACAAGCCCGGCCTTCAAGATACTAGGGTAACTAAAGTCTAAATAGTATAATCTTCCTCCTTGTGGCCGGTCAGGAAGTATTATGATTGGCCAATCTTCTTGGAATCAGGTGGGTAGAAGAGTATAGAATTAAACAGAACAGCAAAAATAAACGCAACAAATAAACCCCACCTACCCAGCCGCAACCAACCCCTCTGAGTCTCAGAGGTCACTCCTTCCCGGCGTCTGCTTTAGGGTGAGCGGCATTTGCTTCATTTGTCCTGCTTAGGTAGGCCCTCATTCTCCTCCTCCTTTTCTCACTCGCACTTTTCACCCATTTGCGGGGGAAGGCATGGGAGATCCCGCTCTTCATGCTAAAAGTCAAAGAGGATACAGTTTTCACGCAACCATGGTACACAGCACGTACTCGCTCAACACCGGCGCTTAGAGACCGGAAGAGGGGGGATAATATATGGTTACTACTACATGCAGCTGTGTAGTCATCTACAGCAAAGCCTATCATAACCCCATCCCCGCGATGGCCGAATTTTGCTGGAGTTATCGGGGGGTGGGGTTTAGAGAGAGATATTTGTTAGCAAGCCGCAATTTTTTGTTCCCTCCAAACGTTGGAAGTTTGAGGGGGGTGGGGTTTCAAGCGGATATGTTTCTCTGTAGTTATGACCACCCATCTACCTATTGGGACTTACCTACCCATCGCGGATACCAAACTAGCTCGCTGTTCCTTCCGCCCCTCCCCGCCACAGCGAGAGCCGACGCCCCGGCACACACAAGAAAGTAACTACAGCCCTGTCGAGCACATGCATAAGTCACTCGCAGCTCTAACAATATAGCCAGCTGTAAAGAATCTACAGCTTAAGCTTCTCAATATTGTTGAGCTTACTATAGCTAAGTAGCTACATGTACCCACGTACTATCCAAAACTACATCCCCCAAAGAAGCAGCAGCAGCATTCAATCTAACTCCCACCCCCCACTTCCCACACACCCTACCTCTCCCCGGCGCAAAACATAAAGCCAGGTAGTCACGTGAAACACTCACATCACACACCATCACTCGATCCTCACAGGCCATCACTCGCTGCTATGGTGTCGCGCCATAGGGTGTCACTCGGTATGCCCCACCCACCCGCCACCACTCCCACTCCCACTCACCACCACCACTCGCCCATCCATGGACACACATACAACACAAGCTTAATAACTCGGAAGGTGAACAAGAACACTACATACTAATTATTTAACCCCCCAACACCCCAATAGAGTACAGTACAGCTACAGACAGTATTATAACGGTACGAATAAGCTACCACATCTTCCCCCTTCCCTTATCCCACTCCCCATCCCGCTCTCTCCGTTCCCCGCTCCCCTCCCTGCGGGTATACAACATACAGCAAGCCAGCCCAACCAAGAAGAAGACACAATAGAAGAAAAATAACACAGAAAGAAAGAAAGATATCAGAGAAGAAGAAGAAGAAGAGGGGATATAGTAACTACCCAACCACGCAACTACCTAACAGTGGCTAAAAAATTTCGTAATCATACACCCTACCTGCCTACCATCCAGGCCAACGCTGCAGCAGCAGCAGCAGCCGGAGGAGGAGGAGGAGGAGGAGGACCATAACACTTCAAGACAAGAAGAAGAGAAGAAGAAGAAGAAAGACAATAGAAGAAAAAGAATCCAAACACAAGACAAGAACAACAGCAACAAGAAGTAAAGTAAGACACACATCCAGAACCGCAGTGAATCCACAAGAACGTACAAGAACCAAAGCCCAACAGGGACAAAAAAAGGAAGCCAGAGGTTTTTCTAATCCTCCATCTCCTAGTCCCTGGCTCCTTCTCCATCTACCCCTTCGTCGCCTTCGGCTTCCTCCTCCTCTTCATCGTCGTCGTCGTCGCCGCTGCTGCCGCCGCCACTAACGACCTTCTCGCAGCCCTGGGCAAAGAACATCTTTGCTTTAAAGTCGTATGGGTTCTCGATGGAGTACAAATTCCCTATTTCACACATCTCACATGTCAGCTTGCTTCCCACCACCAAAAAAGAAAGACGTAAAAAAAAGTGAAAAAGAAAAGAAAAGAAAAAGCCACAAACCTCTCGGCACCATAAACTGCGCCCCCCTCCTCACCCTAAACGCATTCTCGCCGACCCTAACCGCAACCTTGCCCTCAATGACATAGAAAACCAAATGCATCTTCCCCGAATTCTTCGTCCTCTTCACGCCCCCGGGCGGGATCTCGACCATACCCGTCCCAAAAAACTCCTCCGTACACGTCTTCACAAACGTAAAATCCCCATTCGCAACCTCCACCGTCACAATCCTATTCCTCGAAAACGCCAGCTCCCTCTCCTCCAGCTCCTCCTCCTCCTCCTCCTCCGCACGCCTAACACCACCACCATCACGCCGAAAAGTCTTAACATACCCCCTCACCACACCAATCTCCCCATCCACCACCCTCGTCTCCCAATCCTCCTCCTCAGGATCACTCTCCCCCGCCTCCACCTCCACCGCCTCACTCCTCACCCGCTTCTTCGCAGCACCCCCAGCAGCAGCCCGCTTCCGCTTCACCCCCCGCTTCCCCTCGTCCTCGTCGCTCTCGACGCGTATCACCTCCGCAATCGTCGGCATCGCCATCGCGTCCTTTCCGCGCTTGCCGTCGAGCTGATACACCACCTTCTCTCCGCGCCAGAACGCGAGCGGCGGCAGCGTCGCGCGGGTAGACCTTCTTGCGCCCGCGGCTGCAGCCTCCACTGATGCTGCGCGCGAGGGCGGGGGCTGCGTGATGATGCGCTGGGTGCCCCTTTTGCCGATTACTGCTGCAGAGGCGCGCTTGGAGTTGGAGCGCGGCGTGAAGGACTGTAGTTCGGGGCTGAGCTGCTTAGTGGGTGCTTTACCTTTACCCTTGGCATTGGCATTGGGCTTGGCTTTAGTTTTGGCGGCGGCGGCGGCGGTGGTGGTCTTGGAGCGCTTCCGTGACGGGCCAGCTTCTTCAGTGTCCGTGGGCTGCTGCGTGGCCTCGAGTGGCGACTCGGGGATCTCAACGACCTTCTTTGCGCCGGCGCGGCGGCCCCGTGTAGTGGCGGGCTCAGAGTCCTCGGAGTCCACTGCAGGCTGGGCCGCAGCCTTCTTGACCCGCTCTGTCGCCTTCACCGCCTTCTTCCCCCCTGCGCGGGAACCCTTAGCTGCTGGCGCAGGCGGATCCGACTCGACCTCCTCCTCCTCCTCCTCCTCCTCCTCCTCGTTGTCAACGACCTTTGCAGCGGCAGCAGCTTTTCCACGGCCCTTGCCCTTGGCCGGCTGTTTAGGCGCTGCCTGCTCTTCTTCTTCTTCTGCTTCTGCTTCTGCTTCTGCTTCAGGCGCCGAGGCCTTCGCAGTCTTCTTCTGGCGACCTCTCAATTTCGGCGCTGGCGCTGGTGCTGGATCGGACTCCGTCTCGCCCTCAGGCTCCGGCTCCGGCGCCGTCTTCGCGGCCGTCTGTTTCTTTCCCCGGGGGCCGTCTTTTTAGCGCGTGCGTTCTTCGTCCTCGGCTTCGCAGCAGGTTCCGTATCAATCTCCATCTCCATCTCCGGTTCTGCCTCCACTTCTGGCTCCGGCTCCGGTCCAGCAGCAGGCTTCGCAGCCTTCTTCCTCCCGCGCGCCACACCTTTCCGCTTCGGCGTCGGATCCTCGACTACTTCTTCTTCTCCCTCCGCTTCCGGCTCCGGCTCTGGCTCAACGGCTTTCGCCTTCTTCCCCCTGCCCGCTGCAGCCTTCGTCTTCGTCGTCGGCGCCGGGACCTCCTCCACCTCGGTGTCCTCGTCCGCCTGCTCCTGCTCTACCTCCGGTTCTTGCGCCGCCGCTTTCGCAATCGTCTTCCTCCCGCGGTTATTCGCCGCTTTCGTCTTCGCCACCGCCTCGACCTCTGTATCGGCCTCCGACTCCGGCTCCAGGACGACCTTGGCCGCGGCCTTCTTCGCGCGCGCAGTGGCAGGCTTAGTTTTCGGCGTCGGCTCAGCTTCGGCCTCCTCCTCCTCGGGCTGTTCCTCCTCCTGCTCTGGCTCTGATACGGCTACCGCCGCCTTCCTGCCCTTCCCCTTCGCGCTGCCATTAACCTTCTTCTTCTCCGTCGACGCCGCGGCCGCCGTCTTCCCCCTCCCCTTCGTCGTCGCCACCGGCGTCACCGCCGCCTCCACAACACTATCCTCCTCCACCCCCCCACTCCCCCCCAACTCCAACTCCCCATCCGACTCCACCTCGTCCTCCATCAACGAAAACGTCTTCTGCGCCGGCGCCGGGGGCGGCTTCTTACTAACCAGCAGCCCGCCGCCCCTCTTCACCGGCGCCTTCTTCGCCTTCACCGGCGGCAGCGACAGCGCCGGCGACGACGACGCCGTCTCCTCCGCCACCCCCGGCAGCACCGGCAGCACCGGCGAGCTCTCCACCACTGCTGCTGCTGCTGCTACCGCGCTGGTAAACAGCACCCTCTCCACGACGCCCTCCGCAGGCGTGCCCAGCCCCACGCTCGACGCCCTGCGCGCAGGCGTGACGCCGCCGATCGCCGTCTTTGCCGGCGAGCGCGCGCGCGGGGGCAGCGACGCCCGGTCGCGGCTGAGGCGGGCGGGGGTCGGGCTGGTGGTGGTGACGAGGTCCATGCTCATTGACAGTTTTGCTGGGGAGCTCGTGGGCTGCTGGGCGGTGGTGGTGGGGGCAAGGTCAGCGGCGGGGGTTTTGGATTGTGGTGGTGGGGCGGGCGTTTTGATGGGGGAGCTGAAGAAGCCCGAGAGTGGCTCCATGCCGAGTTCGTCGCGGTGGCCGGTGTCGCGGATCGTTACGCCGGTTTTGCTGGTGTGTGTTAGTACTGCGGGCGTGCGAGCGAGGGGCAGGCGGGGGAACAAACTAAGGAGGGGAGGGAGCAGTGTAGAGGAGAAAGGGAGAGAGAGCCATACCGTCCAGCGACACCGATATCAGTAAAGTTTGTGTCGCGCTTTGGCGGCATTGTTGCAGACTCTTACAGGTTTCCTCCTTGATGCTTCAATGTTTTTTTCTTTTCTTCTTCTTCTGCTGGTGATGGTGATGGTGGTGGGATTGTTATTGACACAGACACAGACAGAGACACAGACACCCGGATGGACTGCGAGCGGTATCCTATGACCGGGGGGTGTAATTGAGAGAGAGAGAGAGAGAGGGCCGGGAATGGATTGATGGGTCCTGGGTATATCGTGGGTCAGAGGAGTGTCGTATCGTGCGAGGGTCGAGAGCGAATGAAGTCGTTGAACGAGAGCGATGCCAAAAAGACGTGTTCCCCTTCGTCTGTGTGCCTGGGGACGTGTGCTACGGCGTGTGTGCGCAGATGTGGGACTGTGTCTGGGTCACGTGCGTGCGTGCGTGGGATGAGGATAAAGATGTGTGGGGGGGCACGTGTGGAGGTGAGGGTGAGTGGGAGGTGAAGGGGGGAGTGGATGAGTGGAGGTGAAGGGGGGAGTGGATGAGTGGGGGTGAAGAAGGAGGGCACCTACGGAACAGGATCTCGTGTGTGAGTGTGTGTTTCGAACCTCATCTATAACCAAACCTAGCCTACAAAACACTCAGAATCAAAAATCAAAAAACCAAAAATCAAAACCCTCTTCCTTCCTCTCTCAACTAGTAACTTTTGGTTGTTTCCCCCCCCCCATACGATCGACGACGAACTACTAACCCATACTTACAATATAAAAAAAGAAAAGGAAGCCTCACAGAAGAGATAGATAGATGCACATGAACACAGACACAAACTAGGTAGGACCCAAGAACAGCAGGAACGAGACGAGGAATCAAGAAGTGGGAGATAGAATATCCATATCCCTTCCTTCCTTCCTTCCTTCCTTCCTTCCTTCATAAGGACGATATGTAGAGCACTCACTCATCATCAAAAAAAAAAGAGAGAGAGACTAACAACTAACTCCGTGCACGCGACCCGTTGGCTCCGAAGACAAGATAAAAAGAAGTAAAAAAAAGGTTAAAATAGAGGAATAGAGAAAATAGCCAAGAAGATGAAGATGAAGAAGAAGAAACCTCTCTCTCTCTCTCTACACTCTCAATCCCATCGTTCCATCCCCCCCCCCCCCCAAAAGGTTTATATATCAATCGTGAACAGGGACAAGAACAAAAAAAAAAAACGAGGAAAGCTACACCACACGCACATCCGCAATCCAAGATCTCCCAATCCCCAATCCCCAATCCCCAATCAAACCAGAAAAAAAGAGAGAAAAAAGAAGTCTACCAGAAAATAAAACCACTCTTAAGAAAAATCGTTACAAAAAAACACCGCAGAAAAAAGGCACCACAGCTACGCCCTATCTACAGGCCTAGCCTAGCCCCCAAACACCATCTGCGCCTCCCTACAATGCCCCCCATTCGGCCCCTCGGAGCCCACACACACCAAGCACGCATCCACAATATTACTCAAGCAGCCCTCCGTCGCACCCAGCACCGCCCACCCAATAGCGCCCGCAATCAAGCCCACAATATACCCGTACGCGCTCCCGCCATTGATGTCCCTCGCGGTCGTGACCCATGCGCCAATGCCCATACTCAGCGCCGTGATGCCGCGGGTGGCCGTCAGCAGCATCTTGCTGAACTTGTAGGCCGTGCGCGGGTGCTTCCCGGTCCCGTATCCCGCCGTGTCAATGAACCGCATGCCGGCGACGGCGCGGGACGACGCGATCAGCGGCTGTGAGTGGATCGCGGCGTATGTCAGTGTCAGCGGGTTGGTGAGTGATGCCACGGGCGAGGTGATGAAGCTGTAGCAGAACATGTGGATGAAGGCTGCGATGCGTCTGGGGGCCACCATCAACGGAACGCGGACCAGAAGTGCGACGAGGGAGGAGAAGCAGATTGTGCCAAACAGAGTGGTGGTGGAGTGTGTAAACGCGGCCTGCATGATATCCTTGGACGAAGCTTTCGGAATCTGGTGTCTGTGGAAATACCATTGGGAAACTGTTGCGGCAGAAGTTGCCCTGTGAAATGTTAATATCATGAAATGCTGAAAAACCAAAAAATATCGACTTACCTCTGGATATTTGAACAGATCCCCAAAGTCCACAAATACATCATGATGTAGTATGTAGCGAGCATCATCATCTTGGTATCCAAATGCCACAACGGAACACCTATTCCCGTCAGCTCCACCCAACCACCACCATCTCACAGCAACAAAACTCACCTCCTACAATGTAGTTCCCCATCCAAAACATTCTCGTAAACATGGCCACCCACACCCAAGTAAACACACAAATGGCACCCAGGGTCCCAAAGCTCAAAAGCACCAGGGCTGCATTCTCTCCAAGGATTTTACAAGCAAGCTGGATAATTCCTATAGCGCGGCCGAGCGCATTCTTCCCCCTCCACGCAAAAAAGACCCAGAATGCGGCCATGACTGCGGGAAAGATACTGCCCCATCTCATTGCTTTATCTTGCGGGGCGTCACCTTCCCATTTCCCGCGATACGACATGATGAGTGGGTACATGCTCAAGGCCACCAGAATTATGGGCACTGCCCCCAGTATGAGGAAGAGCAGCGGTTTTACAAATGCCCGGAGAAGGTACATCCACACTAACGAAACCCCGATTGCAAGAAGTGTGTCCACTGTGAGAAGATGGATTGAGGACTGTATCGTGCGATATACTGTATCGAGACCACCCAAATTCAATTTTTCAGTGTGTAGCCACACCACGAAAGACGTGGTAAATAAGCAAGTCATCAGCACCATATATAAAGTTCCCCATATCGCATCATGTGACGGAGGTTCTAGAGGTGGATACGCCACTTGTTGCGGAATCTAAAAGACACTTAGTATAAACTTGGATCGATCAACCCAAGCTCAAAAAACAAACGGGAGCCATAGCGGGGAAAGGGTGGGGAGTCTTACAATGCTCATATGGGGCCCGCGCGGCTGCGTAGGCGACGACAGTCGCGGCATGAATGTAGTCTCCGACTTTTTATCTGGCAAGTTAGACTTTGGCGGCGGCGGTCTTCGGAACTGCTGGAACGCAGGTTCCTCCTCATCATCGTCCGACGGCATCTGAATGCAGATATCCCTTGGAGGCCGATCCGCACCATCGTCATCGTCTTCATCCTCCAACAGATGCCGTCTTTCATAACCACCGAACGGCCTTTGAACAGCCGATTCTACCATATCCGAATGGTCGATCCCCTCCGGCATCATTCCCAGCCGCACGCTATCATCCAGGCCAATATCTACCATTCTCCCCTTTCCCTTCTCACCTTTTTCCGTCCCGTCGCTCCCCACAGAGCTTGTTCTCGACGTCGACCTCACCGCCGAGGACCCAGCGGACTTTGACGCTCTCCACGAGCTCCTGATGGTGTTTGTGTTTCCCAAGACCGACAACCTCGACTTCCCCTTCCCCCCGCTCTGCCGTAGCTCCTGCGTGCTCCCACCAGAATAGTCGCCATCTTCCTCGTCGTCTTCCTCCTGGACTGTCGCGTTCGAGGATGCATACGCCCCGAAATGCCGTCGGCTGCTCTTCAAGGCATAGAAGTCCTGCACCTCCTGCTCGTGCTCCTCGTCCGGGGGCATAAAGTCGGCAGCCGAGTGGAATAGCGGCGCGGTGTTGTGTGGATTGTTTAGGCGCCCCTCACGTATAGCACTCATCCGAGTCTGGGACTGCGCCAGGAATCGGGAAGCATCTGGAAGAAACACATTTTCTCAGTTAGCTAGGGAACCGGGTATAGCATGCGAAGTCGAGTTCGGGGGAAAAAGAAAAATATGAAAATAATATCAAGATGCGATAGGTGGATGGGGGGTGGTAGATGGATGAACGCGATGACGGAACTGGAAGGATAACATCATTTTTTCTTTCTACGGAGGGGTTATGGGGAGGGGTTCAAGATTACATTCGGAAAACATGATGGCGAGGCAGAGATGCCTTTGTGCCCTAGCGAAACAGCAGCTATCAAGAACGGCGAAGCGGCGGCAGCGGTAGACGAGAGTGGGCCCTTTATCAATAGACTATTGATAGAAAGTCGATGGATAAATATGTTGTTCGTTGATGGGGGGTGGTGGTGGATGGTGGGTGCGGACGCTCAAATGAGAACGAGAGGTTGAGAGAGGAAGATGAGACGGCACTTTGGTTGTGTTGTAGACGGGGGAGTAGGAGGGAAACGGGGCCCAGGCGAGACACAGGACTATGTATGTAATAGGTAGGTTATGAAAGAGTCAACCTCTCTGTCACAAGCAAGCAAGGAAGCAAGGAAGAAGCACAGGGGAGCTCTATCGATCAACAACCAGCGATAGAGACGATGCTCCAAAGGGCTTTTTCCTTTTTTGCAATCCCTGTGGGTGGGAAGCTGGTGCCTTTGTAACAAAAAAATAAATAAAATAAGGGTCTCTCTACAATAGAAATCATGCATACCACCTACTCTACTCTATGTACCCACTGAACTTACCTAGCTTGTTGGAACCCTTCAAGGCCAACTGACCGACAATGATAATAAAGCAGCCATCCGCATCGACATATCACGCTGCTCAAGTTCTTGTGCGCTCACTTTTCTTGCCACAAGACCGAGGCCGGAGGAGCCCAGGGAGGAGGAAGGGGAGGAGGGAGGTTACTAATATCGCCAAGCCACGTCTCCACATGTCTGTCTGGCTGTCTGTCTGTCTGTCTTTCAAGATCATGGAATCTTTGACTCTTAATCTGCAGGCAAAATACACACGCCGCAGCCTGTTGCTTCGCTGGCCCTTGTAGTACCCTTCACTCTGTACATACAGATCTGCTACAAAAAGGTCCCGTTGGGGAAAGCATATCCTGTATCCACCTCTGGCTCCGCGGCCAGCGACATGCTCCAGAGCAGATAGCACACACTTCACTCACCATCATCCCAGTAAATGTATGTAAGAAGTATATGTGCATATAGCCAGCTTCAGCCTGGGGTCCTCGACTCTGGCTCACATCGAGGCAAGGGTAGCATGGGTCAGGTACGGCACCCTGCTTGCCGAAAAGGGTTTACTTGGGCCATGCAAGCCACGAAGCGAGTGCAGAATTAGGGGCAAGCGAAGCTATTTTTGCTCCCCCACGGACGATCCCCTAACCAAACGTCAACTTGAGCCTCATGTCTGTCTCCTCTGCCGGAGTCTCCAACATGCCCAGCCAGATCTGGGTCATAGATTCATCATAGATTCATCATTGACTTCTTCAGCCAGCCGGGGGGAGCAACAACCATCACCTGAACAATCAGAGGCTTTCACAAGCAAAATACCCTTCCCGCAACCAGATCATCTGTATTCGTGCAGCCCTTCCTCAGTGGGACTGTAAGATCTAGCTTCCTTCTCGTCCCTGGGACCTGGATTCTGTAACCAGGCAGGGGTTACAGCTACCTACAGCCATGATGCTAGCGCCATTATGGAATCCACCAAATGGCGCTGGCAGCAAGAACCTGGAGCAACAGCAAACAGGACAAGTCAAAGGCCCTTCCCCCTACATACGTGCAGTATTAGTGGCTTGGCAGGTTAGATGTTCCCGCAGGGGCACGATAACACGATCTAAGCAGAATTAGCTTTCCCCCCAGTGTTCCACCAGTGCTCCAAATGCAGTAGAAACCTTTTTTGTATTCTTCATGGGCTGATTGACATTGGTCATCAGGCACAAAACCGAAGGAGATGACAAACGGTATGTAGCTACATGTACCTACTTACACAAGGACGGGATGAGTTGACGGATGCGGTTGTCTGCAGCGACTACAATACAACCTAATCAGTAGATCCATCATGGTTTATCACTCGATTTTCTGGAGTTCTGACTCATTCTTATCTATGAACACCTGCGCACAGAAACACAGGAAGGCAACAACTACATATAGACCCTTTATCAATATTCATGCTTACTCAGTGTTGTTGTTTGTGGATGCAGGTATAAAAGGGCAAAAAGAGACCGCGTCATCCACTTTATAATACCATATAAGGCATCAGTTCCAGCCACGGACCATAACCCCAAACATGGCTCCTAGGCTCGGAAGTCCAAAATCAATGCTCAGGAGTCTATGTAGGGTTATCTTGCCAATATATCTTAAATCTTATGTCGAAACCTTGTATTAGCATATACTGCCACATCACCTGTCATGACCATACCAGAGTTCCCATTATCGATCCAGCATAGTCACTAGTAATTTGAATAGAAGGATTATGAAGAAGATCAATCTCAGGCATTAAGGGTAGTGCAGTACAGGAAGCGTTTGCTTTCGGATGTATCTTATTCAGGAATCTAGTTGAAATAACCCCAAGAACTGGCTGATAAGCTGAGCCTCCAGGGTGCGAAAGCGGGGAAGATTATGGTAGAGACCATGTGTAGTGTGCAGAATATCCGTTCCTCCCGTTATATAGCTGTATTTGCGTACAGGGCTAAGATTTTATGGCTTACAAAAGCAACCGAGGCACATACCTAATCATACCTGGTCACTCGCTTCTAACGAGCTTGAGGATTCAAATTGTGCAATTAGCTAATATCGATTATATATCATCTGGCTGGGCCCGGGATTCTCTCACAACATTAAACCACAACCACTTCAAGTAGCCGGCGTGTTTCATAGAGATTTCTGCTACTATCCAAAGTTGAGCTGAGAACTATTATGGTGTTGTAGTGTTAACTTAGAATTTAGTCCCGTGGCTTACACTAAACCGTCACTGTCACCGTCACCGTATGAAAATAATTGGGGGGTCTTACAAACGCCCAGCTAACCTATCGACATTCAGATCATTTGAGGCTCGTAATTGCCATGCTCCCCGGAGCTCATGATCACGGGTTTAATTCCTATTCTTCCTTGGTTATGGTGGGCTATGAAAGCTAGACAAAGCTTTCAACCTTTCACAGAGTAGTGTCTGGGAAGAGTTCTGTTAGTCTCACAAGCTTTATGTGATATCAATCCTCAGCCCATTCAGGTGGACTACCATATACACTCAATAGGCCCATTGATTCAATCGACAACTTTTTGGGAACAAGAAACACAACATTTATTATTATAAAAGCACAGCAGATCAGGCCCGCATGCAGGTGACCAGTGCCTTCTCCACACACCTTTTCCCGCCCTCACCCTCCAGACTCTCGTCCCCGCCCTCCTCCATCTGCACACTCTCTTCCACCGCCGCCTCATAAACTGCATTCAAGATCTCCTCATCAACCCTCACATTATGCCTCACCAGCGCCGTGACACAATTGCCCACCCTCGCAATCTCCCTCCTCGTCGCCGGCGAGATAAACTCATTAACCGACGAATAAATCGCCTCCGACGCCTCCTCCTCCAACCTCGTGATACTCACCTCCTTCCCATCCCTCTTCCCATCCGCGCCCGTCACCCTCTTCGAGATCCACACATACCCATTGATCCCCAAGATCACGTCCACCTCCCCGCCGCCGTTGGCCATCGTCAGCGTGAGGATGTGCGACTTGGACCGCTGGATGCCCTTCGGGTCGACCTTGATGAAGTACCCGTTCCGCAGCTTCCCGTACTTGAGCGAGCGGGTATGCAGCGATGCAGCACCGTCCTGGAACAGCGACTGGACTTCCGCGACGAGCAGGTCGCCCTCGGAGAAGAAGGTCCGGATCTGGAGCTCGTCTGTCGAGGTACGTTTCCGGAGGATACCACCCGGAAGGTTGATCGACGACAGGAGGAGATGCGCCGTCTGTGTGCTGTTTATATCGACTTTCCAGCGTTTGGATTGCACCTAATATTCACCATTCACCATTCACATCAGCTCCCACACACCCCCACCTCCAACGCCAACACCAACACCAAACTCCAACGGCAAAACACACCTCCATAATCCGCCCTACAACTAAGTCTCCAATATCCGGCGTATATCTTGCCCTCAGCGGCTTGACGCTCAGCAGCTTATTCGTCTTCGTCACGCTCCCCGCTACAGTCGCGACAATGCTCGTCCCCATTTCTCCCTCCTCCGTCTCAGCCAGGTAGGTTCCATGTCCCCTCATCCACTGCGGATCGCTCGTGACGACCTCTCCGGGTGTCACAATCGGCATTCTCCCGCCAGCGCCTCTCTTTTTCGTTGATGAGTCGCCCATGGCGATGTCGCCCTCCATGTCTTCATCTTCTTCCTCCCCTTCGTAGTGTTCATCGGGCCGCGAGAACTCGGCGAATTTGTCCGTGTGGGTGTCCCGAGGAGGTAGAATTGAGATTGGCATCTTTGGATTGCTGGAGGTATGTGGCGCTGCTCTTCGGAGGTCTCGTGTGTTTTTCTACTTTATCGGTGAATTGGATAAGGTTGAGGCTCTGTAAGCCCAGCATGCGTAAATCTCAGTCTGGTGGGATGATCTACGCCAAGAAATTAACCCTGACCCTGACAATGAGTGACGGTCTGTGATCTCAGCCCTATTGGTGGGTCTATTATGATTTTTATGTCTATCACGCTGCTAGCACAAAAGAGTGTTGATTTTCGAGGAAATGGTCTCTATTCCTCTTCGTCATTTCAAAATAGCCAATGAGTAAACCCGCCACCGCCGGATGTATATACAGGAAAGCACCGCAATGCTTTTGTGGTAGCTACAAGTTAAAAAACAACAAAAGGAAATCTCATGGTAGCTAGAGTACAGATAGATAATTCAACAAGTGATACACCCCGTTTTGGAGAGAAACAAAAAAAATACTAGTAGAAGGTGGTATAATAAAAAGAACTGAAGAGGTAATTTAAGCTGATATAGAACAGGGTTATTCCACAGTATCCATCCATGGTGTAAAAAAGAAAAAGCCAGAAATATTTTTGAGAAAAGAAAAGATAAGAAAAAAAGACAGGTTAGTCTAAGCCAGAAGGAAAACATGTAAGTATTGTACAAAATACCATAAGTCAAGTCAGCAATCCTGCATACACACGTAATATACAGCCATGGCACGATTTCCCAACCATTTAACACCACCGTACCTACAACCACACCCGGAGAATTTTTGGTGGCCATAAATCCATAAAGAGGAATTACCCTCAATAATTCAACAAGAGCGATCCCCCCCCCCCCCCCCCCCACTCGCCCATATATTATCGTTTCGTCGTATAGTGTTTCATCTCTTTCATAGTCCCAGGAATGTGAAAGAAAAAGAGCGTATGAACAAGGCGTCATAAAGCAGAGCATTACCCAGATATAAGTCGTTAGAGGAAAAGTAATTCACATATAGAATGGCGCGCCCCCATCGAGGAATGCACTTCCATAGGATTGCTGTTGTACAGGGGTTGGGCGCATGGAAGGCTGGCTGTACGAGTTCGAGCGTTGGGGTGGCTGAGGGTGTCCAGTAGGGGAACCTGAAGTCTGAAGGCCTGGGCTTTGGAATACAAGGCCACCCGAGGCTCCGGGTGCTTGGATCTTCTGTTGAATCCTGCGTCCATAAGGTGTCATGCGGATTGCTGGAAGGATTGGCCTAATGCAATCGACAAGCTGTTGCTTGAGATGAGGCCCAGAGTATTCAATCTACCAATCGTCAGTAATGGATTACACATAGAGATCCTAGAGAGTATTACAGCCGTCTGAATGACATAATTTGCATATGAGTCGCGAAGCAACTTCTCCATCTCTGTGTGGTTCATCATTTCCTCAAGCAAAACCGCTTTGATTGATTGTTGTGCCACACGGATACACTAATTTCTGGTTAGCTTGGTACGCTAGAAGTAATTGAAGCTGTATGCACCTTCTCCATAACATTGGAGCTGAATTTCTGCTTTGACAATTCGCAAACACGTCCACGGAATTGAAGGATCAAGGGCTCGGAAAACATTGGCTCGTTAAGATCGACTGTAAGTTGTTAGAACTGGTCAATAGTATTAAGCTGCTTTTACTCACGGATATATTGAACAACATAGTTCCCAAAAGGATCCTGGACAAGTTGAACTGCATGAGCTGTAATCTGTTGAACCAATTGAGCTCTCTGGTCACCAGATGCATGGTCGATACAACGTTGAAGGACACAGCAGCCGTGACGATGTGTTCCCACTGGGATACAGTGTCTGCCAACAGCATCGAAGATGAACTATGTAATGTTAGTACGGATTTTATTGATTTGCACTCTAATCATTTGACTAACCTGAGCATCTTGGCCCTTGAGGCGGTTCAAACACTTCTGGATGACATGGTTACCGTTGAGATCTTGAATCAAGTCGACAACCTTGCTCTCAAGAGCATGGATGATAGTGGCAATCTTCAAACTATGTCAGCGAAGAACACACATGTAAATATCGATGGTAAGAGGCTTACTTGTTCGGGGGTTGAAATGAATTCAATCATCTTCTGCAAAGCCCTGGTTCCATGCTGGTTGAGAGCGATCTTGACGAGATTGGGAGCAGCAGTATTGACAAGGACAGTACGCTGGGCATCGTTGGCAAACTCGAGAAGTTTTTGACAGAGGTAATTTCCAAAGGGATCTATCGGAGTGCTTTAGAATAATTCTAATCTTTGAAACGGGGACGAGATAAAAAGCTTACCTGTCATGAGTTCAACCACATGGGCATGTGTCTCACGGAAGATCATCTCAACATATTGGGGATTACGTTCTTCCAGCTTCTTCTGCAAGTAACGACATCCATGCTGGTCCTTACAATACCCGTAGATATCACCCTTCAAGCTCTCGAGCTGAACGTTGGTGAATCGATTGGCTGGGAAGCACATCAGCAAACAGTTCTTCGGAAATTATTATCAAGCCGCAACAAACCTTCCCCATCATGGGCTCTCTTTGGAACATTGCGGTTTTGAGCATTGGTGGTTTGTTGAGTAGAATCACCAATTTTGGAACCTTGGGCATACAAAGGACCATAAGATCCATAGGGCGCTGCGTGAAAGACAGAGTTTGCCATGTTGATGTTTCCATACGCTCCATAGATGCCAGGAGAGGGAAGAGGTGTGATCCCAGGAGGTGTCATGACAGGCATTGGTCCAACTCCTGTCGACAGAGGAGGGCCAAATGCAAGTGCCTGGTTTCCCTATTGAATTGTAAGCTTTTGGGGTATAAATGTGAAATATTGGCTAGGTACCGAATTCAAGATTTCGCCACTAGCCGATGGTTCACGACTATGTCTCGGACGCTCCATCTGAATCCTGCTGAAACTCTGAGTATTCATATGATTGGAAGTTCTCATAGTCGGGATGTCCGAAGTCGAGAAAGATGGTTGAAGTCTCGGCATGCTGTTTTGATTTGCATGGGAAATGTCATTCCCCTGGGTCAATTTTGCTTCGAGGTTTTCGGAGAATTGGGGGAATGGTTTTTCTTCGAAACGACGGAAGGTGGTTGGGGAGTCGGTTTGTGGGACAGTAACTTTAGGCGAGGATTTGCCTGCTGGTGTGTATGGGTAATTGTTTGCTGGAAGGCTGTGCTGAGCAGGACGATGACGGAAGCTGCTCCAGCTTCCAGGCACATTGCTCTGACCATCCTTAGGCTTGGAGAGAGCAAGGTCAAGGGCGGCAGATGAGGAAGAAAGCTAAAGATAGGTTAGCTTTTGGTTATATGTATGAAGGGGCTGGGGAAGATCATTACAACCCCAGGGAAGCTATCACGACGCACCAGAACGGGAAAGTCATCAGCGTCTGTCATTTGAAGATAGGTCTTCAAAGAATTGGTTGCAGATGGGGCATTTTTGGCATTCCCGTTCTTGTCCGCTTCGGTGTATAGAAAGCTGGTATCAATCTGACCCATTCCTAGGTGTGATGAAGCAGTATCCAATTGCTGACCTGGTCTAGCAATGGAGCCATTTGGCAAAGAGTTTCTGCAAAGATCAGCACAATCCTCAGCTAGGAAGAAATGGTATTTACCTGATGTTAGATCTAGGTCCAATAGGAGCCTGATCCTGCATTCCCAGAATTTCATGTTCATCCGAATTACGCCTAGATCCCGGAACAGACCTGGATGGTTTGTGAGGCATGAAAATGCTTCCATCGTCTGTAGGAGGTGTCATAAGCTGACGGCCGTCACGACGTCCACTGCTCGGTGGTGTTGCAAGAGCGGTGGCTACAGGAACCCCAGAACTGCTAAATTCGTAGGTGGCACCGTCACGTAGTTCTGGAGGAGTAGTCGGAACACGCACAGCCGAAGGTTTATAACCTCCATGGACACTTCCTTGAGTAACCTGGCGATCCCGGTCGAGGTCCTGAGCAATACGCATGATTTCCTGCTCATCCCTTTGCTGCTGGATATGGAGGAGAGCCATCTGAGTCTCGAAGACCTTCCTTTGCTGACGTTTATGTTCCAATTCCTGCTGCTTTTGTTGAAGCTTTGCGTATGTTAGTAAGATTTTATGAAAGTGACATCTGATGGTAGCTAAATAAACGAACCATTTGGACTTTCTGGTTCCTCTATATGACTATATATTAGCTCTATCACTAGCAATAAGACCTCCGGGAAGAACATACATCAGCCTCCGACTGGTCTGCAACCTGAAGCCTTTGAAAGCTGGGAGCAAGGTCCAATGAGTCCGAGGGGTTCATCCGGTTTCTGTGGAAAACGTTGGAAGAATCCCAGCCCATATCGATATTGGGAGGTCTCATAGAATCGGTCGTAAAACGACGCTGGAGCGTTGCTCTGCTATCGGGCGTAGCCGAAAGAGGAGATTCAGCATTGTGAAGCGGGGTATGGGCGGGGAAGCGGAATCCGTGATCCTGTTGAGCTTGGTTGTTTAGAAGATTATTGGTGAACCGCATGTTTCTATCACCCACGGTAGCAGCAGCAGTGGATGAAGCCATTGCTCATGCCTAGAGTACAATTGCCTGTCAGCAACTTATTTCGTGTGAAACAGGGAATCTCAGATGACTAATTGGTTTTGCGATGCCGAGAGGACAGCGAGATTGCAGATTTGAGATGTGAAGATAGTAGAAGAGTTTGTTGTAGTGGATAACGGTTAACTTACCTTGAGGGAATGACGTTGAAGCTTGAGATCTAAAGTTGACTTTCTATACCAGTCGAGTGAGATTATGGGGAAAGCAACGATGTGTTGAACAGAAGAGTAGTCGAAACGAAACACTGGGAACACCAGACACTGCTGACCTTCTAAACAGATGAACAGAAGAAACAGCAGGGGAGAGGGGGTATGAGAACTTGAATGGGTCAGAAGTAGAGAAACGAAGGAGGGAGGGAGTTCGGTGGGGTAAAAGGAGGGTCCCTCAGGGATGAGGTGTCGGCTTGAATGTGGTTGGCGGCGGGCTATGGTTCGGTGGTGGTGGAGCTCAGAGGTGCAGTGCAGCAAGCGCGGGGCAAAGAAGAAACGTACAGGGAGTTAGGTGCACCTGCTTGTTTCTCCCAGTCTCTTTGGGGGGGGGGGGGTGGAAGAGGGCCCAGTCAGCGGCCAGATGTAAAACACATTTAGCCCCCACCATCCAGGTTTTTTGCACTCTCCATACAGTTTACAGTTACTTCAGCTCAATACATCCTCGATATGTGTCTACAAAATTCGCTTCACTCTGATCAAAATGACTAGAATCACTCTCGGCGTCTATATAGCGTACAAGCACACACACAATCACACACACACGAATTTAAGCGAAGGATTTTTTTTCTTCGAAACCATGCCGGAAGCTTATTTTATCCCGCCTCTCTAACCTTGAATGACAGAGCGACTAGTAAGCCACTCTGATAGGGCCAGCATTTCCTAGATCAATCGATTCCCGATCTATCAAATCGGGGGTCCTTATTCGGTGTTCCACTGGAAGACAACAACGACAACAAGTTACAACTGTAGAGAGAAAAAGTAGGTAGAGTAAAAACAGTCAATGAGATCTTCGTGGTAGGGCATATGTAAAGGCCCATAGGCTCACGAAACTTTTTTTTCTTTTCTTTTCTTTCTTTCTCTCTCTCTGGCTCTTAGGCTAGCGTCCCCCTACATGACATTTCGCTAAAATCGTTGGACCACTGTCCAAGATTAAGATTCAGTCGGGGGGAGGTCAGATAACAGTAAGAGCCTCCCCGCATCGGTCCGCGATATACCGGGGAATCGGGATGACGAGGGAAGGCAGGCCGGCACGATGATTTACACGATTCCCGACAGACATTGCTCGGACCTTTAAGCGCACCACACACGCACGCACACGATCTCCCGTGAAGATCACTTACTCAAATGGTTGCTGCGCGGATCCATAGATGAACCCTGAACTATGGGATGGGGTCTATCTTATGCAGCACACACATTAGCAATGACCATTACTGTCCGCGCAAGCACCACTCGTCTAACGAAATCTGTTTCCCTACGTGTAGACAGGACGTGTGTTGCTGCTGCTGCTGCTGCTCCCAGTGCTGCTGCTACTGCCCGTTATTTAGCCTTCAGGTTACATGCTATTTGCGGGAGGTACATACATACCTACATGGTAGAAGCGGGGTTTTGATCGAGGTTATGGCACCAATTCAAATCATCCAACAGACAAACTGACGGCTCTATACTAGGATGGATAAACATCATCTTGAGCGCGTCAAACGGCTACCGGCTACACTCGATGGGAGTCTGAGTGGATATCAACTTCGTTGACTGCTGCAGCAGCAGATAGACAGCGGAATATCTTCATAACTACACCTTTCTAGCTCGGTATGTATGCGGTGACCCCATGTAAGGGCTGGCTGGGGTGACACGAGTCATCGATGCCCAAACCCGCTCTGATCCACGGCTATCAGAGCCTACCACCTACATGCATGTATTATGATGTACTCTACTCTATGGCATCATCGCGAGACTGACCCTCTTTGCTCCCAAACTACGAATTGCCTTTGCCCATGGTGGCTTAGGCCCAGGCTTGCCCTATAAGAAAAACTAAATGGCCAATTAACATTTCAGTCTCTGAATTTGATGCCATTTCACGATTACAATCCCATTTAGCATCTGTTTCATGCATACGACGTCACCGAACATTACTCTTTGCACGCACAGTAATGTAAATTCCATCTGAACTTTAAATCCAGTTTTTTGTTTGAACCCCAGTGTCTTTTCCAGTAATTAGAACCCAGAGACATTTCTGACGATACTCCCCAAAACCGGACTCTACGGGTTTATATTATTTCACGCTTGATCGACACGGTCACGTGCTTACGTGGTGAAACCGTATGGAAATACGTGTGCAGTCTTGACCTCCCGTCCCGTGAATGCATATTTCTCGTAACAAAGAATGCGATGGGTACGAGCCTATACCATAACCCCAAGCCCTTACTACCTTTGAGAGACCGAGGCCAGGTGCTTCAGGCCGAAACTAAGTAACTCAGTTAACTAGTTTCATATTTAGTAGCTAGACTGCGCGTGAAACCGTATATTATTCCCGTTTCCAAAACAACCTGGTTCGTTATGAGCTGACATATAGTAGATCAAACCTGTGTTGATTGAATATAAGAGTACATATAATCTCGTACCATCCCTTTAGAGTACAGTACCTTGATGGGATGTAATTTCCCGAGGCAATCAGCCCAACTAGAGACCAAACATCAGTCTAGCTTTTTTTACTAGGTCTAAATGACGGCTAGCTTACCGCCCCAAGTTATACCAAACCCATTCGCCCATCAAACTACGGCTCCTGCCAGGCTTACCTCCAACCTCAGCGAGCATGACTCTCTGTTAACCTGAATAATCCTGAGAAACGACGGACAGAGCCATGGTTAGCTACTACCAGTGGCCATGAGCCTCGGCGAATACGGTTTATCCGCCAGCTTGGATAATCTTGGAGACAATGAACAGATATCTCAGGAAACCATAGCTTATTAGCTATAGTACCACTAGCTTTGAGTCTCAGGTAAAGACCCTCGCATAACCGCCGAGCCCACCTAGGGCTACTAGAGCCGAGCCCACCCCGCCCACCTCAGTCTGAACCAAATCTCATAGCAAACTATAACCAATGAAGAGCTTTACTGACTGAGTATTATAGGGTTTCTCTGGCAGAAAACGGAACTCTTGGGCGAATAATCCACACTTAGGACCTTTTCTCCGCTTCTAGGCCACCATCCTGCAGCGAGTATAATGACCTGTATTTCAAAGAGCACGAAGCTATCGTGTTAGCATGGCCGAATATGAGGCCCATCCGCCAGTGCATTCCCTACCAATGAGCCATGACGATGTCCACTGGATCTTATATCTGGGCAGGCCTAGTACTAGGAGATTACACTATAGCTACATATGCTCACGCATTAATCAAGTCCTGAGAATTCTTGGTAGTTACGACTTCTCAGGACCTAGTTGACGCGCGAGCTAGGCTTTGAGGCTATGAGCGCTCTGCGCGTTGACGCTACGGCACATAGCCGCAGCTCTTACTCCGTGGCGAAAATTTGCTTCATAGCACATAGCTCTTCGGCCAGAGGTTATAGATCTTGCTCTTCGATTTTCCAGACACATCCTTGTTCTCTCGAAATACCGTGGGTGCCGAGTGATAGTTCATGATTACACCACCACTCCATGGACGAGGAAATAGTCTGCTTTATAGTCGCAAGCCAGATCAATAAGACTGAGGCAACTTCTAATAATGAATCGCTCTGGCAGTTCAAGAGCTTTGTGATGCTATGATGACTAATATGGCAGTCAATTATGCCTTCATCATAGACTGTCACTCGGCACACGCCACAAGCTGCATTGTCCTAATTTATGGTTTTGGGTACATGCGGTCCTATCATCTGCTAAAGCTCACATTTGTAATGACTACTTCAACCCGCGTCAAGCTTATCTGCAGTAGTTGTTATCATGAGGATGAAGTAGAGATATGTGTTGTGGCTGTCCCGGCCGGTCTCGATATCTATAAATTAGCTAATTTCACTCGGAAGGTATATTCATGAGCTCTCTGGCTTGACGGAAACAATTATTAAACGGCTATATTATAAAATACGAGCTTGCTAGTTTACCAGTTGGAGCACCCTATATTGAGATCTCTTCAGAAAACATCCGAGATATCTTTCAATAGGACTTAATTTGTCTAAAACCTTTAGGCCGTTGCTTCTTTGCTTTCGTTATTTAACGAAAGTATAGCACTCCTTATTTGTCTGAAATGTCTCATACAACGATATGGTCCAGGATGTATCCTCTATTTGGTTTTTATTGGTTATGATACCGCCCCAAGATCTAACTACCAAGGCCAACTTATTGAGTATTCTAGCCCTGTTCTGGCCCTGCCTGGGTTTCTGCGCCTAAACTTCACGCAGAACTAATGACTGACGGCGTGTGGGATAGAGAACAATATGAAATGAACAACTTCTAAACGAATATTACCTACTAGATTTTCTTGTTTCCAGCAAACCTACATGTATTATAGAGTCACAACGACTTCGTGCCGCCAAATAGCTATCCAATTCATGACGTTTTAGGGCTGCCGCTTCGTCTGAAGATGTACCACTCCAATACTTTCGGATGAGGGAGAAAACAGCTGGGCATAAAAGGGAATTTGGCAAGTACTAGTCAACATAAGTACTAGGTGGATAAACATGGCGAGACAAAAAAAAGGCACGAGTGATGTTTTATGAACGGAGGGTTTGTGTTGCTATATAGATTCGTGTAGCGGTTTGGCTCCCCTCGCTGATCTGTAATCGGGGAGGAGTCAATGGTATTGCATACCCAAGAAGTAGCCAAAAAAACCTCAAATTCCGGCTATATAGGGTGGTAGATAACGAGTTTAGAGCTTTTGTAATTATAATTGAAAATGGAAAGCATGTCTAATAGAGAGTTTCCTACGAATCACAGCCCACTTACTAGCAGTTCTATTTAGACTGTTGCTAGGGAAGTAATCGAATACCCCATTGGCCACGGCAAGCTGTCTCTGGACTACATGTAGTACCTAGCTCTAACGAACTGCACGACTTGACAGTACTGGATCGAGGGAAGCAGCTTCCTTGCCCGTATCGGCAGCACTTCCCGCCACTTGAACTCTCCCTCCCAAACCCCAGAAACTGCAACGGGACGGATCTCTGACACGTGTTTTCCCCGGAGCACACACAGCTCTCTCTCTCTCTCTCTCTCTCTCTCTCTCTCCATGTTTGTGGTTTGCTCTCAGCTGCGAGCATGACTGTACTGCACTGCACTCCAGCCATCTCAACCAGAGCACTTACTCACTCACACTCACCCACTCACTGATCACTCACACAGACGCCCAACTTCAACACTGCACATAGATAACCCACCGAGTCCCCCCCCCCTCCCCCCCCAACTCCCCTCCAGTCCACAAATTGCAACATAAATCCCCAGCAGCTCTCTAGCGTGTGCGGCTCAAGCTCTGGTCAGTGCACCCTCATCCGGGTAACCTCGTGTCTCCAGATTCAACTCTCTCTCTCTCTCTCACAACATCAACAAATATTAATCACCATCTTCAGTCACCAACCAACCACCGCCCCTCCACGACGAGCAAACAATCAAGCAAGCAAACGTCCGTCCGTCCGTCCGCGAGGCAAACAACACCCACAATGTCGTTCCCGCAATCCCCCTCCGTGCAGCAATATCCCCAGAACGGGCAACTCACTCCACAGCAGCAGCAGCACCAACAAATGCAGATGCAATACCAGCAGCAGCAGCAGCAACAGCAGCAACAGCAACAGCAGCAATCCCAACAATCCCAGCAGCAAGCCTCCACCTCCATGCCCCCGCCCGCCTCCAAGCCCACCGACCCCACCGACCTCGCCGACGCCCTCACCTCCGCCGGCATCGACCTCAAAGAAGAAGAAGCGCGCCTGACAGCCTCCACCACCACCACCGGCACCAGCAACGCCCCGGGTACCTCCTCCTCCGACGAAGAAGCCCGCATCGCCCACCGCCGCCAGGCCGAGATCCGCACGGCCCACCTCTCAAACCCCTTCCTCACCCCCGAGATCCTGTCCAACCGGCTCTTTCGCAAGACGCGCGACGCCGCCTGCCAGCTCTTCACGCTCAACGCCGGCAACGGCGCCCTCGTCACCCACGGCCAGCAGGCCGACATCGCAGCCCTCCTCAGCCTCGCCGCAAAGGACCGCATCAACCAGTGTGTCACGCGCGCAATCGTCCTCGCCCGCGCACGCCGCCGCGCCCAGAACGTCGTCTCGGGCGAGTGGGCTGACAGCGTAAAGGGTGCGTCGCTGGACCCTATCAAGGGCGGTGGCGTCCCGGATAGCGCCGTCTCACCGGGGAACCCACTAAAGCGCTCATTCAGCTTTACGGCGGGGGAGATGGCGCCGGCGCCGGCGCCGACGACGACGCTGGCGAATGAGACGGCGAAGGCGCTGAGGGGGCTGCAGCAGCGCGAGTTCAACAAGGAGCAGGAGCGCATCGCAAAGAAGGCGAAGCGCGAGACGCCGGCCACGGCGGCCAGCACGCCCACAGTCGAGCCAACGACACCATCAGCAGCAGGAGGGGCGGGGGCGTCATCGTCGCAGGTGGAGCCGCCGTCGACGCCGACAATGTCGCTGAAGGAGTCGCGCAAGCACATTGCGAGCAAGAAGGAGGAGGTGATGTCGCACAAGGCGGCCAACGCGACCGCGAACATGATGATGGGGATCGGCGGGTTCGGGGGGAAGCGGAAGAAGAAGACGTATTCGTGGATGTCGGCCGCTGGGGGCGGGATTGGCGGTGGGGGCGGGCAGGCGGCGATGGCGCCGGTGGGGGGCGTTGGGGGGGTGGCGACGCCGACGACGCCCGGGGCGGGTGGGGGGTTGGAGTATTGGACGGGGGGGCAGAGGATTGGGGCGTGGAGGGACGATGGGGAGAGGGGGGCGGGCGTGCAGATTCGCGATTGGATTGGCGCGTTGGAGGGGGATGGGAGGGGCGTGGGGAAGGGGGTTGTGAAGGCGTATTTGAGGATGAAGTGATGGGGGCCCCCGGGGGGGTGATGAAGGGTTGGGGGGAAGGGGGAGATGGGGAGAGGGGGTAATGGGGGGTGGGGGGTGGGGGGTGGGGTTTAATACTGTACTCTTACGCTTGACATCTGTATCCATACTACTTATACTGCTAACTTCTTGGTACTACTACTACTGTCTTTGCACTAGCTAGCTAGCACCTGGTGCTTCATCGTCACCATCATCACCATCGTCATCATCATCCATAGGCCATAGAGCGGTCGGTGGATTACCTTTTTTTCTCTTTTTTTCTTTCTTTTTTTACAACGTTTTTGGAGTTAGGGAGGGATGCAATTTGTCGTTTGTGGTTTGTGGGGGAATTCGTTATTTTATTTTATTTTATTTTGGCTCTTTTTGGGCTCTTTTTATTTTGGGCTTATGTGTGATAAAGAATAAAGAATAAACAATAAATAAATAAAAAAAAGTTGGCCTTCTTTGGTAATTAGAGGACTTCCCATAGTAAATAGAAGACGTTCTAATATCCGTCTTCAGGTCATGGTTCTATAGCCTATAGCTCTCTCATCTTTGCATGTCCCAATATTAAAATGATACCTATTGATTCGTCTTTTCCTATCCTATATCCGAAGCAACAGTCGATACTTGTATATCACGGAACAGACAGAATCGATATGTAGAGATAAACAAGAATCAAAATCCTCCATCGCTTCCACTAGTCCGCTAATTGCTTTGGATTCGATCGACGGCGATATATATAAAGGCGGTTTGCCTACGTACCATGCATGCCGAGTTTAGGACGAGAAAATTAGTCAATGCAGGATTACACATTAATGAGAGCGTCCGACTACCCAAACAATACAGTCTAATCTCCCTATAAGTGTACCTCTTATAAGGGCAATCGATTCGCCTTATAAGGGTATGGATAATTCTCGGGCTATAATCGCCTTTCGTAGGCCCAAATTCCTCCTGTCTATAAGGGTACGACTTCGCGCCACTTTTTGTACCCTTATATATAGGGAGATTCGAATATATATGGGAAGGTATTTGTACCGGTAAGTATCTTTTTGTCGAAAACACATGAAAGCCGACATTACCCGTACTATGTACATACCCGGCCCCAAGACCAATGATAGAAATACCATTTTAGCGAAGAGACCTCCCTCCGCCGCCTCCACTACCTAAAAACAAACAAGTAAAAAAAAAAATCAGAAAACAGAAAACAGCAAGTCCCCGCAACCAATCCCAAGTTCCGGCAGCCCCCTCACAAAGTTCTAAATCCAGAAACCGCAACACCCACGTGAAAAGCCGGGTTACTCTAAACCCGCTCTGCAGCTAGGCTGTGACTGGTGTATATATTTCTTTTTAGACCCAATGTTTCAAGGTTGCGTGGTGTAGTTGGTTATCACACTTGCCTCACATTCAGTGCTCCGCAAGTGGTCCCCGGTTCGAGCCCGGGCGCAATCAATATTTTTCCATCCTTGTCTCCGTCCCTGTGTTCAGTTGAGGAGGGGATTCTGCGAATCTTCGTCGACCAAAGGGCAGGTGGCAATAAGCCATTTTTTTTTTTTGGTTTCCGAATTGAAGTTGTAATCTGTTTGAAGCATCATACTAGCTAGCACCCCGCTTCTACATGTAATCAATGATAGTCAACCCTACGTCTCTCTGAAACAAACAGCTGCAGCCCCACGACTTCTAGCACAGTATCGCGAAAGCACGTGACACAGACGATAGCGAATCTCTCCTGCTTAGTCATTACTTTTAGTCCCGTGGCTAGCTCAGTTATGCGGCTCTTCGCCGCGTCGCCAAATTCCAGCACAGGCTCTTGTTCACTCACCCAACCACCAAACTAACCACCCAACACAAAACCAACCCGCAGCAATACCTTCAAGATGCTCCCCGACGAGACCGTCCCCGACGCCCTCCTCTCCAGCATCAATTCGCAGTACCCGTGCCGCGTGCCACAGCTGCAGCGACTGTCAGCACTTATCGGTGATGTTTGTTCACCTCACGTGCCCTTCTTTACTTTCCCTTTGAAACCCCGCCCGCTGACCGAGATGGAGCGAAATAGGAAGACGACCCGAGCCCACCGTCAATAATCGTGCACGGCCTCGAGGCGACGGGCAAGTCGCTGATCGTGCGGGCGTTCCTGGAGGCCGCGGAGTGCAGGTTCGCATGGGTGCCGTGCAACGAGTGTGTTACGGCGCGGCACCTGACGCAGCGCATTGCGGCGGCGGTGGGGGGTGGGGAGGAGATGGGAAGGTGTGATGGGGTGGGCGCGCTAGCGGTTATGTTGGCGGCAGTGTTGGGTGGCGGCGGCGGCGGCGGCGGTGGTGATGGTGGTGGTGGTAGTGGAGGGGGGAAGTATTTTTTGGTATGGATGCTGCTGCAATTGGTGAGGAAGGTGCTGGTGAGGGGGAGATGTGCTGATGCGTCGGGTGTGTACAGGTTCTGGATAGGATTGATCAGCAGCGGGAATTGACACCGACGTTGCTGGCGGGGTTGGGGAGGTTGGGGGAGATTGTGAGTGGGGATATATATCGGAGTATTAGATGTGAAGTTGGCTAACAGCAGTGTCCAGATCCCGAACTTGACCGTTATATTCATCGTCTCCGTCTCCAAAGCCCGCCTCCTCAGCTCCGCAGAGGTCCCGCATATCCACTTCACGCCATACACAAAAGACGAGAGCATCAAAGTCCTCTCCAAGTACGTCCGGCGCATCACCAAGCTCCCCTCCCCCAACCCCCCCCCTACCACCACCGGCACCACTACCAGCAGCGGCGAAGCCTCAGCCCCAGCCGAGCCAGAAACCGAAGACGAATCCTCAGAGGACGAATACACGCCCGAGACCGCCGCCGAGGAGCTCTACGTGTGGGAGAAGTTCTGCGGCACCGTCTGGGACTCGCTGGCGAAGGGCGCGGCGCGCGACATTGTGCAGTTCCGCGCTGCGGTGGAGTCCATGTGGGACCAGTTTGTGCAGCCCATTGCGCGCGGCCAGTATGGGACGCGCAACTTCTCGCAGCTATATCTGCTACAGAAGGAGATGTTTCGGCGCGAGGCGAGTATTGTGGCTTCGGTGGTGCCCGTGGCGGAGACGATGGCGACGACGAGGGCGGCGGTGGTGGCGGGGAAGAGTGAGTTTTGCACTTCCCTCCTCCTCTTCCTTTTTTGGTGATATTTGGTTGGTTGTTGGGTGGGGTGGTGGACTGATGAGTGGTGATAGATGTGCATGATCTCCCGTACTACTCCAAATACCTCCTCTGCGCCGCATATCTCGCATCCTACAACCCTTCACGGCAGGACGTGGCCTTCTTCACCAAGACCGGCGACTTCAAGAAGAAGCGCCGCGGCGGGGGTGGCGGTGGTAAAGGCCGGCCCGCAAAGACTAGAAAGGTATCAAATCCCCCCCCCTCCCCGGGGCCCCTTCTCCTAATCCCTCCAGTCCCTTCCAAAATACACAGAGACACAGAACTAACCCGGGGTACAGATTCACCGAAGACTACTCGGCCCACAAGCATGGCCGCTAGAACGCATGTTGGCCATCTTCTATGCCATCCTGCCACATCCTATCAATTCGTCTGTGGATCTACAGACGCAGGTTAGCGGCCCTTCTCCTCCTCCTCTTCCTCCTTCTCGCACTTCCCAGAAGAAAAAGGCAAAATACTAACCATCCAACAACAGATCGCAACACTAACCTCCCTCCGCCTACTCACCAAAGCATCCGTCACAGACGCGCTCGAGGCATCGACAAAGTGGCGTGTCAACGTCGGTTGGGACTACATCAGAGGCGTCGCCAGGAGCGTCAAGTTTGACATTGAGGATTTTGTCGCCGAGTAGTTTGGGAATGGGGACGAGTGATGGTTCGTGATTAAGTGTGCGGGATGACTTTTTTTTTTGGCAAAAAACTAATGATTTTTCTTTCTTTTATTTTTATCCATTTTTTATTCTAAGTTTGCCTTTTTTGTCTTTTGATTTATTTTTATGGGAGTCAGCGGGATTTTTAGAAATTGTGGATATATCAATTATCGGAATACTACACGTAGCAGTAGAGCTTTTGCGAAGCAATGGTTCTATCAACAGCTAGCTAGTCTTCTCCATGGGCCATCTCGTGGATCTAGAGCTTGGGTCTTTGATATAGGCTCACCAAATGGCTCGAATCGGTGTCTAATGTTCAAAAACACGAAATATCCTTCTACGAAGTGTTAGAAACGATATCAGGAATTGGGGGATCACGAGTAGTCAAATATCAGTAATACCAATCAAAACGCCAGTCAACTAAGCCAGGCACTTTCACATACTAGTACTAGATATCTCTAATAGCCCGAATCTTTTCTCCCAACATCAATCACCATAATTATCCCCGGCCCTGGGTTGTAGTTGGTTCACCCGACTGTGTACTCGAGTCCGTGAATTATCACCCATAAAACTTATGCATAATGAGAAATTGGCTTAACTCGTTATCAAGCCCCCATTACACAAGTCCGAGAACAAGATATTACAGAAACCAAACCATTAGTTTAGCGGTAATTGACCTAGAAAAGGCATACCAAATCCATTACGGTCCATTGACAACAGTAATTGAATATAAGTATATAGCTCTAGCTCAAGTCGGTCCGACCATAGATGGCTCCTTCCCTTGAATCAATAAGACCCGCCCAGAATGAGCGGTGAACCCCAAAGCTTGAGTCAGCACTACCAATTCGCCGGGTGAACCGAACAACCCGTCAATTACGGCCATTACCATCTCGCCCGCGGCCGACGACCGGACAGCCCGCTACCTAGCTACCTACCGGCCGGCTGCTATATCTATCATTGACACCCAGTCCCAGTACCGCGGATTCTTTAACAAAAAAATGCCGGTTTTTATTGCCCTCTACACGTACGGTATGTTGGCCTACGCCGGACCACCAAAACCCGCCCCCGATGGTATTATTTCCCTTGAATTATTGCAATATACCAGCCTATGGGCCTGCGCCGGACTATCAGAATCCACCGCCGATAGCACCGGTTGACGATATAGCACCGGCCGGGCGTTCCAGATAGGTACAGGACCCGGAGGGTTAGGTTTTATGATCTGTACGATTCCCATTGATTGATTAATGATTCGTTTACTATATCTATCCCAGATACTATGACGGCTAACATACCCCTTACGATGATGTATGTATCCACCCGGCCGCCTCAACTAAGAGCGTGTTACAATTCCCCTAGGCAGACTACGATATCCATGGTAGCACCCGGCCGTCAAGCTGGCGGTAAGAACCCGATCCACCATGGTATGGGTCTCTCTCTCTCTCTTTGGGCAACAAGTGCATATGTGTCCCTATGAATGCACCCCGCACCACTTTCAGCCTTCCTCCCTCGGGTCTGGCCTGATATCTGGTGTCCCTCAGTCTCTATAGCTGCGATCCAAGACACAGGCGGGTATCAGGTCTGTCTGACATTCCATCTCCACTCCACTCCCGCACCTTCTCTCTCTTTCTCAGCCCCCTCCCGAGACCAGACAGCAACAAGTGGTTAGAGTTCTATAGTTAGAAAATACAACCTGATCTTGCCTTGCGACGTTACATACTCCATTCCATTCCATCCCGTCTATCTGTCTGTCTATCTGTCCCAGATCCAGGTCCAGACAGAGCCAACAGAAAAGGGTCCGATATCCTGTCAAATTTCTTCTCCCACTACCGCTCGGAGATTTGAAACGCCATCTGTTTGTTCTTCTAAATCATTGTGAATCACTCGATGATATCACACAGAACCGACATGGGTGCTAGATAAGATAGATAAAATTCCAGCCGACGCAGTCAGGTTTAGGCTTACCCTGTAGTTTCTGCTGGCGCTGTTGTTGCTGCTGCGCTGGCTTGACTAGAGAATGGATAGACTCTGTAATGGTCCATTCGACCGAGTATACGTAGAGTGCATACGTGTATCTATGTTGGCCAAGAAGAAATAAACAAGCATTCTTCCTGTAGAGAGATTTATATTGATAGTGGACAGATAGATAGGACGTAAATATGCGCGCCACATATCATGAATCCTAATGCGCCTATACGTTGCGTTTCTAGATTCTTCGGAGCCTGTTTCCTAGCAGGGACTGGGGGAATAGAATAGAGTACAGAACACCAGGTAGGAGTGAGCCTTGCAGTACGACGTAGACCGCCACAGTTAAGGTTATCGTTTCTTTTTGCTCCGACAAGTGTGTGTGAGTGTCCCCACAGAATTACGAACCAGGCCCACCGGTCAGAACTCTCTCTCAGATCCCAGTAGACTTGAACATACATAGAGTGGAGTAGAGTATCTATGCATGTGTTTTTGAGCTTTCTCCGGTACCATCCCTTCATACTCTTGGTGCGCACTCCAAGGGCATCAATGAGAACGAGTCTTTATAGATGGATATTGATATTAGGTCTTGGTAACCGGAGTATAATGTTCAACGGGGTATACAGGTCCGTAGTAATGACTCTCCCCATCCACTCACGTGCGTGGAACCAAGAAAGGAGCATACTTCCGGAAACTCTCCCGAGAAGCCAAGACCGCAAGTACATACATTACCAAGACTTCAAGTATGTTAGCAATTACGGAGATAAAAAAGGAGAAATAAAAAAACAAGAGCAACTCAAAATAACTAGAAGGTCATGTAACATACGTACATACATACCTGATACACGCGGTTTTCGGTCTGATATTCGTACAGCCTTGTGTGCCTAGCCGGGCCATGCATCTTCAATCCGGAATTTTGGCCGTTAACGCTGATGATCATTCCGGGCCCTCCCAGAGACCCCTTACATGTACCCCAAACCACCAGGTCCATACATCTTCTAGTTAACTAGGAGCGGAGCCATACCAGCAGAAAGGGATCGAGGTTCACAATTCAACCCCTGTTGCTGGTCTGGTTGGTTGGATTATCTCTTGGCGCGTGCGTAAGACTCTAATTCTTATGTAGACCGCGTATATAGCAACCTTAATTCGACTTTCAGAACCTCCTCCAAGGGTTTCAGATGTGCTTGAGCCTCCTGGGTAAAGGTTTATCCAGTAGCCAGAAGACATACCTACCTGGTCTCCGGCGGAGTGTCCTCCGCAAACTTGAGACGCTGCACCCGCGCGCGCACGACATCTTAGATCATTGGCAGGCGGCCATCTGAGTACATAGATCTGCGCTGTGTTGCACCGGGTATTGTCCTAGATTTATCGGGGATTTCCCCTTGGAAATATTCCCATAACTCGTATTGCTCCGGCTGCCAAGATGATGGTACGAAACAGGCGCCATATACGAGTGATATCTCAAGATTGGCACCGCCGCACCGCCCTGCCAAGATCGGGAAGCCTGCAGAAATGTAGGGACTAAACCCCTGCGGACGATCTCCTTGTGTGGGCACTGCAATGCATCTGGGCCGGACCAATTCCATAGAGGCCTGCCATGCCTGTGGAGGGAAAAGCAAATATTAATAAATTTATAACGTTGCCGCAGAATCTGGATAATGCCCAGACTGTATCGCATGTGTTATGCAGTGGAGCAAAGGTCAATGAGAGATAAAGCAACTTACTGGGTATGTTTCTGAAGAAAATATCTAATATCAACCAATTAACCCTTGATATATACGTGCTCTTTTCACAATTAATGACGACAGCATTCCTCTTACCCCCACATCCCGGCATAGCCTGAAACGCTCATTACTACCAATCATATAATTGCAGCTTTCATCTGAAAGTCTGGTGCAATATTCTGATTTATAGTCATGATTCATCACTCGGTTTAGAGACTGCAGGAGAGCCCGCATACACAGCGTCTGGATCATTCGCGAGTAGGTTATCCGAAATGTCCAAGGTAAAATGAAGTAGTGCCCTAGAGAATGGTGTACATTATTCTAAGTCAACATCAATAGAGCAACCTAAAATATGTAGGTTGTGACGTCTAATACTTACGCACATGTATCAGCTACTCAGAACGATTTTCATATCATATCACCTTCCAAATTACTCATATGAGAGAAATTCTATTTCGTAACGTCTCGCCGACAGCAGACTTCAGTGGTAAAGTTTTTCGCCCCGCGCACCTAATCGGACCCCACGTAAAACACACAGCATCCTGTGCAACCAATTGTACCAACCAACTAGATATCAAAGCCTGAAAGGCTTACGAGAAAGGAAGCATGTAGTTCTGCAGTTACCCGAATTCCGGTCCTACGTCATTGGGTCAGCAATCGTACCCGAAACTTCTGCGACAGAAAGGGCAATCCACGTCAAATGGTTGACGACTTTAGCGAAGAAAAAAAAAGGTAATGGCTGATAAGTAAACTAAAAGTGAACGCATGGGGGTAATGATGACCGTTCTGATTAGCTGTAACGAACGATGCAAGTCTGCCTCGAAATTTGGGGGTTCATTTGCCTTGATTAGTACCACCAATGGAGTTCAGTCGTTACGCTCGCAGAAAGCAGAAAAAATAACGGTACAAGCCACACCGCCACGCTCTACTCACTCTGGATACTCGGAAATTTATTAAGTCCCAAGTGATAGTAGCTTAGTCATCTAAGCACTCCAAACCTATTACTCGGTTTTTAGACAACTCTTGGATAAAGTGCGGATCGCATTATCATATGTACTAGTACTGGAACGGTAAAGACCACATCCAGCACATACTTTTATCTAGCCATCTTGCGAAGACTGACCATCTACACCTACTGTATCAACAGTATCCATAGATATGAGGCTCACAAGGAACCAGAATTAAGATACTGATGTTCCTGAGTAGACGTAGTCCTACGGCCTGAGAGCCGACATCGGATAAATGCCGCTGGTATGGCCGAATGGCAGCGGTGTGATATTCATTCCTTTGAAGATCCCCCATAAGAAAAGGTTAAACCCGGGAGTATTGGGTTCGCCGCTTGGCCGCAGGAGTGGGACCACTGCAAGCCTCCACTACTTCGATACCTATTAAAAGTCTAAAGATGTTCGTGGTTGTGATTGTGTTACAGATCTTCCGGTCAAAGTAATTGCCAGGTAACGGGCGGGGGGGTATCGTCTCAGGTTACAATGATCCCACGATTTACAACCACGAACACTATTCCTCATCCCTCGCTATTGCACTTCTTCAGCTGTACCTGTGTAAGTACATTGTACGACCTGTCATAAGCAAGGAAAGGACGAGAGGAAATAAGTTAATGGTGGTACACGCGCGTAGGTGACAACCAAATCTGTGGGGCCGTAACCTCAACCTCTCTGAGGACAACCTGGAGGTTCATCTTGATTGATTGAAATGACGGTTCTATCCGTTGAACTGCTAATGTGTGAGTCTGCCGACCTTAAGCGAAGAATAACAACCTTGGTAGAGCTGTTAGTAAATAAATGGAGAAAATCTTTATAAACACCAAAATTGTCCTGTAACGTCGGTTCACTAGATCTATCATATAATTCACAGGTACCGGTAAGGAAAGCAGATCATGCCCTCTCGGGATCATGCCCTCTCGGGACCGGATTCCGTAGGAAAATATTTTATAGCCGCTATTACTTAATATAGGATGATTGCACTTTAATCTGGCAAGGACATCGGCTCTGTAGGCGAAGACCAAAGGGAAGAAAAGACTTTGCCGTTTCACAGCCCTGAAAATCGCAACTCCAGCATGATCCATTCGAATATAAAACTGCTTGTAATACGCGAACCTTGGGGTCTGGAGAAACAAGATTCATCCTCTTAATGCGGCTGTCGATTATTTATATTGCCCTTGGCACTGATTTCCCCTTGGCAGTAAACAAGTGGGTCTGGAGTACCTAGGTTTTGAAAAGGGTATCTGTGTAAGAGGTTCCCCCTTCATGAGCCGAGAAACATCTCATACCTCCGTAGACCCCTTAAGGTTTTACCCAGGGCCGTGGAAATTGTGATAGGTGGTCACAAGTCCGCTTCTTGGGCCTTTGCGCAATGATTTCTGAGGTGGTGATCCCCAGGTTTCTCGGACGAATTGCTCAATGTTTTGCTTGGCTCCCCGATCCCAACAAACTTCAGACTTTAGAGTTGTCAACCGTGCATTGCGCTTCACATGCAAAGCAGATACGTAGAGTACTCAGACTCGATTGTCTATCAAGATCTTTTATCAATACTGAGATTTGTCAATGCAAATGAGTTCTAGCGGATGTCACATTCTGTGCGGCCTTAGACAGGCCGAAGTGGGTTTGGAACCTCATGTGCATGGGTTTCTTACGCGAACGCGACACAGTCACGGGAATTCGCGAGCAAAGGCAGCCAATAAGAATACACAAAGATGAAGTTACGTGGCTTGGACCAGACCCCAATGGCTTGCAGGAATTTAGCGCGTATTTTGCGACTTAAGTGAATCGCCAGATTGCCTGAGAGTTTACACCCAATGACAGCTGTTTTAGTTAATAAAGTTTACATGGGGTATTGTGCTTGTCTGGGCAATAAATCTAGAGTCCTTGGTGTTTGAGTTCTTGGACGTTTTACGATGAAGGTGTTTCTCGTTATTACCGGAGCCCCGATGGAAAAACTGACCGATCCCTGGTTCCTCCACTTGCAGTCATATTAGCCTGATAATTGTCGTTTCAGGGCGTCAGCGAAACAAGTGATACACGCGAGTGATAATTTATGATGCAACTGCACTGCATTGAAAGAAGGATACAGTGAGAAAGAGAAGGAAATTTAGGAGGCTAAATGTGGTTAGATATTTTTTACACGCTTTGAATTTTTTCCCTCTGTTATATGTATCCATTGCACACAAGACCCCTCCAGAACGACAAGGTGTCGCGTGTAACTCTTTCAGGCCTGGATACTCTGCTTACATGTACACACGCACTCAGTTACGAATCTCTCCATAAGTGTATTATGGCAAAATAAAATTCATGTTCTTTGACTTGTGAAATATCTATCGTGATGGTGGTGAGGTGATTAGGCGCCTCAGACGCTATGACACACAAATTACGTTTTTCTACCGCGTACAATAGGGCCTGGTGTGCTGACTAATACTAAGGCCTGACAAACTCTGAGTTTCACAGCATTCCTTGGAACGTCCCCTCACCGAGACTTCCTTTCTCCTGCATCTCCCAACCAACACCCGCGTCGTAAATCCCCGCAGCCACTGCAACATCAACTACTTACAAATCTCCCGATATACAATCAGAGAAATTTTATCTCTTCCCCTCGTGGGCTCGCTCTCACCATCAGAAGTTAAACATCGTACTCTTTTCCTGCCTTGAAATCTAGGTGATCGGCGTGGCAAGGACTGGTAGAAGGCATTCAGCGGCACTTTAAAAGCTGCCCCTCCCCAGTAAAGAGAATCGAGACATCAACACATCGTCTCCGACTATCTAGAAAGCGAAGGCGTGAGTAGAGTCAATAAGGGAACGCAAATATTAGTCGCGCGCGACCACTATTGAGAAGTTGTTAGAATCGTACGCGTCATCGCCAACCATAATCGTTGGATTGACTGCTGCTTCCTCTATTTGGCCCGAGTAATATTCTCCATTTGGTGTTTTCGAGAAAATCTATCATCATCATAATGTCTGTGGTGGTGGAGCTCGAGAATGCCTTGCAGGCCATGCTGGTCACCAAACCACCCGGAGTGTCTGGGTCAAAAATCAACCAAATAACTGAAATCAGCGCAAAAAACGTCCAGGTACTTCTTCCTACTGAACGATTTTTAGAAATATTTTAGACCAGCAGCACCGGCAGCTATGTAGAGCGAAAAAAAAAAAGAATTTAAAATAATCATCAGATGCTGACTGTCGATATCTATGTTTTAGTCCGAATCCGTTATCATCGGGAAACTTTATACACATTTCAAGAAGTGTCCAGGAACCCATAAACTAGGCCCCCTCTACGTTGTAGATTCTGTTGCTCGCAAGTACTTAGATCTTGCGAAGAAGAGCCAACAACCGGTCTCTGCCGAAGCTCCTGATGGCACCTATGGTGCTGGTGTCTATAGAATCACCCAGCTACTCCCAAGTTTAATGAATGATATTTTGCAACATGCGCCTCCAGAAGAGAATAAGGTACGCTATCTTCCGCAGAAGGTTCAAACGGAGATCCGTGAATGGGGTACTCGTTGTCAAGCTATATATATAATATTATTCACTTTGACAACGACTAAGAAGCCTCCCCCTCCTATTATCGCTCTGAAACACGACACCTGATCGTTCGTATAAAAAATGTAGAGGCATCCAACTTACACAGATATTGTGTCTTCTAGGATAAAATAGAAAAGCTCGTAGCGATTTGGGAGCGCAGCTCAACATTTCCTCCCGAGGTTTTAATGGAGATTAAACAAAGGATTGCATCAAGCCCCATGTCACAGGCTTATTCACAGAGTAAGCTACCACATCCCTTCTTCTTCCACGCGTATTCTCTTTCGTCTGAGCCGGTCCATTTTGGAAGAACTCCCTTAGTAATTGATGATTTATCTTCTTTTTCATTAAACGTAGATTCTACAACTCCAACTGGGTCACCGCCTCCACATCTGCAATCCCTAAACGGACAGATGCAGGCTTTCCCACAGTATCCGATGCCGCAACCTCAACAACCACCACAGAACCAGGCACAGCCAAATGCATCAAATACGGCCTCTATCTTACAAGCGCTTGCAAACATGGCAAAACAAAATCAAACAGTTACTCCCCCTGCCGCCCCTGCCCAAGCACCCACACCCCCCGTAGCCGCTACACCGCAATATAATGTATCAAATGGCCAGATGAATGGGATGTCTGGTTTGTCACAAGATACTTCGCTTGCTCCTTCACGGCCTATCGCGCCCCAAGTTCAAGCTGCTCCGGTTCCTATTTCCTATACTCCCACTCCCCCAATTGCGAACAATGTTCCTATGTATGGAAATCAAATGCCTGGCATGTATCTTGGCCAGCAGCAACAGCCTCAGCAGCAACAGCCACAGCAACCACAGCAACCACAAATTCAAGCATCGTATTCCCAGTATACTCAGCAGCAACCACAGCAACCCCAGCAAGTACCGGGTGCTGCTACTGCTCCTGTAGATCAGATGGCCCTTCTCCAGCTCCTGCTTAACCATCCAGGTTTGCAGGGCATGAGCCTTCCTCAGTTGACCCAGTCTTTTGGAGCCCTTGGTGCTGGTGCTATTGGCGGTGCAGATGGTCAGAACGGCCAAGCCATGCCAATGTGGCAGCAGCAACAAATGCAGCAGCTGCAGCAAATGATAAATCCTCCTCAAGTACCGCAAAATGCATCTGAGCCTCCTCGTGATGGTGGATATAATCGCGATGTTCGTCGTAATGAACGCGGATACTCTCCACCGCCCATGTCGCCCCCGCGTTACCAAGGCCGTCGGGGTAGATCCCGTTCAAGGTCCCCAGCTCGCTTCGATCGTGGAGGCAGCGCTGGAGGGGGAGCAGGGCGCTCCCCGCCAAACTTTAGACGTCGTAGCCCTGTATATGGTGAATATGAAGGCAACGATACTCGCAACGGTCGTGAAGGTGGTAACAGTGGTGGTAACGAACGTAATCGTGGAAGGGGACGTGGTGGGAACGGCGGTTTTGGGCGCAGAGGGGCATCCCCCCGCGGTCGCAGGGATCGTAGCAGAACCCCTCCCAATGGGAACAGGTTCAACGGAAAGGGCAGCCAAGGCGGTGATCGTACAACACCCACTTTGCCTAAATTTAACAAACTCGTGGAGTTTGATGAAGGCATCGCGTCAAACAGCATTAAAGGTAGGCTAATAGCGATATATTCTCAAAATAATAATCTAAATCACGTGCTAATATACAATGAATCATCTAGTTCTCAGCAGAACCTTGTTTGTTGGTGGTGTAACGTGAGTTTTAAGCCTCCCTTTGTTCGCTGTCAATATGCTAACGTCGTCACTACTACAGCATCTCTGAGGATGAACTTCGCGGACTCTTTGAGAGGCACGGGTTGGTCCAGTCATGCATAGTGAACCAGGACAAGCGCCATGCTTTCATCAAGATGCTCACTCGCGAAGATGCGGTCAAAGCCAGGGCTGGCATGGAAACCTATAGAGCTGATAACATGACCATCAGGGTATGCGCATAGCCTTGTTTCCTTTCTGTTTCCTCTTTACCTTACGCGCAATGCTGACGTTTCCTTCTAGACACGATGGGGAGTTGGGTATGGACCGCGAGACTGCAGTGATTATCAAACTGGAATCAGTATCATCCCAATTGATCGCCTGACCGACGCCGATCAAAGGTGGATGGTCTCAGCCGAATATGGAGGAACTGGCGGAAAGCCATTGATCGGTGGAATGGTTGTTGAAGAACCAGATATCGAAATTGGTCAGGGTGTATCCTCTAAAGGTTTGTTTCCAACCTCCTCCTTCCAGCGTATGCTTCTAGAATAGCCTCCCTCCTTCCTCCGTTTCTGTCTCATTTCCCATCTGCATCATGAGCTCTCCCATTTTATCTTTAGATCGTCTGTTGTCAATCCATAGACTAACCAAGATCCCCAAACGCAGCCATCAGCAAGCGGTTCCCGACCGATTCTGGCGGGGCAAAAGGCCCACGGTCCTCCCATGACACTTTCGTCGAAGCCCACCGTGAACAACGCAACAGACGCACGGATTATAACGACAACAACCAGCGGGGAGGTCGTGATAATAACATTGGTGTCGCCCCGCCAACCCCAGGGTTCGGTGCCGGACTACCCTTCATGAACTTTGTGCCGCCGAACATGCCAAACGGTTTCCAATATCCCGGATTCCCAGGTCAGTCCTCAGGACGGTGAAGCATCACGACCCTGCGTAGATAAGTAAAATAAGAATTGAGCGATAATCGGAAGCGGCAACGTCAAAGCTTAATACTCGAACTGTTTGACAACGCATTGCGGCTAGAGCGGGTTAATGTTTTATTGGTCTGGGATAAAAAAGTTGTTTAGTCTTAGTTTTAGGCGTAGTGAGGTGGGGAGGTGTAGGTGATAGTTGTTCCTGCTTGTGGGGTTAAATTTGGGGAGGGGGGGAGAACAAATATCACCACTAAAATAATTAGTTCACGTTGACGGGGAGTTATGGGGGTTCCTTATTTTTCCGAGTGGTCTTTTTTTTTCTTTCCTTTTTCTTCTTTTCTTCTTTTCTCTTTTAACTTTTTTTGTCTTTAGTTCTTGGTTTCTTATTTTTCCGCTTTTCTGAGTCTGTCTCATGTATCCGATCTTTCTCTCTTCTCTATCTCTGTTTTATCACTTCTCGTCTCCACCGTCTATCATAACAAGCTTGAGTTTACCCGGGGGTGGGTAATTTTGAGGATGAGGTGTTTGGGGAAGGGATGCTTGTTCCCCCCGGGGCCCAAAGAGCAAGTAAACTTAGTAAGGGACGCTAGGTCGGCGCGCACTCAGCTCGCCCGCCCGCTTCTATCTTCTGCTAAATGTAAAACGAAGAGGAGAGGGCTCCAAAAATATTAATGAACCCACCATTTCTCATATCTTCATGTAAATAATTAGAAAGGAAATGGAGCAAAAAAACGATAGAAAAAATGTGTAATAAAATAACACATATATAAACTAAAATAAAATATTAAAAAATAATTAAATGCTCAATCAATCTAGGAAATCTCCCATGCGCCGCGCCGCGCATGACTTGCCTGCTTTCCTGCTCTTGCTTCCCCGGCCGAGATTCCCCCTCCCCCTCCTCAGGCGCGAATTTCGTCTTGACAGGGGTATGGGGGGGTTGGAGGGGGGGAGTTACCCGGTGGGGTGGGGTGCGGTTCGTCCTACCTTTTCCCTTTTCCCTTTTTCCTAATTTCCGGAGGCTGGGTTGGGTTGGGGCCTGTCTGTTATCCGGGGAGAAGAACAAGAAGACGATAGGCAAATCGGAACCTTGTAAGTACATGCTGTAGTGACATGACGTCGCTCGCTCACTCGCGAGAGCGAGCGCGAGTGCGAGTGCGAGAGAGCCCTGTGCGCTTCGCGGGGGGCGGCGGTAAAAAGTTACCCTTGCCACTCGTCGAGGTTCTTAATCCTTCCCTCTGTGAATCTGTTTTGCTCTGGGGGTGGCGGTGGGGAGGTTGTTCCGGGTGAGATGTCGGTACATACTGCTGTATGTAGGTACCTACATAGAAAGGAAGGTGAAAGTACCTGCGCTGCGCTCCCCACTATCACATAGGCGCGGTTTGTTTGTGAGTGGGATTTGGTGTTGCAATTGGTGTTGGTTGGTTGGTTGGCTAGGTTGGCTACCCACTGTGAGGGAGGGTTTCTGCTGACACAACTGTATTCTAAATAGCTGTGATGTACCCCATGTGCGGGGGGTTAGGGTACTCTAGGTTATGGTTACGAGTGGAGGGGAAGCTGAGTGGTGGAGTGATGGAGGGGAAAGTACGAGGGAGTATTGCGGGGGTTTCTAAAGCTGGTACTTCTGTCTCTCATGTCTGGTGTACCTCTCTCTACGAGTACACGAGGTGTGGTGGTGTTGATAGACGTTGAAAGTACTCGATACATCCATCGGTACATCCCACAGCAGATCTATCTACAGCTATGTACACTTTTAATTCACGTAAACCAGGAAAACCCCACCTGCATCCACGCAATTCATAATTGCCTTTTCTCTCGATCTCCCACCGCGCAGTATGTAGAGATACATATCACCCGTACCCGCGCCTGGGCCATGGGAGAATTGGAATATTGGCGATCTCATTGTCTGTATCTTAACGGTACCGTTTAAATACCCTTCTGCATCTACATCTACATCTGTAGTAGACTCCAAGAGTAGTTTTTCCGCTCGTCTCATACCGTGGTGGTGGTGGTGGTGGTGGTGGCGCGTGCGGGTGGTGTGGGTGATCTATCAATCTACCTTACCCTACCCCATATCTATCGTGAATGCGAAAAAAAAAAGGATAAAAGCAAGTCCGCGTAAAATGCCGCACCGACCCGGCGCGGCCGGGGGAGGCAAAATTTTTCCGACGACAACAACACTGAGACCTGAGGTTAACTTGTGGATCGGAGTCTGTAGGTGGTGGTGGTGGTAATGGTAAAAATAATGGTGGTGGGGGATTCAGAAAAGAAAAAAACCCACATGTAGAAATGTCGACATTGAATTATTTTTTTTATTTTTTTATTTTTTCTGGGAGAAAAAAAAAAGGTTTTGGCGATGATTTACTTTCTAGCTAACGAAACGAACCAACTACAACTATAATTCTGCTTTTCTCTACCGTACCCGTACCGTCAATTGCACTGCACCGCACCCGGGGTCGCCAGATACGAATTCGAGCCTAAGGGCAAAGGCAGCGGTAAAGGCAAAGGCAAATGCAAACAAAAACGCTACCTGTAAAGCAGCGCCCACGCGGGGCCAAAACCAAAAATACCCCCTCCGCCCTCCACCCCTCCACCCCTCCACCCCTACATAGCACTGCAGTAGGCAGTCGGGAGTAAAATATTCTAGAAAAACCACCGAAACGAAAGAAAAAAAAGCCTGGGGAAGAAAAAAAGAAGGTTTTACTTGCAGCACCACCACACATCGCCAGGCAGTAGCACCCGTTGCAATTGCAGCGTGCCCACCACCCCCACCATGGACACCACCACCAAACAACGAGGAGAGAGGGAGGGAGGGAAGGGTTCGAAATCTAGATCCGTAAAGTGTGGTGATTGCGCCTGTTAGTTGATGGAATCTTGCATGATGTACCCAGCATTGGATTACGGAAGTGGTGCGGTGGTATGTAGGGACATGTACCTACGGTACGGTAGTGGTGCCGTACCTTATAGGTGAGGATGATATATGCATACTCTACATATACATGATGCCTAAGTACAAGTACTCTACTTTATCTACTCTACCAGAGCCGTTGGACGTACCTCCATCTGTTCGGAGTATCGTGCGGTGGCGGCGAGAAGTATTAATTCCGGGTGATATCTGATGATCCACCGGAAAAATGGTCAGCCAGCGGACCCTGCAGAGCTAGAGCAGAGACCCTGGAACTACATATTAGGCATTGAGTACTCTATGTACCTACGGCTGGTTCATGTAGGTACGGAGAACCGAACAGAGAGACAGAGACAGAAAGAGTATGTATCGGCATACATAGTTAATCCGGCCGCGCGGGCGCGACGTTGAGCGAGCGCCGTGAGCGCGAGAGCGCCAGAACGAGCGGGCGAATGAATCAACTGCAATTGCAACGCCGCATATCATTTACTGCACTGCACGAAGCCGTAATTACCTTTACTCTACCTCTACTGCAACTGTTTGATTTGCAGTGGCGTTAACCATCCAACCATCCAGTGCGGTGCCGTTAGCGCTCTCATTAATTCGATTCTGCGCATCGTGCAAAAAGGAAGAAAAGGGAAGAATCCGCGATGACTTCACGAGATGAGAAATGATACGATAACAGGAAAAAACCATGACAGCGCTCTGTTACACCGTCCTATTATTTTTGGTAGTACACCTCTTCCCGGAGTAAGGTATTCTTAATTCTACCTACATAGGAATTACGTATATAGTACAAAACTCTACAGTAGTACGATCGCGAACTTGTGTGCAGAAAACCAGAGTAAGGAAAGAGTGTCTATTCGAAAGGGACCAGAAGATGGAGGCAAAGGAAAACAAATCCGGTCTCATCTCTCCATCGGAACCCGACGCAGGCCCGACCGAGTTTTTTGTGTAAATGTGCAGCAAAGTGTGTGGCATGTGCCACATGTGTACCTTTTCCCTCTAGCCTTCCTCCCCCCGTAGATTTCCACTCTCTAGATAGAAATCGGAGGTTGCGGATCATTTCTCGCGGAGCAAGCTTGTTCGTTTCGGAACCCGAAAGATCTGGCCTGGCTGGCTGGCATGGTTTTCCCACACCGCTACTCGCTGGCTAGCCCCCGGCCCTGACCGCTAAATTTCACATCCCGGCCCCCCTCGTCCCCCCCGCTAATGTAGGTACAAATCATAAGAGCTGTTTGTGTGGAGAGCTGCTAGTGATAGTGATAGTGGGGGATGTGGGTAGAGAGAGGCACTTTAGAGTAGAGCAGAGTAAACGACCAAAGGGCCTAACTGCATGTAAATGAAGAACATGCAAAAAAGGTACCTACATTAGCTTGGCTGCAATTGCCTTCTGCCTGCCCTCGTGGTTGGCGAAGAGCCAGCTGTCAATCGTGAAGTAGACCCAATACGGCATAGATCCATGGCCACTGGGAAATAACCCAGAACTAACGTCGAAGTTTCGCTGGTGCTTGGTGAGAACTTAGAAGTCGCATCCCCATCACCCCGGGATTGTCGGGGAAAGCTCCCCGAGACGGATTAAGTTGTGAATGGCCAGCGCGACATCATCTGGAGAAAGGTCGAAGTGAGGAAGGAAGGAGGGAAGGAAGGTAGAAGGAAGGAAGGTAGAAGAGTACGTAGCTACGTAGGTACTGTAAGTACAGTATGTACCTATATGTACCTGCCTGCTCACCCAGTGTAGTCCTGTAGACAGGTAACCTGGAATAGGTACATGATCGGTAGTAAATCCTTTAGACTGTGGAATATCGAATAGCTGTTCGTACTAGTACACTATGCCAGAAGAGCAGAGTAGGGCCAATTGCGATTCGTGGAACAGAAGCTTGATCACAAATCATCATGAACTATCGGCCTCGCCTTGAGGCTTTTGAGGTGAGATAGAATCAATTGAAGGTTTCGCGGAAGGCAAAGAAACACGGCTACCACAGGCGAGCAGCATGTAGCGTAAGAGTAAGTCAATAAGCCGCTGAGAGAGCCTCCATCCCATCACCACTACCGCCATTACCACCACCATGACCACGCGTGACTTTGGATTTGTCCCTAGCCTGTCTGCCTGCATGCCTTTGCTCTATCGCTTATCGCTCTTTTGTCAATCCCTCTCGTAAATAACTGGCTGCTGCAGCCCGAGGTGGCCCATCTCCACAGCTAACCAGGGTCTTCCCGAGGGAACACACGCAGAATCTTACCAAGTACGTTACTCTACCTAAATAGTTGACGCAGGGTGTAATCTAATCTGTGCCTGCTTACCTGCCTGTCTCTCTGTCTGCCTCGTTGGTCGGTGGGTGGCTGGTAACGAGGCAGCAGTTAGCAGCTGGCGGCGGTCAAATCTGATTGAATCTTGTGCCGACCCTGCCGAGTGGACAAGTCAACAACCCAAGTTACCCAACCCAGGGTCTCGAATTACTTACTTTCAATTCCCCCCATATCCTAATTCCTATGCCTCGGCATTCAGTCGGCACGGCAAGACAGGGTGGGAATTAACAAAGTGGACGGGGACGACGAGGAGGTAGGAGGGCGACAAAACCAAAAAATCCCTCGAAGTTTTCACGAGCGGATAACACGGCGATTGGGTTGGGGTTGGGGGTTACGGTGCGATCAATCAAGGTCAAGCACAACAACAGTGACAACACGGACACCCACAAAGTATTTCCTCATATCTGGAAATTCTCTGTCACGTAGAGTAGAGGAGCTAGGTAGAAAAGTAAGGCTTACCCTGCTGACCGACATGAATGTGGGGAGCGGAGAGTGGAGGGGTGAACAGAAATTCTGTATCAAAATATCGCGCATGTATTCATATCCCCTCATTCCCCATCCATAATGCCTCATGCTCAACTTAAGCTTGTGAAATATCAGGAGAAAAAAACAACTCTACCCTTCAATAAAATAATAATACGCCGCGGCTCTTGCTCGTGCGGTCAAAGACCTATACATACAGTGACAAGACACCAATCAATGCAGTGACATCGTTAATGATGATGATGACAGGCTGACCCCCGACAACAACGACACAGAATTATTGCAATGAAATAATTATAATTGATGATAGGAATAGGGATATCATCAATTAAACGCTTTGGCGGTGCGCGCGTATGTTTCGCTCGTAACCAGAGACAGAAACGTCTCTGCATTCCCAAATCTTCAAGAGCTCCGTCTTGGATCTCTTGGAAGGTAGTCTCAGAGATAGCGACACCAGAACGTTACGTTTGGGTAGATCAGTATGGCCGACGCAGGCAGATGTGCAATTAGAACGAGTGGGAGTGAAAGGGGCCCGACAGAAGTGCTTCTAGATGGAACAGATAGGTTTCTATTCCCCCTTCCATGCAGCAAGTCGAAGAAGAAGTACGGTTGTGCCTGCGTAGAGCAGTGTATCTAGTTTTTTTCTTTCTTCCCCACACTCCGGCCGGAATGCTTCGGACGAACCAGCCAACCAGCTCCCACATGATTTTTTTTTTTTAGTGGTGGCCCTCCCTTTTTCTCTTTCTTTCTTTTCCTAGGAGCTTCGCTCGTTCGGAAAATTTCTACTAGCTCGACGGATTAGATCTCATCTCGTCTACAACACCATGGCCAAGGGCAAGCTGGTCAAGATAGTAGGTAGAGTAGATATCCCACGAGCCAACTTGCCCCCTCCGAAAAATCTACCCAACCAGTGTTGAATCCAGCCCACTAGGTATGGCCGCCGCCCCCCGGCCGCCCTGGATGTAGAATACATAACCTACGATGCCTACATACCCGGAGAAATAACTTGTGGCCCCTACTTAACTACATCATCATCATTCAAGTACTACACAGGCCCTATCCAACATAATGGACGATCGATTGTGCATGAAGGATCGTGTCAATGTCTTGGTACGCAATAATTATCGCGGGGAGGTTAGAGGGGAGGTAGGGTATCGTAGACTAGTATCTAGGCGTCATCTTCGCGAAACGCGAATGATGGGCCAAACAGACCGAGATTGGATGGAGAAAACCGGTGCAAGGGTCGGGAGGCGAACCGATTTCGACTTTTTTTTCCCTCTCCTCTTTTTTTTTTCCCCTTTTGCAATATTTTCTTCCCAAGCCGTCGTCGCCGCACCCAGAGAATGGAAAGGGTGTATCTAGATAGGGTTGAGCCAATGAAAACGCCGTGGGGAGCAAGAAAAAAGAAGAAAAAGCCCAGATAATCAACGGCAATTTGACCGGTGCGAATCTTTGCCATTGCGCGATCTGCTAAGGTTCGTGATGGACATGGTGGGGAATAGCTCGACCACCACCATGATGAACGTCAATCAAAGCACGGTGAACGGTGAGCCCCGTTACATTTCGCCTTTTTTGGAGGGGGTAAACTCTCCGGGGGAGCGAGGGGGGGGGGGGGGGTGTCCAGGGTTGGGATACCGGGCAATCCATTATCGTCTATGTACTAGCTGGTGCTTCATCTCGTCTCATCTCACGCTTCCCATCTTTGTCGGTCAATTCATAAGTTGTGAAACAAATGAAGCTCGCGGGCTACTTTGTTTGGAGATTGGGGATTTAGGAAATATGGCCGGGGTAGCCTGGGCAGGTGTATTCTGACAGCAGTACCTAGGGGCATGTAGGTACTGTAGAGCAGGTACCGTACTCTGACTGGCATTTGAACCCTTGATAGGGGGTGAAGCGAGTACCTCAAAAGGTTTATGAACTCTGTAGGTCACTCGGCTTGAAGCAGAAGGGTTTGGAACAAGATGTACATTTCTAGTTCTGGTAGGCACATCCGTATTGGTACCTAGCGGTTCGCGGCTCAGAGTGAGCGAGTGCCGCTGTTTCCTTTTTATTGACGACGATGATGTCGATGAGGTTGGGGTTTAGGTTCGGGTTTGGGGGGTGGGTGAGATGACTGAGGACTTGTGTTGTTCCTTTCTTTTCTTTTTGGTTTATTTTTGCTCATCTTTAATTTTAAATTTTTGGGGAGAAAAAGTTACCAATTGAAGAGCGTTGAAATCGTAGCTACTACACGGCTGGATTATGTTTCTAGAGCGGTCTGGGGCTAGCTGCTACAGAGACGAGAATACATCTCGAAATCCTTATCTCTACGTGGAGTAAAAATAATTGTAGAGACTAGAGAGTACATGTAGGTAATTGTAATTGTATGAGGCTATTTGTGTTACGTGTTGAAAAGTGAGTGATAAGCTGTGACCGCGTGCCGTCATTAATATTTGGGGCACATTAATATTTTTTCTGTCTTTGGCTATTATTACTATGATTAAATTTCCCTCATCGCTGATTGGGGATTTTAACGTTGTACGGGAGAATTTCTCCAGTGAAGCGTTTAGGTTGAAGGATCGATTAACTAACTGGCGCGTAAGCGGGAGGGAAGCTGGACAGCTTCGGCCGAAGCCAGAGAGTGAGAGAGACCGACTGCTGGATGGCTGGGTGGCTGATGGCAGTTGTTTCCGGGGGAGGTCAAATTTTTTTTCTTCTGCCTTTTGCTGGTCTATTCTCCCACGTTGAATTTTTTTTTACTTTTTCGGGTAATCGTCTGTCTGGTTACGTTGGACGAGGGAATCGCGCAAAAAGGGCAGGACCTGTACTGCCTGGGTCTGGTGGGAAAGTTACTGCCTCTGCCTCTACCTTCTTCCCCCGGTTGTTGATTCCCTGTCTGCATGTGTGAAAGGGACACCCCACTCACTCGTACCCTACTTGGGTTTCTCTCACTCAACACCCCCAGCTTTGCCACTAGGCTATTTCCCGACAAGACAAGCCCGGAGGGAAAAAGCAATCGGGCGGCATCCACCCAGGATCCATCCACAATCCCTCCACTCGCAGGAGGCAAGCAAGTACGGTAGTATGCGGCATCCAAGCTTCTCCCTTCCACCCCCAGACCAGTGTAAGTGCGGTTAGGCTTGGAATGTTGTAAGGTACAGTTACAGTTGAGCGAATGTGGTAACCAGCCAGCAACAGCCAGTAGGTAGACCGTACCGCAACTGTAGAGAGCACCATCAGGCAGTAGGAGAGGAAGCCGTTCTTGCCAGACAGCCAGCCAACAGCGGTAGCTCTAGCAGCAGAAGCAGAAAGCACCTCCACCCACTAAGAGAGTTCCACCATCCACCATTAATCTTCCCCCCCCCCAAATCTGCTCTACCCAGTCCCTACACCCCCCCCCCCAAACTCCCTCACGCTACTCCGTAAAAGTGTTTGCCCCAGGCCCGCGGGCGTACTCGTGAGAAAGTGTGGTATATAGTTCGACCTCTTCTCCCGCCGAAGTAGATTTTTTTTCTTCTCTTCTTCACCGTTGCTTTGTGATTCGGACAGCCTTAAAAGATTTCATCCAAAATCTTTCCCGGCAATCGCGCAGCGGTGTGTGCGGACAATTCCCTCCCAGGCTTCTTCCTAGCCCTAAAACACAAATTTATCTTTTGTGTCGCTTCTTTGCGCTAGGTCGATTCTGCCCGCATTTGGTACTCAAATCCAACGTATTACGCTATTCGTTACTTGCTCCGAAATCAACTTATAAAGCTCAACCACTTCCCACCACCTCTCTTCCACTCCCACCCCCCCCTTTCAACAATTCGTACATTCGCCATCGAGTGCTGCTACAACAATTTCAAGCATCACAAAAATGTCGAACCCGTCGACCAACCCCCAATACTCTTCCTCTGCAGGCGATGCGCCTCATATTGGAACCCACATCCCTTCAAGTGGCATCGGGTCTGAGAAGCATGATGCCATTGACGAGAAGAACCCCGAGGGAACTCCTCTCGACGATGAGGAGGACGAGGACATTGATCAATTGATTGATGACCTTGAATCCCAGGACGGACATGAAGAGATCGAAGATGACAACGACGCCGTTCCCGGCTCCAGCGCTCGCCCCGTTCCCGAGGACCTGCTTCAGACTGACACCCGCACCGGTCTTACCTCTGCTGAGGTTGACCAGCGCCGCAAGAAGTACGGTCTCAACCAGATGAAGGAGGAGAAGGAGAATCTCATCCTCAAGTTTTTGATGTACTTCGTTGGTCCCATCCAGTTCGTCATGGAGGTCAGTATCTTCCTTATCTTTTTCTCGCTTAGGAGATTACTTCTACGCTTTGATAATTTTTTTCACGATTACTGACATCACTATTACACAGGCTGCTGCTATTCTTGCTGCCGGTCTTGAGGATTGGGTCGACTTTGGTGTTATCTGTGCTCTTCTTTTGCTCAACGCTTGTGTTGGTTTCGTTCAGGAATTCCAGGCTGGTTCTATCGTCGAGGAGTTGAAAAAGACTCTCGCTCTTAAGGCTGTTGTTCTCCGTGATGGTCGTCTCTTCGAGATTGAGGCTCCTCAGGTCGTCCCCGGTGATATTCTCCAGGTTGAGGAGGTTAGTTACAACGCCCACACTACATCATTATTACTTCACGCATACTAATTATAACAATTTAGGGTACCATTATCCCCGCTGATGGTCGCATTGTTACCGATGACGCGTTCCTCCAAGTTGATCAGTCTGCCATCACTGGTGAATCTCTCGCTGTCGACAAGCACAAGGGTGACCAATGTTACGCGTCTTCCGCTATCAAGCGTGGTGAGGCCTTCATGGTCGTTACTGCCACTGGTGACAACACTTTCGTCGGTCGCGCTGCTGCCCTTGTCTCTGCTGCTTCTGCCGGATCTGGTCATTTCACTGAGGTTCTCAACGGTATCGGTACTGTTCTCTTGGTTCTTGTTATCTTCACTCTCCTTGTCGTCTGGGTTTCATCTTTCTACCGCTCCAACGGAATCGTTCACATCTTGGAATTCACCCTCGCCATTACCATCATCGGTGTCCCAGTCGGTCTTCCCGCTGTCGTTACCACCACCATGGCTGTCGGTGCCGCCTACCTTGCCAAGAAGCAGGCTATTGTCCAGAAGCTTTCCGCCATTGAGTCCCTTGCTGGTGTCGAGATTCTTTGCTCTGACAAGACCGGTACTCTCACCAAGAACAAGCTCTCTCTTGCTGAGCCCTACACTGTTGAGGGTGTTGAGGCCGATGATCTCATGCTTACCGCTTGTTTGGCCGCTTCCCGCAAGAAGAAGGGTTTGGACGCCATTGACAAGGCCTTCTTGAAGTCTCTCCGTTTCTACCCCCGTGCCAAGAACGTCCTCTCCCGCTACAGAGTCCTTGAGTTCCACCCCTTCGACCCCGTCTCAAAGAAGGTTACCGCTGTTGTCGAGTCTCCCCAGGGTGAGCGCATTGTCTGTGTCAAGGGTGCCCCTCTTTTCGTTCTCCGCACTGTCGAGGAAGACCACCCCATTCCCGAGGAAATTGCCAACGACTACAAGAACAAGGTTGCCGAATTCGCTACCCGTGGTTTCCGTTCCCTTGGTGTTGCCCGCAAGCGTGGTGAAGGTCACTGGGAGATTCTCGGAATTATGCCTTGCTCTGACCCCCCTCGTCACGATACCGCTAAGACTGTCCACGAAGCCAAGACTCTCGGTCTCTCGATTAAGATGTTGACTGGTGACGCCGTCGGTATTGCCCGTGAAACTTCTCGCCAGCTCGGTCTTGGTACCAACATCTACAACGCTGAACGTCTTGGTCTTTCTGGTGGTGGTGACATGCCCGGTTCTGAGGTCTACGATTTCGTTGAGGCTGCCGATGGTTTCGCTGAGGTCTTCCCCCAACACAAGTACAACGTCGTCGAGATTCTCCAACAGCGTGGTTACCTTGTTGCTATGACTGGTGATGGTGTTAACGATGCCCCCTCGCTCAAGAAGGCTGATACCGGTATTGCCGTCGAAGGTGCTTCCGATGCTGCCCGTTCTGCTGCCGATATCGTCTTCTTGGCTCCTGGTCTCTCTGCCATCATTGACGCCCTCAAGACTTCCCGCCAGATTTTCCACCGCATGTACGCCTACGTTGTCTACCGTATTGCCTTGTCTCTTCACTTGGAAATCTTCTTGGGTCTCTGGATCGCCATTCTCAACGAGTCTCTCAACTTGAACCTTGTCGTCTTCATTGCCATTTTCGCTGATATCGCTACCCTTGCCATCGCCTACGACAACGCTCCCTTCTCCAAGACTCCCGTCAAGTGGAACCTCCCCCGTCTTTGGGGAATGTCTATCCTTCTCGGAATCGTTCTTGCTATCGGTACCTGGATTGCCCTCACCACCATGCTTGCCCACGGAAGCGCCGATGGTGGTATTGCCCAGAACTTCGGTAACCGTGACGAGGTCTTGTTCTTGGAGATCTCCCTCACTGAGAACTGGCTCATTTTCATCACCCGTGCGAACGGCCCCTTCTGGAGCTCCATCCCCTCATGGCAGTTGTCTGGCGCCATCTTGGTCGTCGATATCATTGCCACCCTTTTCACTATTTTCGGTTGGTTCGAGGGTAACGAGCAGACTTCCATCGTTGCTGTCGTCCGTATCTGGATCTTTTCTTTCGGTATCTTCTGTGTCATGGGTGGAGTCTACTGTAAGTCTAATCACTTTACCTCACTACTTTTGATCATTGTTACTAACTCTCTATCACAGACCTTCTCCAGGACTCTGTCTCATTCGACAACCTCATGCACGGAAAGACCCCCAAGAAGGACGCTAAGAAGCGATCTCTTGAGGATTTCGTCGTTTCTCTCCAGCGTGTCTCTACACAGCACGAGAAGAGCTCATAAATTAGAATTATAGTTAATACGGGGTTATGGCGATGTACTATAGAATGATATCTTTTTCGTTTGGTAGGCAGGCCACAGGGCGCTGGGGTTTTGGATACATTAGTTTGTAAATTGCACTCCGGGGAGTGAGTGGGTCGGGTTTTTTTGTTATTACCCTCCTCTCGGATGTGTCTTAATGTTAGACAGTTCAATGTTATTCTTGTTGGACGAAAAAATGTTTGTATGATTTTCATGTTTTCTTTCTTACGACAATTCAATTACGTTGTCAACTACTTTTTTCAGACCCTTGTGAATCATCTTGAGCTGTGACGTTTAATGCTTTGTTCAAAGAAGCTCAGATTTCTGAGCAAGTCCATCTTTGCCTCTCACATCCCAACTGCAACCAAACAACATGATCAGTGAGCTTAACAATCTTAACCATGAGTGCACCCGCAGAAATTCCGGGGTTTTACTACGGTACGGTCTTTCACTTCACTGCGTATCATCTCCGAGAGTGATCTCCGTGGGTCCTAACACTCCTATAGATGCCGTCAAAGGACGTTATTTCCGTCTTCTTCCCAACCATGCGGCTCCAACGGCATCATTCTACAGCCCATCCAGCGTACAGAAGCAACAAGAAGAAACCCAGGTACAAAGGACCCTTCACCCATATCTACCTACCATATCAGTGTTGCATTGTTCGTTAACTAACCCCATCAATCCATCTTCTAGCGTATTGAAGAGCAAAACCAAACCAACCTCCGCCGCCTCAAGCTACGCCGTAAATGCCCACTGAGCCACAGCCCTTTCCTGCGCTGCACGCTTCAGCGCGAGCTCGGCGCCGCTACGCCGTTCGAGCTCGAGGAGGCTGGAAGACGCGTTTATGCATTGGGGTTGAGGAAGAATAGGCTCTGGGATGTGGCTTCAGTAGGCGGCGAGATTATGGCATTTGCGTGTGAAGATGCCGAGGTTGGCAAAGAGAGAACTGTCGTCATTGGCACGGTCGCGGGGCATATTGTGTATGTCCTCCTTGGTCCTGGGAGGGGTTGAGTGAGGGTGGCGTGGTACTGATTGTGTGGACATGTAGTTCTGCACCGGCGACGAGAGAGGATGGTGTTATGAGGTGTGATAGGGCGAGAGTACAGAGCTTGCACCATTTCACCTCCGAGGTATGGAATATTAATATTTTAGTCGAGAGTATGAATTAAGGTTGCTAATGGTGATGGTTTGTAGATTACATCGGTGTGTATATCTAAGCAAAGAATGTTGATGTATGTGCACCTAACCTCAAAGAATGAAATGTCATATATCTGACTGATGTATTCTTGATTTGTTTTAGCGCAACATGCCTAGGCGGTACAGCAAGCCCAGCGATATATCGCACTAGCCTACCAGATCCAGGCAGTGATAGTTCCTTAACATCTGGTATATATATCCACACTTCTCTCTCCTCTGTAGAGTTCACTCACATCCGCCAGGCCAGTACCTCACGTTCCAGCGCCCTATACGCTCCATGTGGACCTCTACATCCTCTCCTTACAACGGAGACATGGCAGTCGGTACTAACATGGGAGTCATTTGCATACGTGGGCCCCCACATGACCGCGAGAGCCACCAGTTTACCACCAGCAGCGACGTTTTTGCAGTTGAATTCCTCCCAAACGAGCCGTTTGGTTTCGTGTGTGGATCTCGGGATGGTGCGATGCGTCTTTTTGATATCCGGATACGTCAGAGGGAGGGAGTCGGAGGGACTATGGTTGTGAGCCATAACACCCCGATCACCCACATACGCGCATTGAACGATGTATCAATGATGGTGAAGGGACTTATGGGGTGTGCACTGTATGATTTGAGATACCCGCACCCACCAAGCCCCAGTAAAGGCTTTGCGGAGAGAACTACACCGGTCAAGGTTTATGGGAATAAACGGACGGTGGAGGGAATGGGGTTCGATGTGTCTATGGACAAAGGACTTGTGGCAGATGCCGGGGATGTAGATGGGGCGAAAATATTCTCGGCTATATCTGGTGAGGATATGGGGAGGTGGGACTAAAGGGTGCTGAGGGTAATATCAGGGCATTGAAGTTTGTAGGTGACAATTTGGTTGTGGCAGAGGGTGGATGTCTGGAGTGGTATGAGATGTAGATCAGCAGTCAATATTGTGTGGGTTACTTTTCTGGGAGTTTAGGTAGCAATAATAACCTCACCTTCTATATGATTAGTTACTGGGCGAGGAATGATTGGCTACGAATTATTTAGGATCTTAATCATTCTTAATCCTCAACTTTATGCGTTATACTGGACTTTCACATTCTTTTCACAACCCATCACTCGTCAACCAAATTGTGGCGCCCAATCCTAAGGGGGGGGTTTTTTTTTTGTTTAATTCATTAATATCCTAAGGGAGGTGATGTACATACTCTATTGATGGAAATCATTTAGGGCTAACAGGGCATAGGATTCATTCGCGATGCCAATTTTTTCGGCATACCTTGGGCACCATCGTCCTCTATCGATAACTTATCTGAGGGGCTATGCCATGTTTATACTAGCCAAGGAACCAAAGCTCAAACCTTCCTCCAGAAAATTAAACTCATCGATGGGTCTGGATATAAAGTGTCGGAATACCCGAAGTGGCGGCTAAGAAATTGAAATGGGGTCTGTCTTTATGCACTGCAGGAAAAGTCTTTGGACAATGACTTCGGTGGCACTGATTCTGAGTGAAAAATCAAGTACTAGGCACCGTCTAATCATACATTCATCTCCACAATCCTTGATGAATGGTCCTATGTAGAGATCTCCGGTCGTCCTAGGGAGACAAGAGTAGAGTGGGTGTCGTTAATCTCAACACGAGCCAAGGCACGCAGGGCCGTGAGAGATTATTTTCGACAAAGTCACTCACATCGTATGTAGCTAGAGGAAGTAGCCACGGATAGGTATTTTTTCTTTCTCTTCATCCCCTGCGGCCGATCAAGCCCACAGAGAAGATTAAAAAAGGCTTCCCCAGAGTCTGTGCGCTTGCCTCGGTTAATTATGTCTGGGCTTATTTCCCCAGCTCTTGTCGTGGTATTTCGCTAAACCGTAAGTGTTTTGTGGCGTTTTCTGATCGTCATCTTTACCCTGGTGGGGTTATGTCGACGGCAAGATCGATGAGAAGAGATAGCATTAGTGTATATAGTCTTTTCCATTGAGCTACCTAGAGTAGCTTGGGATGATAAAACTTAGGCTTCATGTGGTTGATGCGTAGAGGAAATTAAGGGCTAGACTGAATATATATGTTTTAGTAACTGTGTTATCGCTTGACCCTACGTTTGTGAGTTAGTATTTAAAGGAATATTATTCCCAATTCCAAGCCTACCCTCATGGTAGGCAAACGACGCCCGTATATTCGTCCCCTAAAGATCGCTCTAGCCTGAAGCTATATAGTTTCGGGTAGTTATACTAATACTAGCAGCAGGCAAAAAAGGTCTGGAAACGAGACGGTAGGGACCAACATACCATTTAGCTGGAAAGCTACATATACTCAATGAATCAGTCAGTCAATAAAGTGGGGAGCCTGGGGACAACGTGGTTATAGGGATAGGTACTTATGCATATTTGGCTTCCCCCTCACCCTCATATTATTTCTTGTTACCCGTATGGAAGACTTATATTGGCCTCTCTAGAGAAGTAATATAGTCACCTATTTTTGACCAACAGCTGGTGTGATATATAACCTCGCTCACAATCATAACCTATATAGCGGGAAACCTCCTCAAGGGTTTGAGAGTAGAAGGTATCCTGTTAATGAAACGGCTGGGTTTGGTACATCGAAGGCTTGGTTGGGGGGACTATGAGCTTGGGGTTGCGTACCTCTCAAAACCGACTCAGCTAGTTTTTCGAGGGTGGTGATAAGTAGTCTGTCGGATTCGGTGTGCATGGATTCGGTATAATTAATAACATCGTGTAATTAATTAATGTTTCTATTCTGAGTTTAAACGGGATCCGAGTGATATTACATGGTTAAAACCACACAACCAATTCAGGAAAATAAAGATCTATTTCAAACCATTCTCACACTATTCAAACCAGATAATAACAGGAAAAATCATTAAATCACGACACATAAACAAGGTAAGGGAATCTAATAACTACAAACAAAGTCTATGAAAGAAAAAAAAAAAAAAAATTCCCGCAATTCCAGACACCTATCCCACCTCCCCATCCAATCCCAATTTCCATCTACTAAAATAAATAAACTCCTCTACCAGCACTGCTCCTGCCAGAATTTCAAAAATATTCCAATCAACGCCTCGTCAACCTTCTTGCATTGACCCAAGCTGGTGCTGTACTTCTGGCTCTTATCCGTGAGAGAGTATGGCACACTCTCAACCGTATCCTGCCCATACTTGGCGCCGAAAAATTCTAACAACTTGACTGGCGGGTTGACTGCAGGGTCCTGGTTCGACTCGCTGAGCCTCTTGAGCCATTCTGTGGGTGTCACCTCCTCAAACTTCAACCCGGCGGCGCGGAGACCAGGAAGGAAGTCATTGTTCCACGATGTAAGACCAGGGTGGGATACATTGAAGAAGGCATCTCGTGCAACATCCTCAGCAGAAAGGTATGAGAGGTCGATGATGGTGCTGGCCACGATATCGACTGGGAGCCACGAGACAATCTCATCAGTGACGGGGCGAGGAAGACATCCGATTGTGAGTGCTGACTGGATGGTGAGTGGGATAGCCTCGGTGGCGTTCCAGCAGCCATGGATGGTGTCACCAACGACCTGTCCAATACGGAGGACACGAGCTGGCAGGGTCGTGTTGCGGGCAGCAATGGCGCAGACCTTCTCTGTGACGAGCTTAGAGCGAGCATAACCCATGGGCATTGCATTTTCGAATGTAGTGGGCTCAGCCTCGGCGATGGTCTTGGAGTCAGTGTTGAGAACAGAAGATATAGAGGAACAGAAGTTGAATGTTGCGGGAGTGGCGCGGCGGGAGCTCAGACAGAGCGTCATGAGATTGTGGGAACCACCAATGTGCTGGGCTTCGAATGAGGTCACATCCATATTGAAGTTGACGGACCAGGCAGAGTGGATCACGATGTTGACGTTGTCAAGCAGCTCCTCGTAGATCTCAGAGGAGAGACCAAGGGTCTTCTGGCTGAAGTCCGAGGGGAATGCGGCAATTTTAGACAGCTGAGAGGCGGTGAGGGTGTTGTAGATATGACGATCCTTGAGAGACTGAATCGTACGCTCACTGGCCTTCTCTAGGGAGCTAGCACGGACGAGACAGTAGACCTTGCGCACAGTGTCTTTAGCTACAAGCTGAGCGACAATATGGGCACCAAGAGATCCAGTAGCACCGGTAACAATCTGTCAAAGTCTTTTTAGCATTGAAATACAAAACGAGTGATAATTTGTGAAGGTAACTTACGATGTAATCACCATCCGGCTTGGAATTTCCAGGAACATGTTGAGGGAGATCCGAGTACTTCTCAATCAATTGCTGCAACAACTCACTCTGAGAATCGATCTGCTCGCTCTCACCAGTTCTAAGACGGTGAAGGTACCCTGCCAATTTCTTAAGAGTTGGCTGCTCAAAGACAACGTTCTGGCCGATTTTCCCACCAGTCTTCAGCTCACGAACAATCTTTCCTTGAATCTGCATAGCGCCCAAAGAGTCAAGTCCAAGGGAAAAGAAATCGGTATCATCCTGGAGCTTTGAAGCATCATCGAGCGTAAGGATCTTGACTAGCTCTTTCTTGATAAACTGCTTAGTCTCCTCCTCCGAAAGCTCAAGACCATCCTGTGCGGCATGGTTCTCAAAAGCATCGTAAAGAGCATCGATCTCATTGGCATACTTTGCATAGTATGCAGCTCTGATAGCGGTACCCTTGTCGGTTCTTGGGTACTCTACACCAGGCGGGAGGAAACCGATCATCTCCTTCGAGATCTTCGCATACCCGGGCATGTTCTCGTTACCGGCCTCCACAGACTCCCAGATCTTTTCAACAAGCTCATCACGACTTAACCCTGCAGCCTTCTCACTTGGAACCAACAACATTCCCAAGTGGGGCCTCTGGGCGCCGAACGCGAGACCCTCCTTGATATATGGATTTTCCCTTACAAAGAGTTCAAGAGTGACCGGATTGGCCTTCTCACCGTTAGAGAGGACAATGGTATCATCGAGACGCCCATAGTATTTCCACTTGTTGGGGTCTGTGGGGTGCTGTAGGAACAAGTCGTGAGTCTCATAGGAGCCGTCGGGACGGTTGGTGAGTGATTGTGATGGCCAGCCGCCTTTGATGACAAGCTCGTAGATATTGGAAGTAACGTGCTCCCACTGAGAGTATTTGTTGAAGGATGGGAGAGGGCGGAGGTAGTTCCATTCGTTATCGCCTTCTTCGCGGAGGGATGATAAGCCGATACCGTTTTCAGTACTGGAAGTTGAACGATTAGTTCTATAAGCTCTCTCAATTGTTAATGGATTTGGGGGGAAAACTCACGATCCGTAGTAGCTGACAAGATTCACCCCCCTGGAAACTAAGTTATCACCGAGATCATCAGGACAACTAGCTCCGCCAAATACAACTCTATGACATTTAGCCATCGCCTCAACACCGCCCTCAGTTTCTGCAAGCAGCTTCAAAGCGTACGGGACAGCATAGAAGAGCTCCGTATTTAGAGTAGTCATGCTCTCTACAATGGAAGGTCCAGTGACTGGGAGATCGGCATTGAACATTGCGATTGTTTTGCCAGCAGAAAGAGCTCCAGTGACGGAAATAACCCCATATGCGTGAAACAATGGTAGTGTGATAAACGCATTTAAGGTAGTGGCAGAAAGAAGTCTGGCGGTGCTGAGCGCAGCCCTGTGGGTAGAAGCCACTGGCTTTGGAAGACCAGTGGATCCGCTGGAGTGGATGATCCATAGCGGCTTTTCAGTCTCCAAAGAATGGTCGAAACCGTGGTCGAAACCAGTATTCTCGGCGGGGATGTTCTGCGCCCCCGAAGGGTTATAGATTGAGCTATCTACCATCTTGATAACATTCAACGGGAGTGGGTAATCATCTCTGACACGGTTGATTGTCTTCTCGAAGGCAGGCTGAATAATAATATCAGAACAGTTCGTCTTCTGAAAAAGGTGCTTATAGGCAGCATCAGAAATTCTCGTTGACAAGAACAGGATGGTCAATCCAAGCTTTGACAGTGCGTATACTGATACGAGGTAGTCCAGATTAGAGGCACCGAGAAGAGCTACAACACGAGTTGGCTGGGACGATTTTGAACGTGCTGGTGTAGATTTCGAGTACTTCTTTGCGGCCCTGTATGCAAAGCTGTCGATATCTGAAAGAGTGTAGTGGACATAGTCGAGTCCAGAACGGGGGTACGACAGATATTGCTGGTTAGGGTTTGCGGCGGCCTTCTCACGAAGGAGCTGGTCGAGAGTGAAAGCAATAGGTGCGGCCTTTGATTCGGCGGAGTTTTCAATGCGAGATGGGGCCATGGTGATCACTTTATACTGATGTTGAATTGAGGTATATGGTAGGTTATGGTTGGTAGTAGGCTGTTTGAGTGTGATATTTGGTTAATTCGAGTGGTATTCTGGTATGAAAATTATGGAATAAGGCAAATGAAGAGATGTTGTGAGTGATGTTTGATGTGAGTGGTGATATTGAAGTAGTCCTCACCTTGGGGCAACACGGCAGTCTTTATATCTCTCACTCCCGCTGGCAATGCCGAGTTGCCCATAGACTCGGGCATCGATATATCAGTGATCAAAAACAAAAAGACCGCTAGGTATTGAATTGACTTTGATTTACTTAGCTGCCATGACCTAATTCCGAGGCACGGTCCATCCGGTAATCAGTTCCCAAGCGGATCCCGGCCGGTGGAGGATCAGCGGCTGGGTAGAATCTATCATTTCTGGTACGAAACAAGCTCACACCTGGCTAGCCTGTTCTTTTCTTCCCCTCTCTCGGCACACTGTTGCCGTTATTTCTTTTTCAGATTGTTGTCACGCAACTTGTGGATCTGGGGTTGAGGACTTTGTGCTTTCCTAAACAGGTCTCATATGCGCAATAGGTATATTAGTCCCGTGATCTAGGAAGAGTGCTTTTCTGCTCATTGGGGGCCCACTATTGATTAGTTGAAGTTAGAATGCCGAGGCCCCCTTCTCTTTTGGGGTTTTGACAGGTTGGATGCCTACCAATTTCGAGATTTATCCAGCAGGACATGTCCTAGACCGGTACCTGTGGCGAGCATGTACCTGTACCGACAATCTTATCTAATCTGCATACATACATTTATGTAGAGTTAATTTGGCCATAAATTCCTAGTGATCAGATAAGATGCTCGGCACAGGTCATGCTCACCCGGTCTATGTAATCCATGTACAAATAGTAGCTGTCTATGAGATATCCTTGTATAGGACGTACAGCCGCCCGCCGTTGTAGCGAACGCTTGTATACCGAATATTTGCTGTACCGAGCCACTTAGGTTGGCTTTTTTTCCATTCGTTATAGCGGCGGGCGACTGTAATCTCAAGTATTCTAGTTGGCTACATTACTGTAGTGAATTGTGAACCGCATGCTACATGTAATACTATAACTACTTCCCTGAATTGATTATGCTACACCGAACCCAAGAGCTCCAACTAGATTTACGCTCTATTGTTTCACTAACCAACTCAGGGCCCACTTCCCGCGGCAGTTTATGTACTCCTGTAGATTTTCTCGTCGACTCTAGAAGCTCCCGAGTCTTCTGTATAATCAATCCAGATTCCGGATAAACGGGACTTGCCTGTCCTACAGAATTAATGAGATGATATCACTATGGAAATAGATTGCAGCTCTAGAAATAAAATCGGGTTTCATGATTTCCCTCAACCTATCGTCAACCTCAAGCCGAACTATCCGTTTCGGCCGGACATAAAGAAAATGCTTGAAGCCCGAGCCCTCCGAAAATCGATATCGTGGTCTGCAGCTCGGAGAATTTGTGTGGGGTGCGCCACGCAATCAGCGTCATCAGTGTATTATCTTGGCATCATGCTACCCTGCAGGGGTAGAACTTCCCCACGTTTTCTCTCCGCTGGTTGGTTTGGGTTAATTTATGCGGTGTGAACACGGGCCTCTTGTTCACGCTGTCTTGCAATTGCTCGACGTGTTGAGAGCCTCAATCTGGGTTGCTAATCCATGGTATCGACGTACGTGGAAACGTGGTCAAGACTTTAAAAAAGTAAACTGGGTTGATGAAGGGCGAGATCGACTTTGTTGGATGCAGGTGCATAGCTACTAGTCTAGAATAGATCTCTAATATGCACTGCATAAGGAATACCAAATCATCGAGTTCTGGTCATCTGCAAGGGGCTCTTGGTATGTTTCTATTCAGAATCTGGATCTGTTTCTTGGTGTCTTTCTGATATGTATATACATGGTTAACCTGATGTGAAAATGCGGGTACAACCTCGACGATGTCTGTTTGACAAGAGATGACTTTTTACGGAAAAGGTCTAAAATAACACAGTTTTCGGTACACTTGATGTAGAGCAATTATAACACATAACGCAAATTGACACACTTCTACGATCAAAAATGACACAGTTCAAGGCCTCAGGCTCTTTTAATTTAGGAGAACCTATTGATGAACTGTTGCCGTGAAATTCGGAACTAAAAGACCTTTTTAGAAGCACCGGTTGATAACCTAAGGCCCGAAGTTTTGAAATTTTTCCCTGGTAGGACCGATCGTAAAATCAAAATAGGTGCTTCACAATATGAGCGGAACGTACTCAAGCAATCACTATCATCAATCCCTACTATCTATCGGCCGTAGCACGGTACTCACGGGCCACAGAGAACAACATGCAACCCTTCTAGACCGCACCGCTTTAATTCTCCGAAGACGAAGAGAGTAAATGCTCTACAACTCCCAACCCAACCTCAAGTTCCTCAACCCCACAGCCGTAGGGTTGTCATTGACCTCTCACGGTTATCACGGCACAACATCAACGGCAACAACTTCGGTATTGGATAACGTGGGTCCGGAGTTCACTTCGCTTCACCATTTTACTACACCGGTACATCCCGTACTCAGAAACAATAGTCTATATTCACTGCGTCGAAATCCAGGGCTTCGAAAGCGTGAATGCCGCTATAATTATGCAGAAGCCTGCTCCTGTCTCAGATCTTGTGTTATCCGCACTTCGCTTGATCAAATATCACGCGGGGCTGCAGTACAGATAAAGAATGGCACACTGCGCGGCCGCGGTGGTTGTTGCCGTTCTATCCTGATCATTCATGATGCGGTGTGAGACATCGGACATGGACGGTGGGGATCAAGCTAGCGGAGGTCCGGCGGTGATCACCTTGTCTTTGTGTTCACTAATCGGAAATCAAGCAAGCCGCGGTTCGGATGAGTCGGTTATCGAATAAGCTTATCTGGACGTTGAAGTCTCGATATACCTAACAATTCCCACAGGTGCGACTAACTTACTTACAAGCCAAGCTGCTCGGCATTTCTTCGTGGGTCATAATTTGTCACTCGTTAGTTACAAGTACTTACATGTATCTATTTGTTTTATCGGAAGCTATTTCTACTAATATGATAGTTACATGTAGTTTATAAGTTTGAGGCTCGAGTATTAGAGGATTTTCACACTTGCGAAGGATGTCACAATCTTCCTTGTGCTTGCGCTCCTGGGCAAACTGATTGAGAGCAAGCTAATGTGCTTAAATAGCTAGTTAGTCCGTTTTATAAAGTTACTAACCTAGATTGATTTGTTCGCCGTTCTCGAGAGGCGCCTTGTGGTTAATTTGGAGCCCTGAGCTCTTTCGCCGAATAGATACCATGTTGATCACGATTGAAGGAGGATGTAGAGTATAGAGAAAGAGCTAGAGGGATTGGATTGGCAGTATCCGAAATTTTTTTGGTAAATTGTATGTATCCACATATAAACGTAAACTCGAGTGACCGTATCGACTAGATCATGTATGCATGTAGTAAGGTACCCGTATCGAGTCACAATTGCAGTTGTATTCATGTATACTAGCCGGCACACGTATCAAAGGAGCCTGGTGATCGAAAGCTTGTTGTCTCTGCATGGGTCATTGACTATGTGGAATTACCTCCTTGTTTGTATGGATGACCGGATTCGATCTCTCGGCCGGATGCCATGGAACCCGAGCTATCCATGCGCCATCATTATTACTATCAATCCATCGCGATATCGCATATTAGTATCGCACAGTTTTATCACTGCACATAGCCAACAGTGGGCTGAGCCCACACTAGAGCAATAACGAGAAAAGGAAAAAGAAAAGAAAAGCTGATCAGGGGGTCGTTTGACTCTACCGGGGCTTTTCCCGATTCGTGCGCTCTCTATTCGGTAAGAAAAGTCTAGAAGTAATAATCGATATCAAGATCATGTGTAAGTTAGCAAGAACAAAGACCGGCCACAGGTATACCTACAGGCTGCATGTAATGAGGGAAAAAGAGAACGGATGGATATTTCTGCTCGGACTCAGCCATATTGGATCGGCTTCTTCCTCTAGAAAGTTGACTCCCTGGTGTCCTTGGATTATAAACAAAAGTTTAAATCTTTAGAATAAAAGCCTTTATACTGATGAAGGTTTAAACGACAGACTATCTGTGGCTGTTTTGAATTCTGAAGCAATTAAGTCTAAGTAACTCGAAGTACTTACTAATGCGGTGGAACTGGACTAAGAGGCGGCCGCGGCCATTTAAGCATATGTTCGGCTTTATGATAACTGCATGTACTTTAGAAATCTTATTTCTTGTTTTCTTCAAATACTGCCTGTGATAAGCGTTGGTGAATGTGGTGTCAATGGAGAAAAATTAGGCACTAATATAAATAAGTCATTATCAGTAATGGTTCAATTAAAGCTTGTCTACATGTAAAAGTGATAGAATACACATACAGTGTTATATAATAATTTCAATATGTGCATACAAGTATACTTAGTAGATAGCTACATGTACATATACATAACTGAAGGAGACTAACTAGGAGGTTCATATGTTTTTAGTATACTGTGGAGTAACTGCGGTCGTGGGGATGTATTGTTTAAGGGACATGCTATAGTATACGCAAATAAGTTAATAAGTACATGTATGTACTAGTGCCACTCATTATTAATCCACCTCATATGCCTAGGTATCAATTGCATACATATATATATATATGTAGTATAGTATGGCCAGACTGTATAGTAGTGGTAGCCATACGAGCGGTTGGTTAATTCTCATTGTATCTAGAAACGTATGTGAATATACCTGGATAATACAATATGCATGAAAAAGAGGTGAAATCACTACAATTTCATATGATCACGCAATTTAGTAAAGAACAGAATTAAATTGGTATTCTAAGGAGAATACCGTGTCAAATACATACGTATGTAACTCCATAGGATCGTGTAATCAGGCCCCTAGTACCTCCATCCTTCCGAGTAGGGGATGGGTCCCAGACTACACGTCGCATGTACATGTAACTATGTAACTACATGTAGTAATATATTGACTAGAAAATTGTGAAAAACCCAATCCTTTTTGTACCACATATACGTACAGTTATATGCATAGCATTTTGATGCGTATCACAAGTGATCACTCGCTCCAACCCCGCTCACCAGAAAAATCAGCTGATACTAAACACTTTTAAACCAAATATTATCACCAAAAAAGATCAATAACATCTCTATAGATGTATATTATTTGTAACATTATTCAAAAAATTACTACATGCGCGGACTTCTTCAAGAGAGGTTGTAGATACCCCTAACCCTACATGTTGTGTGAGAGGAAGGTCTTGGCGCTCGATGTGTTGGCTGCACCCATCGAAACATTTCTCCACCTATTCTGGACGATGAGAATACTCCCATTTTCGCTCGGTTCCTTAAAGGACAAACTTCTAGAGCGATCAAACCGTGGGATCAACTTATATCCTCATGTGGTGAGCCACAGAGAAGGGACTAATTAGCTTTGAAGGTATGTAACCGTGGATGCCATGCTCTACCATCATGAACTGGTTTAACAAGGACTTCGCTCAGGACCTCAAGCGCCAATGTGATATTGTAATTGGGACGTTCCGATGAGTTCTATGGGATGTATGACATTCATCAGTTCTTCCAGATAGCTCCTAGATATATAGGTGGATATGTGGCTGTCCTGTTGATTGCTGCATGCCCCCACCATCTGGCGCCTCCCACTCACTCACTTCCCCGGGGAACATATATCCCAAAGTCTTGGGTTTAGAACTCTCAAACTGTACTATTCAATTCGTTTCCGAACAAGTGTACGGCTATAGTACTTGAGTAGGGCTCTTTGTTTCCGAAGAGACTGCACCTTCATGTAGTGGCGAAGTAACTTACAAGCTTTGTCGACAATCGTATCCAAGGAGCGAATCATATTAATCCGTTGTATACGTGGAGGACAGGCGTTTGCAACCCCATTAACAAGTCCTTCGCGGAGAAGATTTAGCCATCAAGCACTAATTGTAATCGGGGAAATATCCGGATTACAATAACGGGGGGTCTTCCTGATACATATGGGAAGCCGCAGGAAAAGCGAAAGAATTCTTTTATATATCGCGACAACGAACCATGGGGAAATCCGGTTGGTCAAGTTGCCTCTGGAGCAAATATTATCGTTCTGGGCCGGGGCCTAAATACCTACAGTCTAGATCTCCCTCTTTGGTAGATATCATGATGGTAGCCTTATCTATGGCCGCGGTAATTGCGATCATTGAACTTAGTTTTCTTACTGGTTTATAGCCCTTTAAATTATTTAAAGGTTGTTGACTAATAGAAAGACTAGGTAAATGAATGCAGTTGCTGCCTTGTTTTGCCACAGATAAAGGGCAATAATGGCAACAGGAGGAGATACAAGTCTCGGGATGGACTATGAGCTGCATCCCATATTCATTTGATGATACTTGATTTTTTGGAATTTTCCAGAATCATGGGGGCATGGCCTACTTTCACTTTTGGCTCCTGCCGGCCCCGCAGAGGATTATATTTGACTGTCGATTTCGACGGGCTGGCCAAATCCACATGTCAAGACTAGACCAAGAAAGGAGAATATGGTAGGCAACACCATAACGATGCCAGTACTACATTATGATATCAGCAGTATGTTGGAAATTGACGAAGGATATAAACCACACACATATGGCTGACCGCAACTAGTAACTGGGGTGGTGGTATGGGAAATCATCACAATCTGGACATTGTACTCACAGAAGGTTACATAAAATAATTTACACCATAATGACTCACGGACGATTGCAACATCACCTCACATCTTTGGACGATAACGTTTGATAATGGCCGGATTCTTATATATATATGACTCGACAGCTCGATATGGGTTATTATGTCCCGGCCGGGTAACCGCCCAAGACTTGAATGGAGCAACAATTCCTTTCTTCTCCTCCCCCCGCCACGCTTCTACTTTTGCGACCGGATCTCGTCACTACACACGTCCCAACCACATTTCATCACAACAAATCCACCACAGACCACTCAACGATCCCCGCACATACGAGGGTTTAATTCACCGAACAAACAAAAATTCATCTACAATTATCTCCTGGTTTCAGCAGCGCAAGCGAACGGAATAAAGATGTCTGGTGGTAAAGGAAAGTCACATGGGGGCAAGGCCGGGCCTAAAGGTGGAGATGCATCTAGACAGCAGGTCTCTCATTCTGCAAAAGCGGGGTTGCAGGTAAGAAATATTTTTTTCTTGTTTGGTATGTTTTAGGTGGTCAGTACCTGGCACCGCTGTTTGGGATAGACTTGAACTTTCCCTCGATGAAAAAAAAAATATAGCGATTGGGAAGCTTTATTTTCCAACGCGTTATGGCTTTTCATGTGTTAGTGTTGATTGGAGCGGAGCTCATTTATAAGAAGCGAAGCTTTGCACGAAACGGTGACACAGCACTTGCTTAGAGGAAACAAGCTAGACAAACAAACTGCCAGACGAAACACCAATTGAAGAAGTGAATACTAATTATTGTTTCCTGTTATTAGTTCCCTTGTGGTCGTGTCAAGCGTTTCCTCAAAAACAACACCCAGAACAAGATGCGCGTCGGAGCTAAAGGTACCATCGCCCGCCATCAATCCACCCATCAAATATTTATCGCTTTTGATTCCATCTCATAATCATGCATGTTGTCTAACCAATTAAAACAGCTGCTGTCTACGTCACTGCGGTTCTGGAATATCTCACTGCCGAAGTTCTCGAGCTCGCTGGAAATGCTGCCAAAGACTTGAAGGTCAAGCGTATAACCCCACGCCATCTACAACTCGCAATTCGTGGAGACGAAGAGCTCGATACCCTCATCCGCGCGACAATCGCCTTCGGGGGTGTTCTACCACACATCAATCGTGCTCTACTGTTGAAGGTGGAAAAGAAGAAGAAGGCTGGCGAGAAAACTGGTTTGTAAGGTTGAACTGTGTGAGAATGCTTGCGGTTTGTAATCTTCCGAGAGAAAGCGCGAGTATAACGAGAATGGTCTACAATCAATGAATAACTATAAAACAAAATTTGGGCAAACAGGGAACCGGGTTAGGTGTTGGAAGGGGCTTCTCTTTTTTCTTTTCTTTTCTTTCTACTTGCTTTTTCCTTCCTAAGTTGTTATGTTTGACGGTTTCATTAGGCTTTGCTGGCTGCTGGTGGGTTAGAAAGCCCAAAATTTTTCTTGAAGATGAAGACACGGGTGTTGATTCTGAAACGATGCGAATGTAATTGTAACACTAGGTTCTTTTTTCTTGTCTCCACTCTAGTCTCTTTCTCCCTCCTACACTCATGTTATACTTTGCTGCTGTCGTATCATATCATCCATAGCTTTTTTTCCCGGCAAATACTGGTGTTCTCTTTTGGGGCGCTTTTCTGGATTAATAAGGAATAATACATGGGGGGCGGGTGGTGGTGCTTTTGCTTCAAATTCCTATGCAAGATCTAGAAAATTGGCCCAAAATAGTCTAGTACAATGCAATACTACTTTAGCACTGTAATAGTATTGGCAGTATTGCTAGCACTTTCTATGCAATCCTTCAGCAGTCCTCTTCCCACTTTCACCACCTACGCCTTCCATATGTACAATTCACAAATATGATCACAGAAGAAAATCAAAAATGAAAATGAAACAAATGCTTTTCTGCTAACAAAAAACCGAGAGTGTCGAATAGGTATGAGGGAATGAGTGAGTGGAGCGACTTAAAAAAACCCAGGTAAAAAATAGATACAAGTAAATATAAGACAAATTAGAGAAAGACTTGACTAAACACCCATCATTTCACATCGCATTAATTCCTCTCTCCACACGCATAGATTATACTTTTGGGGGGGCAGATGAATTCAGGAAGAAAATGATTTAGTTTAGAAACCGCCCATTCCACCCATTCCGCCCATTCCGCCCATACCACCGCCCATACCGGCAGGGGGTCCCTTCTCCTCAGGAGCATCGACAATAGTGCACTCAGTGGTTCCCAGCAGAGAGGCAACACCAGAGGCATCGGTAAGAGCGGTTCTAACGACCTTGAAGGGGTCAAGAATACCAGCTCCGATCATGTCAACGTATTCGCCCTTGGATGAGTCGTATCCCTTGTTAAAGTCCTCGCCAAATTCCTCAGTGAGCTTTCCAACAACGACAGACCCCTCACCACCAGCGTTCTCCACGATTGTTCGGGCAGGCTTGGTGATGGCGGACTTGATAATTGAAACACCTAGCTGCTGGTCGAAGTTGGCAGGCTTAAGGTGGTTCAGGGCGTTCTTGGAAGCCTTCAAAAGGGCAGTACCACCACCGGGCAGAATACCCTCCTCAACGGCCGCGCGGGTGGCGTTAAGAGCATCGACAATACGGTCCTTCTTTTCACCAACTTCAACCTCAGAGGCACCACCGACCTTGATGACGGCGACACCACCAGAAAGCTTGGCGAGACGCTCTTGGAGCTTCTCCTTCTCGTACTCGGAGGTGGTAGGGTCGTTCATGACGCCACGGATCTGCTCACAGCGCTGTGCAATGTTATCCTTGGAACCTTCTCCGTTCAGGATGATGGTGTCCTCCTTGGTGATTGAGATAGAACCAGTGGAGCCCAGCATGTCGGCAGTGAGCTTCTCGAGCTTGACATCGAGCTCGTCGGTGAAGACAGTTCCGTTGGTCAAGATGGCGATGTCTCCAAGGATGGATTTGCGGTTGTCACCGAAGCCAGGGGCCTTGACGGCGGCAACTTGGAGCTGGCCGCGGAGCTTGTTGAGAATGCAGACGGCAAGAGCCTCACCTTCGATGTCTTCGGCGATAATGACAAGTGGGCGGCGGAGCTGGGTGGAAATCTCAAGAGCGGGGATGATATCCTGAACAGCGGAAATCTTCTTCTCACTGAGGAGAATGAGAGGCTTCTCGAACTCGACCTTCTGGGACTTGGTGTCGGTGATGAAGTAGGCGGAGACGAACCCGCGATCGAACTTCATGCCCTCGGTAACTTCCAACTCGTCTTCAATGGTCTTGCCTTCCTTGACAGTGATAACACCCTCCTTCCCAACCCTCTCCATGGCGTTGGCAATGAGTTTTCCAACATGGACGTCTCCGTTTGCAGAGATGGTAGCGACCTGCGCAATCTCCTCAGAAGTAGTGATATCGCGCTTGTTCTTCTGGAGGTATTCAACAACGGCTTCCACAGCAGCTTGAGTTCCACGGCGGAGATCCATGGGGTTGCATCCGGCAGCGACGTTCTTGACGGTCTCAGTGAAGATGGCACGGGCGAGGACGGTAGCAGTGGTAGTACCATCACCAGCGACTTCATTGGTCTTTGAGGCAACATCTTGGAGAAGACGAGCACCGAGGTTCTCAAACTTGTCCTTGAGAGTGATAGCCCTACAATCGGTTAGCGTTGACTTTGTATACTGTCTGGATAGAATTGTGCGTACTTTGCGACAGTAACACCATCTATATACAAAATATCGGGTTAGTGCGTTCAACTTTAGAGTAAATTTAAGAGTTTGAACTTACCCTTGGTGATTTTTGGGCTTCCGTAAGGTGACTCGATGAGGACATTGCGTCCCTTAGGACCCAAAGTAACCGCAACAGCCTTTGCAAGCATATCAACACCAGCCAGGAGCGATTGTCTCCCCTCAACACCGAATTTCAGTTCCTAAACCATTGTAATGCCACTAGTTAGCCAATGTTTTATATCTATGGGAACTCGATATAATATCGTTCACAACTATAGCCAAGAAAAGCCTGCGAAGAATGCAATTGAAGGTAAAAATAGTGTCGACAAGAAAAAACGAACCTTGTGAGCATATCCTCTGGCCTGGACGAAGGGCCTCAGAGTGGCAGCCAAGGGCTTAGCCCGGGTAGCGGTGAACATTGCTCTCTGCATTGTGGTTTCTGTGGTGTGAATTCACGAAATTAAGCGGAACTACACAAAAAATTGAATGAAGAACACTTCTTAAACGAACTGCAGGTTGATTAAAGATGCAGAGGAAATGTGAAATGGGGGGAGGGGCAGAAGAAATAATGACGGAGGGAAAAATTTGTGGGGTGTCGAAGAGAAACATCTGGAAAGTCTTGGCATATTTTCTTTCAAAGTTCCCGAGGGGAACGGGATTACTATTTGACAATCCCATTGTTATCTACTCTACCGAGTAACATTGGGTTTGTTGTGAGCTGAGTCGTAGAATAATAACATGTGTGGCTATGCCTGATGTTGGAGAGGGAAAGTGGGTTGCTAGGGCTTGTTGTACTTAACCCCTCCAGCCTCCAACCGCTCAAGCCCATCCCACCAGCAAGATTCCCTTTTACCCCCCTAATCAACAAGCCCTTGTGGTGCAATAAACCTACCAGCTTCATCTTCATTCATCTTCCCGCTCGTTGCATATCTTCCTCATCTACCTCACCTAGGTTTGTTTTGTCCTCTCTCCACTTTAGCAATAACCCGCCCTGCTCTATCTCGCTGCTTGCTTTATTCCTTTCCATCCCAGCTCGCCGTTCGTTGACGTGGTGACCCCGCTTTGTGCTCACAATGCTTTTCTCCTTATTAGATCACCTCGTATCTTTTAGAGCTCGCTGTCATTATGGTAATATTCATTCCTTTGGACTCATCTTTAGCCCTCCTCTCAAATCTGTGGACTGTTCACTGACACATCGTTTGTTATAGTCTCGCTCTGGGTATTCCCCCTGAAATATACCCTGTTCAACAAAGCCCATCTTCATCATGAATCAACTCGATACTGTGTCTGGAACTTGATAAACATGAGTGTCGAGCTAACCTTTCGTCCTTTTCTTAACAGAGTTGGCCTTGACAAGGAATGCATTCCCACGTTCGAGGAACTTAAGCTCGGGAAGAAGATCAAATACATCATCTACAAGCTTAGCCCGGACAATAAAACCATTGTAGTTGATAAGAGCTCGACCGACTGCGACTATGAAACATTCATTGGTGATCTTCCAGAAACTGAGTGCCGATACGCGATCTACGACTTTGAGTACGAGTTGGAAGGTGGTGAAGGAACGAGGTAAATACACTATCCCTACATACATAGACCGAATCCCTCATGGTGCAATATGCAAGCGTTTCTATTGATATATTAATATGGAATTTTGGCTCTATTGTTTCCATTTGCTGTCCTATTTACCTATCTGAACATGTACCTTTTTATTTATATCCCATGGGCTGTATGCTAATAGTAGTTCTCACATAGGAACAAGCTCTGTTTCTACGCTTGGTCTCCTGATGATGCCCCGGTCAGGGTATAGAATCACGCCCTATCTTCTTATTAGCAGATACTAATTCGGTCGTCCTACAGTCCAAGATGGTCTACGCTTCCTCCAAGGATGCTCTCCGCCGGCCTCTGACAGGAATCCACGCCGAAATTCAAGGGACCGATTTCAGCGAAGTATCACACGAGGTTGTTTTGTCGAGATTCGTGGGCAAATGAGGGATTCAACTCATGACTCGGGAAAGAATAACAGCATCTTCACAACCGCGCCTCCTGTTTTCCCTTTGAAAAGATGTGTTTTACCCAGTCCTTGGTACACCGAGCTTGTATTTTCTCTTTTTTTTGTGTGTAATCCTTCTCGCGTATTGGGTGGTGAAAAGTGACGTTTGGGAATACACGACTTTCTTTTTTCTCCCTTCTCTTCTATTTTTTACTTGCATTTACTTGTGTCGTTGCGCGGTGGGATCGCTTTTGCGTGTTTTACTGTATCAAGGCGATAGATTTGGTGCACAAGGGGCATTTGACCTTTGAGGAACAGGGGAAGGCCCAACTGAATTATCTTGCTCACTTTTGTGATATCATAATTTGCGTATGATTGATTTCGATACCAAGTGTGATGAATGCCGTGTCAAAATGTAGATTTAATGGTTATCTATTCTTAGAGCTTAGATTTAGCTTAATATATGGCACGAGAAGGCATAGGGGTGGGTGTGTCAACTTCAGAGGATGGGAGTTAGAGAAAATTCCACCGTTAGGCTAGGCTAGTACTATTATGGGAGTAGATCTCTCAATTCCTATAGATTGATTGGCTGCAAACGCCGAAGTTTACACACCTATGTACCCACTATAGCTTCTCGAGCCATACTTTACCTTGCTCAGGCAAGTACATGCATGTATCTACTACCGTCGTTTTCAATCATCAGCTGTCACTCGCGTGATTATTTGGGATGTAACCGACTCGGATAATTGTCAACACGGTCGATGCATCTCGTTCTTGCCACAAGCTGATAATTTTGTTTTACCGTTGGTTATATGCAATCAAATCTTTTACTTCAATACCCTGTTTAGACTGGTAGGCTAATAAAGCCTAAAAATTGAGGTTTTCTTTTTTTGATTAAAATTCCCACATTCATACAACAGTACCGGTATGCGTGGCTGGGGATTGCTGACTATTGACAGGGTTAGGGCGGGATGACGTGGATGGTCCGAGGCATGTCGTGTTTACTACATGTAGTATATGTAGGCATTACGATTGTAGCCTACAAAAGCTTCTCAGGAGGTGGGTACAAAATCAATTACATACAAAATCAGTTGTTGACGATATATTCCAACTCCAGCTCTATTATATCGATCCCTGTCGGTTGAGAAGAACTTCAAATATTTGGAATATGGCCCTTCTCGATTTACCGAATGAGCTCCTATTGCCGATCGCAAAGGAGCTCCATCCAAGCGATCTCAGAGCTCTGGTTCTAACCAACCGTCGTCTCGCCAATTTGTTAATGTCAGATCTCCACAAATCAGCAGTTACGAATAAGAAGTGCGCGTTAGCAGCGTTGTTCTGGGCTGCTGCGGTTGGACGCGAAGCGATGGTTCGATTGGTCCTTGAGAAGGGTCCAAAGATTGTTATTGACGATATTTGTACCTACGACTTTGCAAACCCCCACAGTACTACTGGTACTAGTAAGAAGCTCAACGTAATGTTTGAGGGCCCCTCAAAATGCAGCGACGACGTTGTCAAGCAGGTGTTGAAAAAAGGGGTATTCCTTGTTGTGACTGAGGGCCGTAGGACATGGACATGTCTGCATTGGGCGTTCGAGAACAAGCAGAAAGCACTCTTCAGGCTACTGCTGGACAGAGGCGCAAGCACAGAGGTCCTTGTCAATGCCAGCCAACAGACAATTCTCCACATGGCGGCGCGGGAGGGCGACGAGGTTTCGGCGAAGCTCCTGCTGCGCGAGAGATGCCGGACCGATACTCATGCACAGCTGCTACAATTCGGGACATTGCAGAGCCAACGCGCCGACATTGGCCGCCTGGATCTCCTGGGGTACACGCCGCTTCATCTGGCGGCGGAAGCGGGTAAGGTGAAGCTGGTGGAGCTGCTGCTGGACAATGGCGCGAGGATTGATTCGCAGATCCACGACACTGCGCTTCACTTGGCTGCAAAGCACGAACAGGAGGCTGTGGTCGCATTGTTGCTGAAGAGGGGGGCGGATCCGAATCTGAAGGATGCTTGTGGAATGACGCCCCTGCACCTTGTGGTGCTGTACCGCTTCAAGGCCGTAGCGGAGATGCTCCTGCTGAACGGGGCGGATATCACGACTCGAGACCGCCACGGCGCAACAGTGCTTCACGTGGCGGCGGAGAACGGGGACGAAGCATTGACAAAGCTGCTTCTTAGAGAGGGCTCCCACGTTAATATTGATGTCAAGAATCACTCCGGAAACACACCTCTCCATTTGGCCGCAAAATACGGACATGAGGCGGTGGTTGCAATTCTGTTAAAGGAGGGCGCAGACATTCAGAACAAAAATAGAGACGGGAAAACTGCAGTTTACCTGGCATCACTTTGGTCTAACAAGTCGGTGGAGGAATTTTTGTGGAACAATGGGGCATGAAATAGTCATATTTTTATTATTTCCTTTGGGTGCATTATATATTGGATCACGAATCGAGTTTGTGTGAATGATGGTTTTATTAGGAAAAGTTTTCTAATCATAGCATTTCATTTTGTTATTCGACGTTTCTTAATCATAACTAGTTTTAACTATAATACATTACTTTCTAGCTATAGAGGCTTTGTAACATCTTGGGGAGTGGTTGGGGTATATAGATGTGCTTAATTCATAGATATTTGCAGACGTAGCCCTATAGTGTGGTTGAAGAATTTGCCTTGGCGACTAAACATCTTGATATTAAAGTTTCAAATATTGATGGTATGCATGTATACGTATTATCACAGATCTCAATAATCCAGTTTCCATTCCGTTTTCTTTTGCACACTAGGATAATTCCGGGTCTTAGTTTTAAATTAATATAGACAACACCCTAAGACCTACCAGACACGCCGAAAAATATTAAACACCGTTAAACCCCATTAATAATAACAAACTAGCACACTTTTTTTTCTTTTAATACGACAAATCTAGCTACGCTAGAAGTTGATCCCTCAAAGAAATACAGACTCCCCAAACCCCGAAATCCATCCGCAGCATCATCCCGCCCTACTGCCTATTCCTAACCTCCAGGTACCCCCACCCAAACACCGCCCTCCCCGACACCCTCCCGGCCGCCGTTTCAGCATCCTTCGTACACGCCCCCACCAGGCCACCAAGCGCATCCACCAAGTGGTAGCATCTAAGCTTCGTCCTGTACTCGCCACACATCATGACGAGGGCGCTGCCGTAGTTGATGAGCTCGATGCAGCCCTCCTCCTCCCCGCGGCGGCTGTCCTGCGTGCACCAGTGGGTGCCCTGGTCCTGCTGCAGCTCCGCGGCGCCGAAGAGGACGTGGTTCGTGAAGGGGGAGCTCTTGGTGGTGGTGCAGATGAAGGTGGAGGGTGTGGGGTTGGCGTCGGTGCCGCGGGGGTGGAGCTTGAGGACGTTTGGGGGCTGTGCATGTGTGGAGCGGGGGGAGGTGATGAATCTGGCGGTGGTGGGGGTGGTGAGGGTTAGGAGGAGGAGGAGGAGGAGGGAGGATAGGAGGGCTGTGAGGTACTGGGTTGGTTTCATTGTGGTGTGCGTTGAGTGAGATATTTTGTTTTTGATGGTTTCTGTGGTTTGTGGGATCAGCTGGGATGGGGTGGGTTATGAGGTGGAATTCGGGGAGGATACGTTGGATTTTGCCAGATATATATTCTTATGCGAAAGATATATGTGGGATCCTTAAGTCCGGTCGGCACGTACGTGGTTGATGGGGCGACGTTCTCTCAGTCATGACATATCACTCGGCTTAAATATTACTTCTTATGCTCACTCACCCACGCTTGATTTGTTTGATTCAATTTGTTGATTTGCTCGGTACGTTATATGCTCCCGTAATAAAGTGAGTAACATTTGCTATATACGGTGATGATTGTTCTAAGTACATTATTATTTCCCCATGATCAACACCAGCTTTTAGTTTTCGATTCTATCCCTATACCATTTTTCTCCTCCCTTTCCACTTTCCACGGCCAGCAGCTAACTATATAAATATTTTTCCCTGCCTTCTCACCGCCCACTCACCCACCAAGCCATCTCCAGCCCTCCCTCAATCACACAAAAACGCACTCCTCGCCTTCAAGCCCACCTGCGCACTCAAGCTCGACACCAGCGCCACACACTCCTTCCCCTCAAACCAGCCCGTCTGCCACATCCTCGTGCCCCCCTCCCTCACCTCCTCAAACGACCACCTCCTCCCCAGCCCCACCTCTCCCACAGGCCCACACGGCCGCACCACCTCCGTCAGACAGTGCGCAAGGCTCTCCCACCGCGTGCTGCGCTCAAACCCAATCAGGTTCTGGAACAGCGCCTCCACCTTTGCATCCTCACACACCCTCACACACGTAAACCGCTTCTCCCCGCCGCCCCATAGCCCCACCAGCGGGTCCTGCGAGCCTCCCGCCGCATCAGCGGGGATGACACTGATACACACGTCCCAATGCCGCCCCGGACACACCCGTGCATGATCCGTCTGCCACCCGCAGCCCAGCAGGCCGTCGAGCCCCCAGAACACGCCCTCACTCACGGGGGCAAGCCTGCGGCCGTAAAATGCGTCTTCCGTGGCATTCGGGAGGGCGGGTGGTGCGGCGCGGTGCTGTGGTGCGGGGACGGGCGCAACGACCCACTCGCCGATGCCGAGCCAGAACTTGTAGAGGTATTTGCGCTGCTGTGCGGGGACGCGCACGGTGCAGTAGGTGCGGCCGTGGTCGCGGCCCGGGGGGTGGTTTCCGATGCGGAGGAGGAGGGTTGCGGGTGTGGGGGGGAGGGTGGTGAGGTGGGATTGGGAGAGGTCCCAGAGGCGTTGGCCGTGCTGGGATTTTATGGTTAGGCCGTTGGATTCTTGGTTGACGAGGGTGGTGGGGGGGTGTTGTGGGGGTTGGGGAGGAAGTGGAGGGAGAAGGGGGGCGCCATTGCAATTGTGTGGTGTGGGGATGGAGATGATATCACTGACGTCCCCGGTGATGAATGAATGGGGTAGAAGAGATGAGAGATGAAAAGGAAGAGAGATGAGAGATGAAAAGGAAGAGGTAAGAGGTAAAGTTAGAGACGGCGGGGGGGAGGATAAGAGTAGACGTCTAGCTAAAGGTTGATCGATAGCCCAGCACCCGCTCCACGCAAGACCCCCAGCCAGCCAGCCAGCCAGCCAGCAGCCCGCCCACCCTTCATGCATATACGAGCCGCAATAGCTCACAGAAGCCCCCCCCCCCCCGCAGTGCTAACGAACAGACGCAGGTATGTGAGGATATGAACTACCGCACTAGCATTCCCAATTGGGCGTCTCCAACCAATTTCCATGCGGCTCTGTCATGAGACATCACTCGTCCGAGTGATAATGTTTGAATGGTCGTTGTCGGCCAATCAGGCAACCGCGATACAGCACAACAGGCAAATATTAACCATAGTAACAAAGCTTCCACTACTTGGTGCATTAGTAGTGGCATGTGGGATAAATTCACCCCAAGTTGAGTAGACTTACTTTATTACCCTCTAGGCTTATTATTAGAGCAGTCAACGCTGCGTGTAGCTAATTGATGACCAACCCAGCCTCTCCGGCCGCGGGTTGGTCCCCACCAGCGCCCCGTTTCCTCCGGCGGTGATGCGGAGAAGGGAGCAGCCACATGCCGCAACAAGATCCCGAGCGACTCAAGCCGGTACTAAACCCTACTTCACACTCTGTTCACAACACGTGTCTCTATTCAAAGTAATAAGGTCTTAACAGTACATGCTACCCCCCAATGATGCATGCCCTGATGGCCAAGCTGGTAAGGCGCAGCACTTGTATGAGATGCTGAGATCCCTGGTTCAAATCCGGGTCAGGGCAGGAAGAAGCTGTGATGCTACAGCATTGAATCCTTTTTTTGGTTCTTGTAATTGCCTTTTTCGAGATTGGGCGTTCAAAGTTCTCTTTACTGGCGGGGTCCCGACTCTCAGCACAGCGTGCTAGAATAACTACTTAACAGAACAACCAAAAAGCTATTCCTAAATAAAACCGAATTGGCATCGACGCACCATCACTGGTGCAGAACCAACCCCGAAGCGCCCACCCAACATCATCAAACCCTACCACCACCACCACCACCACCACCAAAAATAAAATAAAATGGAAGCTTCATCCCACAGGGGAGACCGCCAAAAGAGCTGAATCAGCCGGGAATCGAACCCGGGTCGGGCGCAAATCATCAAAGATAATGGCAAGCGCCCGTGATACCACTACACCACTGAATCGTGGCTTCCAGAGAAGAACTGGCATCTATGAAGGGAAAAAAAATTTCATTACTAGTAGCTAGCGTTGGCTTGGGTTTGATTTACAAGGGTCTTACTTAGTACTCGAGTAGTTGTCCGTTAGTACTTCTTGGCGGGGAGGAGACTTGGCGGGGGGGGGGGATCTAATGCTATGCTAGATCGAGTGGTGGTTGGTGTGGGGTTGGTTGTGCTGGGCGGTGTTGTGGGGGATTCGGGATGGTAAGGATTAGTAGGATATAAGGGATGGTGAAGATCGTTGTGGTTGTGGTGGTTTTGCGGCGATGGGGTTTGTTCCTGTAATGAGCATGAGCTACATACTTCATGTAGGCCGAGAATGGGACAATGTTTGTTACCAGTTATAAAATGAGATGTAGTAATGGGGTCTCCTAATAAGCAGATTACAATCCCGAGCTCATAACCGGTTGTTGGGCCACCAGTGCCGTGAAAATTGTTAGCTCGTAGCACCGAGTGATATTGTGTGACCCAAGCTTTCACACGAGACCTGGGGGGGGGGGGGGGGGGGGTTTCAACGCTTTCAATACGGACGAGAGTTCCCTTTTATCTTGCAACTCCCTTGACGACAGTTTGGATTGAATCTACTTTCTACGCTCCTCCCCGACAAACCCATCCTTTACAAGCTTCAGATCCCCCGTCCCATCCACATCCACATCTACATTCCGAGAAATAAGGTTCAGTTCACTTATCACACACACCACACCACACCGAACCACACCACATACCACGCCACACACCACACGTCAAAAAATGTATCCACTCAACCCTCCGTCGCTGTAGCACCGGCATCCGCCACCGCCCACCTCGAGGTCCAGACCGCGCCAAGACAAAGCCTCTACCCCGGCCAGACCCGGAAGGAACCAGCAGCAGCAGCAGCAGCAGAGATGAGCGGAGGCTCCTGTGTCATCCAGTACTACAACTACCCCGGCGTCGGCATCCGCAATCGGCAGTACCTCAACTATAGCCAGGCATGCCGTGCTGGTGATAATATCGAGTGCGCCGGCCAAGGTATTTACCTACCTACCAACTCCCCTTCCCCCCCTCAAACCCTACATCATGACAACAACAATAACTAACACTCCACAACACACGCACAGGCAGCTGGAACCCCCTCAACGGTAGCACCGACGCGTAGATCGACCAGGCCTTCGAGAACGTCGATCTGGCGCTGCGGAGGGCCGGCGGAAAGGGGGTGGTGCCAGGTCTACAAGATCCGCAGCTACCACGTCGCCATGGGCGATGCGTGCTTGGTGGCCGTGATCAGGAACTTGCAGAAGTGGTGTCCGGGCATGGGCCGCTGTGGACGGCGCTCGGCGTGGAGAAGCTGGCGGAGGAGGGGATGGTCGTGGAGATTGAGGCGGAGGCGTATGGTCCGCGGTAGGTGGGTTTGGGGGGGAAGGGGTGTATGGAGTGTATGGAGTGTATGGAGTGTATGGGTGTATGGGTGTATGGGGTGTGGGTGTATGGGTGTATGGAGTGTATGGAGTGTATGGGTGTATGGGTGTATGGGTGTATGGTGTATGGTGTGGTGGGTTTGAGTACATGTAGTAGTAAATACATGTACGTGTAGAGAATGGGTCTGGTCAGACATGAAACTCAATTTACTACATATTTTCCCACAGAGCTTCGTAGGCCTGATAATGTATGTGCTATGGTTAGTAATTAGTGCTAACCGCTCGTACCTGTGTTATCTCAACATTACGGTCCATGGAGGTTAGTGATATATATGTAGCTAAAGGTTTTATTTATACCCCGACAAGCATTGCAAATCAATGTTCCTTCAGACTCTGACATAAAATATAAACTTAAGGTTTTTTTTTTTTATAATTTCCCCCCCCCCCCCCCCCCCCCGGACCCCTATATCAAATTTATCAAATAATTAATACACCTTGTGGGCCATTACGACGTACGGTGAGTACTAAGCAAGGTGCTCGTATATAGGGCATAGGTACCAGACTACATAATGTAATTTATATAGGGCTACAGGCTATATAATTATGTAGTATGTAGCTGGCCTAGCAACCAACCAGTCATTTACAGCTTGTAGGTTCTATAACTCTGCATCTTTCTAGCTAACACTCTGCTTTTCGGAATCACGACTCATTAAGGTATTCATCAATAAGGCCACTCGCCACCCCACCCATAACTACTACATCAAAAGGCACCTAGCACAAATGACGTACTCTACATCACAAAAAAGCCCCCAGCGACGATGAGTCACCAGAGCAGGAAAAACATATCATTAACCCAACCAGTCCTAAAAAAAAAAAAGACTCAATATCACCGCCGCCCACCTAGCTCGCTGTCAAAATAAGCTTTTTCCTTGACCACCAACCTAACCCTCCCCACCACATACACACCCACCACACCACCCCACACCGCCCCACCACCATTACACCACCACGTCACACACCCGCCACCCGCCAACACAACCTTAACATCACCCCACCCCACCACTACAGTCAGTCAGTCAGGCAGGTCAGGCAGTTGGGCGTTTGGGCACCAAAGAGCACGAGTGATAAACCGTGATGCAAGTGACCATAAGAGTTTATTTCAACGTTCACCACTCACCGCTCACCGCTCACCGCTCACCTATAACAAAAGATGATAAATAAATAGAATAAAAATCTAAGTGTACCATGCATGATGGATCCAGAAAATAATAATAGTAATAAAAAAAACCCCATAACAAAAAAAAACAATGAGCCTAACATGATCCTAAGATAACCTAACATGACCTAACCTAGAAAAACCAGATAAGATAAAAATAGATAAAAATAGATGTAACAGAGAAAAAAACGAGCAAGTACTAAACCTTTTTTCTGGGGGTGGGGCTACCATGAAGGTGTCTTAAGAATGTGGCCTCCCTTATGTCTCCGCCCTCTATTGGTTGCTTTTGTGATATGAATGGGGAGGGAGAAAAAGAAAGAAAGAGAACCCCGCCCCCGGATGTATACATAGAAGAAAACCTCCAACCCCCCGCACAGGAAGGTAAATGATCAGAAAGAAAGACAGAAAAAAACAGAAGAGAGCCTCCCGTCCACCCCAAAAGTAAAAAAGAAAGTAGATAATAATAATAATACGAACCCAATGAACTAGAGGCCCCAAAACGGGGATACAAAAGCGTGGTAAGGTACACCTAGAGTAGAGCCGAGATAGGAGATAAGAGATGAGAGTAGTAGTAGAAGAAGAAGAGAGCAGAGATAGATCGATGCAGATAAAGCCGCAAAAACTAATATGGGTTCATAAACAGACAGATAGCCTGACAGGACAGGACAGGACAGATAGCAGCAACATCTATAAAGACAGTCCGATATGGCATACATATGGCATGAGGAGAAAAGAGGTCTATAGCTAAAAGAGGGTATAAAACATACAGAAGAGTATGCCAGAGAAGAACGATATATCTTCGTGAAGAAACGACAGCTTGCTAGCCACGTTTACTTGGTCAGAAATATCAGGTATATATAGGAGAAAAACAACATGTCTCTCTGCAAAAAAACCCCGCTCGAATTCATGTTTGGAAGAAAATGAAAGGGGAAAAGAATAGCCGGGAAGACAGCCAAGCAAAACCAAACCAAACAAAACCCCTAATTCTATGACATGAATACCCACCATCAACATGATATACCACAACAAGATATACCCGCCCTCTCCACCAATCCACGAGTCCCATGAGTTCCATGAATCCCCGCTGCAAATAGATGTGCCCTTGTCCTGTATTTATGCCTCGTACATCCCAACCGCATCCGGAAAAAAAAAAGAAAAGATAAAGGAGAAAAGGGTAACCTCATACTATCTCTTTCACCCTTGCGCCGTCCAGCTTAGCACCAGCGTCGCCAGGATCCGGCACTACCGCCAGCAGTTCCTCCAACTCATCGACCAAAGCGTCGTCTGCATCAAGGTCATCATTTCCCTCCCTGCAAGAAAGCCTATACTCTCAGAAATCCAATTCATCGCGCTTTTTTGTATTTAAAAAATAACAAAAACAACAAAAACACACAAAAGAAAAATCCAGTAATTAGTAGTAGTATTACTTACCCCATTCTCCTCCTCTTCGGTGCCACCTCCTCAACTTCTTCGTCGATCTCTTCTCTAGCTCGGCTTGCTGTGCTCCCTGCCGGGGATGTTACAACCGTGCTCGGGTTTGTCCCAAGTACTTTTCCCACGCCGAGCCCACCACCGACCCCATTACCGGAAAGGACATTCAGCGCATCGGCATTATCCGGGCCACTGGTACCGAAAGAAAAGAGAGCATTCAGGTCATCGACGCCCTCAAGCCCCGATTGTCCGTCACCGTCGACCGCGAATCCGTTTGCCATGCTCCCATCACCATTGAGTCCCCAGTTCAGGAACTCGTCAATGTTGCTGCCCCCGCTGTCGACGCCTCCGTTGCCGTTCATGTGCCCAGCGCCTCCGTTGGTTGCCGCGTCCGTGTCCGCAAATTTAGTCATCATGTCCATGAGTTCGTCGACATGGTGTGTCTGCGCGGTTTGGAGCTCCTCAAGCTCCTCAATCTCTCGGGCTTTTGCTGCGAGTTGCGCATTATGCTCTTGCAGTGTCTGGGCCGACAACCCCGGCTGTGCCAAGGGGCGAGCAAAGAGGCGGGGGGTCATCGAGTGTGCCGAGACAGGCGAAGATGCAGTTTGGCGGCCGATGGGTGAGTCGGGGAGGGAAAAGATGTTGGGGTATTGTGTTTGCTGGTGGTTCTGGTACTGGTCGGTATTGCCGGCCCCTCGTGAGGTCGTCGTGTCTTGGCCATTGAGTTCTTGTATGCTGGGGCTCTGGTAGGTTTGATAATTCTGGATCACAGGGGACCCCATGTTTGATTTCATCTGGGAGCTAACAGTGGGCTTGGAGATAATGGGTGACGTTTGGGGTTTTGGGGACTCTTCTTCAGATATTTGAATTTGGGGGCCGTTTTCGAGGAGAAGCTGCCGCCGCCGCGCCATTTGGTTGGCATTGACTCTTTGGTTTTGTCTTGGGGTGACTATTGCCCCGCCTGTATTCCCTACAACTGCACCAACTCCCTGCTGATGAAGGGGCTGCAAATGCTCAACTTGGTTCTGAAACAGAGTACTGAATGGGCCATTGATAGTGCCGCCGAGAGACTTATCATACACTGTAGCCAAAAATGATAGTATCGCGTTAATTGAGTTCTCATGGCGATCATGGAGAGTCTGGAATGCCACACTCTGCTCATAAAGCTGGTTATGATCCTTTCTTAAACGATTAATTGCCGCTGAGATCATAGCCTGGTGATTTCTCACTGCCTCCAATTGCTGGATAACTGCCGCGATATCTGGCCTAGTGCTTCTCCCTCCCCCGTTACTTTGCTGGTGATGCCCACCGCCATCCTGGCCCTCCGCCTTGGGGCCCTCGATATATCCTCTCCCTCCGTTTCCGTCACCGAATTCCCCGTCCCCATCACTGAGATCTTCCGCATTATCAGAATCCTCCTGGTGATTCTTCTTGGGCTGTTTCCTCTTTCCTTTCCCCTTTGGCTTTGAGATCAACCACATAAGGTCCGGTTGTCCGCGCTTAAAATATGGGTTCTCATACTCGCTCGGTGGCTTACTCCGCTGTTCCGATGTTTTGAGTGAGCCATCTGCCAGACCAACGACCTTGTGGAATCCGTACATGTTGAGCTGTCGAACAAAGGAAGCGTAATTATTGTGCTTGAAAAGGTCTGGGATGAGGGTTTTGGAAAATTCATCCTCGTCCAGAACCAGGAATGAATTCCCAGATGGAGACCATCGGATGAGTGCGTCTGTCTTCGGGTCATTCACAAAGCTATCAACCCCCGGATCATCAGCAACAATCGTCCAATCGGCTGTCGGGACGAATTGACCACAGAACTCAAGCCATCAGGCGAAAGCAAACCCCTCGGATATAAGGTATATAGGTCCGAAAGGATCGACACCGGAAGAGAAAGAAAAAGTATAAAACCTCACACGTACCTGCTGAGCTTCTGCACGAACGGCGGAATGGTTGCCCTCTTCTTTCTCATCTTGTCAATCCTCATTTGCAACTCCCTATCAAACGCCAGATCCATCCCGTCCGGTCCCACCTGTCCCGGTGGTCCAATAACCTGACCCAGTCCAGATACCCCCATCATTCCCATCTGTGCCGCCGATGGTCCCATTTGCGGGATTCCCGTTGGGCTCGTGTTGTACGGCATCCGGATAAGCGTGTTTGTACCGCGGTTTATCAGGGCGATCTGGCTGTTGGCGTCAATCTGCTGCTGCTGCTGCTGCTGCGAAGACACCGGGACCTGCTGCTGTGTACGATACGCCTCGACGATATGGGGCACAGTAGCGTAGATGTTCTGGCCAGACGGCAGTGAGGACGGTGGGAGACGGGGACTAGAGGTTTGGGGCAGGCCTAGATAGCTCATATCAGGGCCGGAAAGCGAGGGCGGCGGAGAAGGCGATGTCGTGGTCACGGCGGGAATGGACGAGATGATTGGGGCAGAGGTTCCTGGCGCGGGTCTCTTGCGAGATCGACCGGATGCTGTGGGAGCGTTGGCAGATCCTCCACCGTTGGTGTTATGATGGTTACTGCTGGTGTGGATGGTTTGGTTTTGGGCCTGGGGAGGGGTTGTCATTTTTCTAAAAGGGAACCTGGCTGCAGGAGGGCGCTAGAGCGTTAGGTACTGAGCGCGTGTTTGGAATATTCCGGGAGGCGAAAAGTACGGGGGTAGTGATGTAAGAACAGACGTGGGGTGAGCGGACGTGGAAGACGACAGATGTCTGTGAGTCCCTCTGCCTTTGGGGGGGGGGGGGGGGGTAGAGATTGCGTAGAGGAGCACGAGGATGGTGTACAAGAGATGAAGAAGCTGTGGAAACGGGAGAAAAGAGAGAGCAGAGCGGATGAAGCGAACGGACGGACGTATAGGGAAAAAAGAGTCCTTTATGCGTGCCTTATCTCCCCCTAGCTTCTCCCTCAAGTCTTGCTATGTAAGTTGAATAAAAAGAGATTTTATTTGATATCTGTTTTTTCTTTCTTTCTTTCTTTCTCCTCCGTGATCTTGTTCCTCTCCCTCCCTGTTCCCCGTGCTGGGGAGGAAATTCTCTTGTTCTTCAAGGTAGAGAAATATGTAACAACTTCTCTCTCCCACGACAAGGCTCCGATATTATTTTATTTTATTTTTTTGTGGGGGAGGGGTTGGCGGTGGTAAAGGATGTAGTGGTGGTAGTGATGGTGGTGGTGGGAGAGCCGGCGTATGCGTAAGGTGTAAGAAAGACCGATAGCGTAGAGGAGGGGCGTTCAGAGGCGTTCGTTCGCTCGTTCAACTCACGGCAAGCACCTGGTCCACAGGCTTAACACAAATGTCAGCGATTGAAGGGATCCGGAGGAAAAAAGAAGATGGATGGATGGATGAGGTTGTTGCGAAGGGCTGCGTTGTTCTTTTTCTGCGTTCGGTGTTCGCAGACAGGCAGGCGGCGGGATGATGTGTGATGCAATGCGACGACCATGTCGAATTAAGTGAGCAAGGGCATACACCTACATACAGCTAATCTACATCTGTATGTCAATGGCAGCACATACACTTACAACTGGCTATTATTGCTCTACCACAATTACTACTCATCATGTACCTGATAACCTACTACTACCTATAGCTACCGTCCGTGGGAAGACTGAGGCAGCAGCAGAGAAGGGAAGTGATCGTAGTAGGCTGAGCATATCGCAATATTAATGGTAGCACAAGATGAAGATGTTGTTAAATAGGGCCCCCCCGTTAGATGATGGCCTTCTCACACCATATTTACAATCTACTATTAATAAGATATCGACGATATCAGTAGTACTCCAAAAGACTACTATTACTACTTCAGCAAGTACTCAAGTGCAGTGTATGTATCTACTTTTCTCTATATCCATACGTGCCCCTCTTCATTGCCTTACATCCCCCCCCCCCCCCTCCTCCCACTTCTCTACCTCACCCCAATAACAAACCCACTGAGGTTATCCGCGTGGTTACAATAATGCGGATAAGCCGTATCCGGATGTGTCCAGTAGCAGTAGCAGTAACACCACTAACTAATAATCCAGCACCTCCAAACAAGTAAAGCAACAGCAGAAGGCCCAGCAGCAGCAGCAACAGCAGCCTCTTCCTGCACCAAGCCGATGTCGTCTTCAGAAGCAGAACAGAAGAAGGCTCATGCCCCACCCTTCTGCTACTTCTCCGCGTTCTTCAATTGATTCCCTTTCATCGATCCCCGGCAAATTGTTTTGTTTCCCTCGCAATCACGGCAGCAGGCATGCCCGGTGCGTGGCCTTGTACATCCACAGGGCATAGGTGCTGCTCTATCTATTGATCTAATAAACCTTCAACCCTACAAGCATTAAGTGAGTGGCCTTAGTGCTTTTTACCCTTTCTGCGCACCGCTAGAAAGAAGAGTAGGTAGGGGTACTTTGGGAACTGCGGTAGATACTGCGGGTATCAATCAGTTAATTCTGCACCTGCAACTTCACTGCCTTTGCTTGTGCTGCTACATATCCTCACTTACATACGGTCATGACCTTCACTCACTCACTCATGTCATACCATTCGCAGACCGTATGTACGTACCTAACTGATGCACACTCGCGTCATACCACACGTTTTTTAATATTATTTTTTTATTACTAGCTATCGATATCACCCTCTCTCTCGTCCGAAAGAACGAAGGAAAAAAAAATTTAATCCCCGAGAAACTTACATGGAGCTGCACAATCAAAGGCAAAGCAAGGCCCCCCTCATGCTCGTCCAACAAGCAATGCTTACCTCCCCACAGCTTATCTAGGTAGCAAAAGGGTCCTCACATAGATAAAGTATAGTACCAATAAACAAAAAAAAAAAAAAGTAAACAAGGCAAGGTACCAGCCGGCCTAGCTCGGAGCTGTATCTACCTTAGACAGAGTTTCCAAGCCTTTTTTCCTTTGAGAAGGCATAGCATAGCCCACCTACTCTCACGCCCTCACGCCTCTCCCAACAGGAACTCAAACAAAATCCAGGCCCCCTCTCGATCCCCTCGATCCCGGAAAGACAGTTACTCCATGCCCGTGCCTCGCTTACCGGGGGGGAGGGGGGGTGCGAGGTGCGAGGTGTGTGAGAGGTGAGAGATGAACGGATGGGTTTTCCGCAGTTTGGTTGGTTGGTTGGTTTTTCTCTGGTCGTTTGTGAGTCACCTGAGGAGGAGGGAAACGAGGGTCTGGCAGGGCTCATTTGTCAGCGCTGGCGTTTAGTAAGCAGACGCGGTGCGCTGGGGCGTGTAAAGTGGTTGCTTGGGCGCGTCTTCCCTGGAAATGACGCCGACTGAACTGTGACTGGGCTTGGAATACTTGCGCTCCACCATACAACTTAACTCGATCACAGGGGGACGGCATAGAGCAAACCTCACTCGATACTTAGATACGGGATACGACCTCACTCGTTCACTACTACAAACGTCCTCCCTTATTCGTCCACGGCATAGAAATATATATCACTCGTCCGTAATAATAGCTAAATAATGCCTTCTACGCCTCCCCCTCCTCCTCATCCTCAGGACCCCCAGGGTACAACAATGCCAGAAACACAAAGGCCACCACTAACCCCCGAAGCAAAACGACGAATAGTAGGTCTTCTCAAGAACTTTCATTCTCGGCACTCACCCTAACCCCCATGCAGGAAACCAACCGCCTTAAAGCCAAAGCCATCCGGGAAGCCCGCCTCGCCGCTGAAAAAGCCGCCGCGGAAAAAGCACCACCGCCCCCTACAATACCCCGTAGTACTCGAAGCACTACAGCCCAAAAGCGCTCCTACGCTGAGAGCTCTAATGTCCGCGACACCGCCACAGGCGCCACAACAACAGGCCCTGACGCCATCAAGCCTGCCCGCAAATTTGCCCGCCGAGACTACATCGACTATGACTTCTCGCGCATGACAGACACAAAGGGTGGCTTCCTCAGCACCGAGGACGACCCACACTCGGCCCTCGCCGCCCTCGACCTCCAGAACAAGCCCGCACATATGACGCTCGAGCAGTGGTCCGCGCACCAGCTGCGTGCCAAACTGCAGAAAGAGAAGGCGGGCGCATATGAGCCCGCCATTAGCTCGCTGCAGAACAGCGAGGAGGTACAGAAGTGCTATGAGTGCGAGAGTCCGGAGATTGATTGGAAGTGGCTGGAGGTTTTTGGCTGTCGTGTGTGCTCGAAGTGTAAAGACGCTAAGCCGGAGAAGTATAGTCTGCTGACAAAGACGGAGGCGAGGGAGGACTATCTTCTTACGGATCCAGAGCTACGAGATGAAGAGTTGCTACCGCATTTGGAGAGACCGAATCCGCATAGGAGTACGTGGAATAACATGATGCTATATTTACGGTATCAGGTTGAGGCGCATGCGATCAAGAAGTGGGGTGGGCTGGAGGCCCTGGATAAAGAGTTTGAGAAGAGGACTGAGGAGAGGAAGAAGAGGAAGGATGATAAGTTTAGGGGTAAGCTTAGAGAGCTGAAAAAGAAGACTAGAGTCGAAAGCTGGCGCAAGAATGCGGGGTCGAAGCATGAGCACGTGTGGGGTACTGCGGTGACGAAACCCAGTGGTGAGGAAATACGCACATGTGAAGAGTGCGGGTTCGAAGTGGAGGAGTTGGTCTTTTAGAAAGCTTAAAATGGATGGCTTTTTTACTTTGTAGAGGTTCTTTTCTATTCTCTTGCTTTGCTCCTACTAATTGTTTTATATTACTTATTGTAACTATGATGCGTAGCTAGCCATTTATTACTGCGAAGAAAAATACCAGGCGTTTAGGGAATATGGGAACCATGCATGAATCATGAGCTAGCAACCATTACTCCTTACCCAAATCAGATAACTCCAACCCCATTCCTCCACTATTTCCAATAGTACATAACGTACTATTTACCACGAATACCCAACTATGAACAGTCCATATAAGCCGGAGCCATTGAATCACAACTTTAACAAGCAGTTGCCTCCTCCGCGATTGGCTTCCCACCCTTAAATACTCTGTGTCTAACGAGCAATTCTGGAACCACCGCAGCAGCCATGAACCTCTTGCGGGCCATGTCGCCGCGATAAACTCCGATCTCCTCGTGAATATTTTCACGGTAAACTTCGACATTCTCCTGAACATCCCCACGATAACTCCCGGCCTTCTCGTGAGATTTAGGAGCACCTCCCATCTCAACATCCTCCATCTCGGTATCCGTAGTAGCAGCCTCAGAGGCAGACGGAGAGGCAGGAGCAGTTGAAAAGGTTGGAGAGATGGTTCCAGACTGGAGCATCCACCCCGGTGCTGGAGCACTCTTGCAGTATCTTGCAGCAGCATCTGGATGCTGTGAAGCAGCGCAGCGGCGTTTAAGGGGGTTGTTGCCGGAGTAGTTCATCTTAGTATTCTGCTCTATTTAGGCTGTTGAAGAAGTGTTTTAGGATGATAGCGGATAGATGGGGGAGTAGGTTGGCGAGATAATTAGCAGTGGGTGTAGACCTTTTAAAGCTCCTACACTGGCCGTTTGACTGTAGGTTTTTCTATGAAGAAGAGAAGACGATTGTCAAGGGAGGGCTTCTTGAGAAATGATCAGACGGGTATTTGCATAGAGATGCCAAAGCCTAGGCCGCAATGTAAATGGGGTGCCTTGAAAAAATAAAATTTGTGGCTGGAACGGAGGTCTCGATGTAGGGGGGGCTGTTTATCCTTACAAGTGTTTTATGTCTAAGGGGGCATCGGGGTAGGTTTTAAGAACCACGTAGAAGGGCGTTGTTTTGGTTTGAACTACGAAGTTCCCGCTAGCTCAGTCCGAGGGACCACCGTAGCTCAGTGGAGCTCAGTCGGTGTTCCATGGTTGAGTTGCGCACACAGTGAATCGATATTTGCAACTGAAGAATACTATACTTGGTCATTATTACATATTTAGTTGCGAAGATAATCATTTCAATCCTACAATCTCAACCACTCAGATGTACGCTTCAAGCACTCACCATACCGGCACCCAAAGCAGGAAAGAAGGCACAGCGGGTGATGGCATATGTCTGAACCTGCAAAAAAAAAAAATGGGATGCTATCCTTGACAGGGTTCGGGGTGTGGCTTTTTATCCTCCCCCGGATTTCCGCCACATTGGCCGAGATAAGCTTGTGTGAAATGCCAAGTTCGACCACACACTGGGGCCGGTCCCAACAGCTCAACGTCTGCTGCACTGTGTGTCTGAGATTCGGGAGGTTATGTCTCTTTGCCCTCCTTGATCAGGCAGGGACCTGCGAGAGAGAAGAAAAGCTGTTTTGCTGTTTACGTGTCCGTTCCAAATTTTTGCAGTGTGTGTCTAAGAGCGTTTCTCTTTCCTCCTCTCTATCTTCTTCCCCGGAGTAATATTGAAGTTGTCGTTGCTGATATCCATCGCTAGACTAGATTATCACACCCCAGACCAAACCCCTTTTCGCTAGTCCAGCCCTGTTTAACCCATCTCACGCTAATATTTTTCCGCCACTTGCATATTCTCTTGGCAGCATAGCACACACCACCGACCACCGACCTCACCTCCTTTTGGGAAACCGCCGCAGGCAGCAAGAGCGAGCGAGGAGTGCACAGGACAACACCACGTTATCCCGAACGAAACCCACACCAAGCGAAAAAAAAATAAACCCTCCGAGCGTCAACTCTATTTCGTTTACCTTCTTCCTTCCCCACTATCCATCTATCCCCCCCCCACTAATTTTTCGACTATCTACTACTACTACGACTAGTGAAGGGATATATATAACCGGTTTCCCTGTCCCCCCACAACCTCAACTACCTACCCCCAAAGCTTCGATACAGCAAGATCGGCGCGCGTGAGAGAGAATGGCTTGGCAGTCGCCCTCCGCGAACACCGGATCCCACGATGGCAACAATGGCGGGCAAGGCAACAGCGCGGGACCAAACGGCGGAGGCGGTGGTGGCTCACAGCCCATAGGCACAGAGTACACGCTTCAAGGTATTTCTGAAGTTTCCCTCACTTTTAGCAAGAAAACGCAGGGAGGGAAGAGCTAGCTAATTGGTGGGGTATGAAATGGTGTTGGGGGGATGAATAGGTGTCATGAGGTTCCTACAGACGGAATGGCACAAACACGAGCGGGACCGCAATTCCTGGGAGATTGAGCGCGCGGAGATGAAGGCGCGGATCGCGAAGCTGGAGGGCGAGAATAGAGCTGCAAAGAGGTTGCAGCAGGGCCTCATGACGAGGATAAAGATGCTGGAGAGTGCGCTAAAGAAGAAGGGCCCTGCTGCTGCAACTGCTGCTGCTGCTGCGGAGGGTGCGGAGGGGGCCAAGACGGTACCGGCTGAGAACTCGGCACACACGAAGTGTATGTTGGAATCGCCGATGGGGGGGTCGAAGTTAGGAAGGTTATTGAAGTGCTGACTGAGTTCTCGATGGTAGCACCGCAATCGGGACTTGGGGCAAATGCACACCTTCTCGGAGACACGTCGGCAGTGTTTAGAGCTGAAGCTGCCAGAAACAAAAGCAGAGCATATCTGGAAAAGTGCCTACAGGAGATTACATATCTTCTGACACCCCCGAACCACCCACCCCCGCAACAGCAGCAGCAGCAGCAACAACAGCAACAGCAGCAGCAGCAGCAGCAGTCCAATCTTGACCTTAACCAGATGCTCCAGCAGCATCAGCAACAACAGCAGCAGCAACAACAGCACCAGCAGCAGCAGCAGCAGCACCAACAGCAGCAGCAGCATCAGCAACAGCAGACATCGCTTCAACAGCAGCTGCTGCAGCAGCCTTCCCAAGCTCCTAACCATCAGTTACCCCACCCTCCTGTTAACCATGCTGGAAACTTTCAGTCATTGCCCCGGTCCCGTGCCGGCTCACACCCCCATCCTCACCCTCAGTCCCATGAAATGAGGAGTGATCAGCAACAGCAGACCCAGATGCAGTCTGCTATACCAGAGCCGATGGTACGAGACCAATCGGGAGAGAAACCCAACGCATTCAATGCGGCCGCTGATACCAACCCATTTACCGCATCTCTTAACGAGAGCTCTACTTCATCAGCCCCAAGTGATGGCGATGGGTGGGATTTCGATGAGTCAAGTCTTACCATTGACTCGAATGCTTCGAATATAGACGAGTTCGATTTCTCAAGCCATCACACAGGGAAGCCAACAAACAGCATGGGCAGAAAGAAGCTTTCTATAAGACACCGCGTTGATCCCCATGCAACTAACAACTCGGACGCAGGGAGCTTTCAGCCCAAATTCGTACTGAGAGGCCACTTAGATGTGGTCCGTTCTATTATATTTACAGGAGGGGGCACGCAGAATGAGCCAGAGATCTGCACAGCGGGTGATGATGGCGTATTGAAAAGATGGTACATTCCCGGTAGCTATGGCTTATCACAGGGAGCATCGGACATGGATATTCAGAGTCACTTCACCCACCGGGGACACCAGGGAATGGTTACTTGCTTAGCCGCATGTCCTCCGGCTAGCGGGGAGCTTGACAGCGGCCTGAGCGAGGGAGGATGGATATTCTCCGGTGGTCAGGACACCACAGTAAGAGTATGGGAATCGAACATGGTGGGCCACAAAGCTACTCTTGTTGGCCACACAGACGTTGTATGGGCGGTTTGCGTACTTCCAGTATCATCGTCCATGGCCGGTTCTACAGAGGAGAGGATACTACTTGCGAGTGGATCTGGAGACGGGACAGTGAAGATCTGGAGTGTATCGCCACCTCCGGCGCCGCAAGGCATGGGTCCGGGGAATCGCAGGGGTAGTGTCAGAAGCATTTCTTCTACGGCCTCTCCCCACCCATTCAGCTACTCCCTTATCTCGACTATTGTCAGGCCGGGTATTACAGCAAGCCCGACGTGCATCACACCATTCTCCGCCTCGGGAGACTCATTTATCGTCTCCTATAACGACGCAGCGGTCATCATATATGACACTGCATCGGGAGAGGAGATCTCACAAATGTCTAGCCATGAGACATACGATGGCACCCCCGCCACAGGCGTCAACTGGGTAGTCGCATCAACCATTAGTCTTGACAGCGGCGCCGAGAGTGGACGAGAAGAAGAGGAACTTGTTGCGGGAGCCACAGGGCCTAAGGGCGGTGTGGCCGGTATCGTTATCACAGGACACGAAGACCGTTACGTAAGAATTTTCGATGCGAACAGTGGTAAGTTTTCCCCCGCATATGTGCCAGTAATCGTCGTATATAGAAGGCTTACCCGGGAATGAACTAGGTCAATGCACATACACAATGCTCGCCCACACCGCGTCAATCTCATCGCTTGCACTCTCGCCTGACGGCCGTGAACTCGTCTCTGCGGGCCACGACGCAAGCCTGCGCTTCTGGAGCATGGAGAAGAGGTCGTGCACACAGGAGATCCCATCACACAGGCTAATGCGGGAGGAGGGTGTATGTGCCGTTGTGTGGAGTACGGATGGAAGATGGGTTGTGAGCGGTGGTGGAGACGGCATAGTTAAGGTGTTTGCTAGGTAACTGCAGTAGTAGCAGTAGTACCAGTAGTAGCAGGAGCGGTAGTGTCAGTAGTTAGCAGTTAAGAAGTAGTAGTATTAGTAGTAGTAGTAGTTTAGTAAGTAGTAGATCTAGCGAGCTTTATTGTTTGTAGTTGTTATTGGCTATATGTTGTACGTTTTCTACCCGTTTTTTCTTTTCTTTTTCTTTTTTTTTTTGGCGGGAAGAGGAGTGAAATTGTGCACATAATGGATGGGATAAAACGTACTCATGTGTTTTGAGAAATAACTACATAGATACCTAACTAACTAATGCGGTTTTTTTCTGTGGTTTTGTGCCTGTAGGTATAGGGTTATTGTTTTGTGTTCTATATACAGCAGCCCTGCAGCTTTTGCTTTTTGCCTGTTCTCTTGGGATGCTAGCGTGCATGAAGCATCCATCTCTTTCTTCACCTGTCGTTACTGCTGGGCCCTTTAATTGTCAGTTGCAGCTCAGTGCCTTGTCGATGCGTGCGGGGCTGCGCATGTTGTGAAGAAGGAGGCGCAGAGTTATATATGCATTCATTGCATTGCATGAGTTATATGGTATTGCTTATTGTGTTTATGCTTATAGGCCGCTGTTAAGAAACCATATCACTGGCCTGGTTGATTGTGTATGGGTTTATCTTTGATCGATTGCAATTATCTAACTGCATGGCCAGATATCAAACTGTTTAAATATAGTGTTATATTAGTTTTATTATAGTCTTGTACGCGTGGACTCGTATCTGATAGAGTTACATACAGAAAAACCTATCAATCCCTACCAAACTCCCAGCATTCGGAGGGAACAAGAACCTGTGGTTTGCTAACAAATACCTCTCTCTAAACTCCATCCCTCTGGCTAACAATTCCGGCAAAATTCGGCCACCGCGGAGGTGGAATCGTGATATGTATATTGGGGTGTTTTATTACCCTGTGTTTAGTCTTGTTTCCAGACTCATTCATCAAACACTACCCCACAGCGGCAGAGCCCCCACCGGTGCAGACACAAACAATACCACAATACAAACAGAACCACTAGCACCCAAAGGCGCGAGACTACCTTCTTGTTACCCTATGCTACGGGTTATGTACTTGGAATAGCGCGTGGCATAGACTATCCAGATAAGTTAAAGGATAGGTGGCCAGGATATTTATTATTTATAGCGAAGCTCAACTGTAGTCTCCACCTTAACCCACCATCAATTAAACGAACAAGCTATCTACTCAACGGTGCTTATTATGTTTAGGTCGTTTACTCTACTCTCGATCTAAAAACAACCCATGCACACTAATTTTAAACATTCCGGTCATTGACCCCATAGACCGGCCAAGATAAAATAGAATCAGAAGCTCTCCTAAGCCTAAGAAGAAGCCGACAATAAGCTTCGCAAACCAGACAGGCACAGTATTATATAGGTACATGTTGGTACCTACATGTACAGCCGCAGGAAAAAAGTGAGGAAACAGCGGGTACAACCCGTCCGAACCCCAATGTAAAATTAGGGATAAAATGAAAAGAAGTAATATAACTAAACAATAAAATACAGAATAGATACTATGGCCTCTAAACTATATTCACCACCCCCTATGATCTCCCTAGTCCTTTACTAGTGCTGCAATTCTCTTTGGCATGCTGTCAATGATTTTTATATACATTTCCCCAATCCGGCCTTTCCTACTCTTCCCTAGCTTGGGCTTCAATAACTTTTATGTTTTCATTCGGAGTAGCCTCTATCCACTTTCCAGACTTGTCGAAAGGCATGGCCACAGAATACTCGTGGGGTTGTATTGCGGGTGTGGGGATGTCAAGTTGGAGGCACCCGTTGTCACGCTACTCGCTGTTTCCTCACTCTACAACCATCAAACTTCCTGTTTTTCTCGCATATACGAGCAGCGGGTTAATCCTCACATCCCAGACACCTTGACCGGCAACCTCGTGAGCGGAAGGTCTCACAAGAAAACCCGGTCCACGATCAACGATGATAGGCGAATATTTGCCACGATATAATGTATGTCTTGGCAAGATGTCTCGATTGATACACCAATGATACCGTTTTAGGCAACAGGGCACGCGAGAGACGGTGATGAGAGAATACTGACGTTTCTGGGTTCGGCACTCACGGTAATCGGCTGTTGGCGACGTCAGTGGTGCTTTTGCTTGGGTTGCTCCAATTGGAGTGCACTGGCAGTGGGCGAGTGCGTGAGAGGGTGGGCAATGACGACATGGAATGCTCATTGCGTGGATATACGGAGAGATGCCTGCTATAATATGTATCAGATGGGGAGGAATAATCTAGATATAATCATCTACACGATAGTGTAAAGCACGGAAGGCCACACACACTCACAAAAAAACAGGAAATACCAGAGTACAACTTGAAATGGGCAAAGATAAGAAGAATCCCACCGCTGCAGCTACCACAAGCACAACCACCAATCCAACACTCTCCCGCACGACCAAATACTACCCAGCTGAAGAAACTCCCATAACCACCACAAAAACACGCACCCGCCGCACTTCTGATCCCCCACCGCCCCTTCTCTCCACCTCGTCCACCTCCGACTCAGACTCAGGCTCCTCCCACAAACCCACTACCCGCCATATCGACCACGCCCCCGTCATGTCGACAGCCAAATACACCCAAGATATTGACCGCGACCTGAATGCCCCTCTAATTAGCAAACGCTCAGACCCCACCCGAGCCGCTAAAGAAACCAGCATCCGCCAGAAGTTGCGCACATATGAAGCGATCCTCGCGTTGCGCGCCGGCTACATGCCGACGACGGAGCAGCTCGCGCAGTGGGCGCGGTATGTACTTCGTACATCGAGCGTGCTAGATAGTCGGAACCGCCGCCTAAGTTCGCAGGGAAGGGCGTTTATTAGGGATGTTAGGGCGTGGATAGAGGCCGTAGTAGAGCTGGGGTTGAGTAAAAATGTAAGTTTTGAGCAGCGAGTGATGGGTTGTGATGTAAATGTTGCAAACGCTAACAGGGGTTGTTGGATGCGTATATAGTCGGATGATAAGATTCAGGAGTTTATTTATAATACCTCGAATGCACAGATCTCGTTGAAGGGCCCGAGTATGTCGGGCGCCATGAGTTCTGGGACGACTGCCGCTGTGAGGCCGTCGAGTGTGGAGATGCAGAAAAGTATGTGTCGACGATCATTGGCGCTTTCATAACTCGACAAAAAATTAACTAACTCTCTTTTTTTTCCCCTTTTCCAGTGTACAAAAGGCTGAGAAACCTGGGAAGCTTGCTTTATTCCAGTCCTGAATTTAGGAAGTTGTTGAACGACGCTTCAGGTATATATCTCTCTCGAGTCGAAACAGCTGTGGAGAATTAATAAATACTAACATCTAACCCCAACACAGTCCTTGCCCGCGAAATCCTCGCCGATGCAGCCTCCCAGGTAGGCACCATGGCCACCACCGCCGCCGACAAACTCCGACCCACCGAATCCGAGACCTCCAACCTCGATCAACCCGCCGAATCGGGTCTCGGCAACAGGGACTCCCAGCCACCTTCGAGCGCGCAGCTCAAGTCGCAGGCGAAAGAAAAAGGCCGCGAGTACAGCGAGCAGATATGGCAGAAGGGGTATCAGACGCGCGACGACATGGAATCGTACTTACGGCAGAAGTTCCCCAAGCAGCGGCGAGATGCGGTTGTGAATAGGCTCAAGAGGATATTGACGGAGATTCAGAATAACCCCGATTTCCAGGAGGCGGTAGACTTTTTGATGGGCCTCATGAGAAAGTATGTGGCGACATTCAAGGATAAGATGATGCAGGAGGGGCGGAGGACGAAGCAGAGTGGAGTACAGACGGATGAGCATTTCGATAGGGCATTTATGCAGGCTAAGGTACCAATTCCCGCCCCTCCCATGATCTATCTTAGTTTTAGTATAGGTTGTTGATATAGCGCAGGCTATATTGATGGTATTCGCGGATGGCAAACCACTCGAGGACATTAGTGACGCCCTGCACCAAGTTATGGAAGACGTCCAGAACGACCCTGACCTCACCGACTTCTACCACAGTGTTACTAGCTTCATCCAGCGTGCCCTGACCGATAAAGACTTTGTCATCTCCGATGCCGCCGACGCCGAAGCCCACCGCCTCTACGACCGCTCCCAGGAGCTCCTCGCCGAAAAGAAGGACAAGTACCAGCCCGACATGGAGCGGCTGTTTGAGGAGCTGCGCACTTATCGGGATTGCATCGTCAACGACCGCGAGAATAGGAGGCTCGTGGAGACAAGCAAGAAAGTTTTTAATGACTTGGTGATTTTGGATAGAAACGGCCAATTTAAGGGCTTTAGGAGAAAGGTGGTGAAGGATTTGATGGATGTGGTGCTGCCGAGGCTTGTGGATGAGATCAGGTATATCCCGATGCCGAGGATTGAGTATCAGGATCGGGATTTCGACTTGATCCTGGAGAATGTCATTTTGGAGTCCGGTATATATCTCTCCTCTCTTCCTATCAGTGTTTAAATTATCTTGCTAATGGTTTTTAAACAGACCATTTCATCCCCTACCGCATGCTCTTCGAAGCCTTCACAAGGGCAGAATTTATAAACGACTACACCTTCACCTCCAAATACGCCGCCACTACCCGCATCACATTTGAAAATATAAACCTCTTCTTCAAAGACGCCTCCTTTATCCTCCGCAAAAAGACCGGCCTAACCTTCTCCGACCGCGGTTTCTTCGACATCTTTATGGATGGCCGCGGTGCTTCCGCCGAGCTCATCCTCGACACGATCCTCGATGACGATGACTACGACGCTGAAACCTCAACGGCGGAAAGCTACTTCCACGTCCGCTCTGTCAACGTTAAAATCCACAAGTTCCACTACAACTACCACGCATACCATACATGGGCTGCGGCGCTACTCGCACCGATCATACGCCCTGCGATAAGGCAGCTGCTGTCAAGACTACTGGAGCAGAGGATTAGAGAAGGATTTGAGATGGCGGACCGTGAGATTCATGCGCTTGTGGAGCGAATGCGGGTGGCGTCGATTGCAGCACAGGGCGGAGGGAGTGTGGAGTCGTGGATCAGGGCGGTGTTATCGAGGCCCGAGGGGGGAAGGAGAGGTGGTGGTGGGTCGTTTAGAGTGAATGTTGGTACGGGAGAGGTCCTGTTCCCTGGTGAGAGGCCGCCAGGGTCGCTGATAAGTAAGATGGAAGCTGTGGAGCAAAGGGTGGAGGTTGGAGGGGAGGGAGACGGCCTGGAGGAGGCGGGGTGGAGGAACGATATTTTTGATATTAGGGCTTAGTTTTTGTATTGGGTTGGATCGTTTGTTTAGGTTTATTCATTTGGGAACGTGCGCATGGATCAAAATATCGCCATGTAGCTTAATCGGCGAAATTTGTTTATGAACGTTAACGTAATGAAATTGTTATTTGTTTCTGACTTTGAGACCCAATGAGATTATGGTTTCCATCTAAATCTTTCTAGATTCCATCCAAAGCTTCCTAGACTCCATCCAGTGAATGAGCACACCCAGCCAAAGATCATGACGATATGGTAATATGAAGCATGGAATATCACTCGCTCCGAACGTGCCCAGAACATAAACCCACCCGGCACCAACGAAAAGGCGTGTGTTAGACCATAACCCAACCAGCACCCCACAAATTCCAGTTTGGGGGCAATAGACTCGCCCAGATGGCTCTTTATGATAACCAGAGATATTGTGGATGTAGATCTCACTGTCTAGGTGAGTGGTAGAGATGCCCGGCCGTCTGTCGCCATCTGCACCAATTGACCAGATGTAACTTTGCATATCACTTCAAATCATGTAGAGCTGGGGAATGAAAGATGTTTAGGCTGCTTGTATGGGTTGCTCTGTTGCTCCATACTCTATCGTTTCACTCCGCATCACGAACCCCCAAGACCCGGCTTATCTCAGTGAGCGCTTGGTCGAGCCTTAATCTTCTCTTACCTGTAGCCAAGACATCCAGCATCCCCCCGAGATAATACCCGGCTTTCGAACCCGTCATCACAAGCCCCCCGCCGAGTCCCGTGCCACAAAGGTCCTAGTACTGCTGGATAATGTACCAGAGTGATTGAAAACTCATGCCCTGGTGGCCAAGTTGGTAAGGCGCAGCACTTGTACGAGATGCTGAGATCCCTGGTTCAAATCCGGGTCAGGGCAGTTTTTTGTTCTTTTTGAAGGCGGGTTCGGGTATTCTATGGGTGTATTAGATGCGCGGGTAAGGTGGGCCGGGTGGAGGTTTGTTTTTGGCGGGAGAGGGTGCTTCTGGGCGGCCGGTTGACTGAGAGTATGGTTTTGGGTGTAGGGTGTTGGGGGTTTCTTTGAGATCCGGAAGTCACGGAATGTGACTTTAGGTCTACTTTATAAATCACCTAAACGCATATAAATGATGAATTCGTATGAAATAGTTTGGCGGGTGGGATTTTTGACAAAAAAGCACTTCTTGTGTCCTTTACCCACAGCTGCTGTTGTGTGGTTGTGGTGTGGTGTGGTGTGCTGGTCGCCGACGCTGTTTTTTCCTCATGATTGCTGCTTGTCAGATACCAGAGGTTGTCTGCAGATGTTTGTTAGCGCGGTGTCGTATCTTCTGTACTCGTGAGGCCATCCGAGAAACTGTGGCAAGTCATCTGGGAGCCGGTGGGAGCTTGCATTTGAGTGCTAAGTCGAGTCCCAGGTCAACTGTCTTTTGTGTTAGTACCAGTGTGGGCGGATTCAATTTGTCCACGCGTGTCACATGCGATTGGAGAAAAAGCAGTCCCTCAAGTACCACTTCCGGTGTGTGCAAGGTATGGGTGAGTGGTCAATTGGGATACACCTTCTACTCACCCTACGTTGCGGCCGGGCACTACGGGGTCCAGGTTCGATCTGCGGGAAGGTCCCCATGGTGAGCATCTATGATCCATGGGCGATTCTTTTTGTCCCTCTGTTGTATGAATGCTTTTCTTTTTATGGATGACTTTTGCCTTCAATATTTTTTTTGCGCTTGGGAAAGGGGGGGGGGGGGGGTTGGAACGTAGCTGTGGGGACTGGTCAGGGTTAGGGTTACTTACTCTCGAACCAACGCCAGGTCTCAAGAGTTTAGAAAATCAGATTATAGCACTACATAGAATTACATCAATCATGTTAGGGGACTGCCTGGGAAAATATTTTACACTAAGACCAACATCCCGTGACACATGGCGAAGAATGACATTGCCTACGTCAAAACTAAACGATACTCCGGCGTCTCGACGGTTCCACCCAAACTTCACCTTTGGATCTGGATAGTGTGGTCTACGAGGCATTGATGCTCGAGGCCTCCCCTCAAGGAGACTCCAGGCATGGGTGTCAACGAGGCGAGCATGCTCGAGGTTTAGCTAATCATGTATGAGTGGCATATAGCTCAGTGGATTTGATGTTTCTGATGGGGACACTGGACGTATTCCCTACATTTTCATACCAGTATTACAATAAAATATGACTTTGACGAATCTAAATATAGTAATTATCTGCCTCGAGTTAGCTCGAGCACCTCAAGGAATCACCTATTCTTCACGAGCAAGCAAAGGCATGGACCACACTAGATCTGGAGTTTTAGTTCATGGTCATTCTTTTATCTGAGTTAACAGTCCTAGAGATAGTACGGTTCTTCAAATAAAATCTCAAATGAAGCCACTGGCAACAGCACGATTGACCCCCGTGATAACATCCTAGCCAGTTTTAAAGATGAGTAGCTAGTTGAGGGTAGTCAGGTGAGTGGCGGAATAGCTAGTTTATACGAAATTTGTACCGTTATTCTAATCATCCAAGTAAGCAGACGCCACCGTGGGGATGAGCGTTTTAGCAGGAGTTCCAGATACGAGTGATTTTCTATGAATCTAGATACTTTATGTGGCGCGTACGTCACGTTGTGTCACTCGATTCCGGCGACACATGTTAATGGGGTGACTGACCGAAAACCCCTTGTCCAAGTCGCATTATTGCAGTAATAGAGTGACATTATCACTCCACAAGCATAAAAATATACTCCGTAGGTTCGGGAGCTGGATTTCCCGGATCTTGGACGCGGCGTTGCACAGCATGATCATCCTATGCTATTATCGTATACGTTTGTACGAATGCTTCGTCTCACGTTCCCGAGTGAAGCTTCTCTGAAGGACTAGCGACAACAGCTCAATATCCATTATTTGCCTAGAGAAATTTAGTTGATTGGTTTAAGACACTCTCTTTTGTGCCAGACAAACCATAGCCAGTGAATTTCTGTGTCCGTATCCGAGATCGTGGTGGTAACAATGCATGAGGCGGTTAGCCGGGTTTTAAAGAACAGGGGTTATTCTTGGCAATCTGGTAAATGATTGTCGTTTGACGCCCGGAAAAAAACAACGAAAAAAAACAATCATGAGAGGACAAGCCCAAGCCCATCGCGTCAAAGTCCCGAGACATCATCTCCAATGGGGCTGATCGTGAGAATTTGAGTATTCATGTCACATCGGGACGATTTGAAGATCCGGTGTTTAAACCGCAGAATGGAGTTTCCATTTGCAATTACTTCGATCCATTCACGTTCTGCGCTTGACCACTTCGATTTGCTCGCCAAAATTACGCAGGTGTAGCCGCGGCCGTACGGGACTCTAGATATCCATACCCGGTCTTGGGGCCTTGTAACCCTACGTAGATGTACCTACAGCGTTAGTCCTCTTTTTTTTCTTCCGCGTTCAAGGAGTTTTGAGGTAGGTACAGTACCTAGGCTGTGACAAACGTTGATTATCTCAACCACATGTTGACAGTTTTGTGGCAGAAATGTCTCTGAAGGTCAAACCCCCCCACGATCACCGGCATGGATGCAGGGGATCCGGGATGAGGCGTGCCCAGAGATGTAGCGGCGGGGTTGTGAGCACAAATAATTTCCTTGAGAAAGGGAATTATCTAAGAGCGGGTCACGATCTCTTATCGTTCCACTATCACGGTCGTGGGCGTAGTACATAACAGGATTTAAGGTGGTGAGAGATGACCGCATATCAGGGTAGGACATTTAGATAGTCTCGGGGTCCTGCTGCCTGCAAACATCCCGCGTCTACCTACTGGTCCGTCCTGATTTATTCTCTGGTAAACCGTTTTTTCTCTCTCGGGGTCCAGTTTTTTTTCTTCTGCCACTTAGTGGTACTCGTCGTTTCTATCTTGTCCGTCCTCCCTCCATCTCTGTGCTGCTGCTGCTCGTGCCGGTGAGTTTCTGCCAATTTCCCCATCCGTTTTGGTTTTTCTCCCAATCCTTTTGATCCGACCCTGCTTGTAGTTTGTACTGATTCATTTGAAGTTGTTGATTCGCTGTTGTTGAGGGTTGCCCCGCTGCTACTACTTTATTTAAAAACCCAAAGCAGTTCTGACATTTCGCCTGCCGCGACCCGTAACGGTGGAAAAAGCCATGACGACAGCACCAGAACAAAAGACACTACTTAGGTACCCCTCCGCGGTTTTTCGATCAATTCGGAACCTACCCTACTCTCTCATCCCAAATTTATCTTCTCCTACCTCCTCCGCCAGTTCGAAAGAACCCCCCAAAAAAGTCAGAATGCAACCCGCTAACTATCATTCTTCCCTAACCAGCGGCGTTTCCTTCGTTTCTTTGGTTGCGCCCACTGAGGACCTCTTTTATAGCACTGTTGAATTTTACACCGACCTGGGCTTCAAAGAGACATTTGTTTACGATCGCACCCACCCGACCACGAAGCGGGAAGTGGACCACTGTTTGTCCTCGGAGAAGGAAACATGGCTCTACTCCCAGAGCGAAAGCAGCAACGAATCGAACGATATTTCCCTCAAGATTCGCTTCGTTTCTGACGCCGTTCACCATGCCCACGGCATCGTGCGCCAAGACCCTCAGAAGCCGCCAGAGAGAACGGCAAATAGCAAGGAATCTTACGACTGGAGGGGTTCTTCTCAGAGCATTGTCCTCTGCACGGCATTCCTGCCAAAGATCGCTGCGCTTCTGAAGAGCAAGAACATCCTTTGCCAGTTCCAACCAAGTGAGCGGGAAGCCTGTGAGATTTACACCCATGATCCTATCGGTACTTTGGTTGGATTCACTGCGAAGGCAAACCCCTTCACACGGATCAGGCCTACAGATGGGTACCTGAGCATGACAAAGGCAGAGCAGATGATGGAAATCTCCCGTCCTACAACCGCCGGAGGAAAGCGAAAGAGGATTGGTGTCATGACCTCCGGTGGTGACGCTCCAGGTATGAACGCGGCTGTCAGAGCAGTGGTCAGAATGTCCATTGCCAAGGGCTGCGAAGCATACGCCATCTACGAGGGCTACGAGGGTCTTGTGAAGGGTGGTTCTTTGATCAAGAGAATGCGATGGGAAGATGTCCGTGGTTGGTTGTCTGAGGGTGGAACTCTCATTGGTACTGCTCGTTGCAAGGAGTTCCGTGAGCGCGCAGGAAGATTGGCGGGTGCGAAGAACTTGATCTTGAACGGAATTGATGCGCTCATTATCTGTGGTGGTGATGGCTCCTTAACTGGTGCTGACATCTTTAGGAGCGAGTGGCCGGGTCTTCTTGACGAGCTTGTGAAGAAGAAGGAGCTTACACAGGAACAAATCAACCCCTTCCAACATCTCAACATTGTGGGATTGGTGGGAAGTATTGATAACGACATGTCATCTACAGATGCTACAATTGGAGCGTACTCTTCACTCACTAGAATTTGCCAGGCGGTGGACTTCATTGATGCAACGGCATACAGTCATTCTAGAGCTTTCGTTGTTGAGGTTATGGGAAGGCACTGCGGTTGGCTTGCGTTGATGGCCGGCGTCAGCACCGGAGCAGACTTTGTGTTCTTGCCCGAGAAGCCACCAGCCGCAGGATGGGAGGACGAAATGTGTGACATCATTGCAAAGGTTAGTTTGACAAGTTTTCTACAATTCAAGAACACAAGCTAAGCTACTGCTACAGCACCGAAAACTCGGAAAGCGTAAGACGATTGTCATCGTTGCCGAAGGTGCTATCGATAGAGATCTTAAACCCGTCAGTGCCTCGTACGTAAAGGACATCCTTGTCGATAAGCTTGGACTTGACACTCGTATCACTACACTCGGTCACGTTCAGCGCGGAGGAACTGCTTGCGCATATGACCGTATGTTGGCGACGCTACAAGGTGTTGAGGCTGTTGAGGCTGTCCTGGAATCTACACCAGAGACCCCAAGTCCTATGATTGCTATCAATGAGAACAAGATCACTAGAAAGCCTCTGATGGATGCTGTCAAGTTGGTAAGTTTACTCGTCCCGGAATTATTAGGAAACAGTTTAGGTAGCTAATCAAGTACCATAGACTCAATCTGTAGCAGCTTGCATCAAGAACAAGGATTTCGAAGGCGCCATGGAACTGCGAGATGCAGAATTCGAGGAGTACCACAGAGCCTACATGGCCACTACTAAGCCGGAGGATCTCCAGGTTAAGGCACCCGTAGATAAGGTAGAATCCCCACCCCATTCTTTTAATTAAAACCCCACATCTCACAATTCAAAGCGCATGAAAATTGCTATTATCCACGTCGGTGCCCCTGCCGGTGGTATGAACGCTGCTACCCGTGCTGCGGCTCTCTACTGTCTTTCCCGCGGTCATCGTCCTTTCGCCATCCATAACGGTTTCCCCGGTCTTGTCCGTCACGACTCTGTCCGTGAGCTTACTTGGCTCATGGTTGAGGCTTGGGCTATTCGTGGTGGTTCTGAGATCGGAACCAACCGTTCTCTTCCAAGTGAAGATATGGGAATGGTTGCCTGGTACTTCCAAAAGTACAAATTTGATGGATTGTTGATTATTGGTGGTTTTGAGGCGTACCACGCGCTCACAGAGCTCTACCAAGCGAGGACAAGCTATCCAGCATTCAGAATCCCAATGACCTGTTTGCCAGCTACTATCAGTAACAACGTTCCGGGGACGGAGTTCAGTATTGGAAGTGACACCTGCTTGAACGCCTTGATCGATTATTGTGATGCTATCAAACAGAGTGCTAGTGCTTCCAGGAGAAGGGTTTTCGTGTAGGTCTTACGTCTTCTGCTGATGAAATATAAAAGAAATAGCTGACAACGTTTCACAGCGTTGAATGTCAAGGAGGAAGATCTGGATATGTGGCTACAATGGCCGGTCTTTCGGTCGGTGCGTTGGCCGTTTACACGCCTGAAGAGGGTATCAACATCAGTATGCTCCAGAATGATATTGGCCACCTACGTGAAAGCTTCGCCAATGACAAGGGCATGAACCGTGCTGGAAAGCTGATCTTGAGGTTCGTTTATCCGTCCTTAAGTTAATTTAAAACAAACAATACTAACGCACAAATAGAAATGAGAAAGCCTCAAAGACTTACACGACGGAAATCATTGCCGATATGATTCGTGAGGAGGCTAACGGGCGTTTCGAATCCCGTACCGCAATTCCTGGGCACGTCCAGCAAGGTGGAACTCCTTCTCCTATGGACCGTGTTCGTGCTGTTCGTTTGGCGGTCCGTTGCATCCAATTCATGGAAGAAAACCACGAGAAAACCTCTCAGCAAATCCTGGAAGACGCAGGCACTTCAGCTGTTATTGGTATTAGAGGCGCGAGTGTAGTATTCACACCCGTGCATGATCTAAAGGAGGAAGAAACAGACTGGAGCTCGAGAAGACCGAGAAAGGCATTCTGGTTGGACCTGAGAAGCATTGTCGATACTCTGTCCGGAAGAATGGGAGAACCTCAGGGCTCCTAGTCGAAGAATGACTCGACACTCGTTAATAGTTTCTCTATGATTTACACTTTTACACATTACACCTTTTCTTTTTCTTTTTTATTCATTTTGTATGTATATTGGGGGTGGGTGGAAATGTAGAGGGCCGTAAAAAAGATGTGGAACGTGTGATGGAATGGAAGCACATGTAGGGAACTGGTTTTCTTATCTGCAGAGATGATCTTGGGTTACTTTGCTCAATGATATTATGATTACATTCATTGCGTGCTATTTTTGATTGTCTTTATCATAGAGTTATATATATCATGAATGCCATTTACGAATTATTTACCTTTCTGGGATACTTCCGACTGCATCGTATTACCAGGCCTTGTAATACCGGAAGCCCCAACGTATAAAAATATGCTTATATCGAACACCAGATTTCATATACTGATTTATTCGGGATCGGCTAGCTATGTAAATATCGAGAGTGCACATGACACAAACTGCGGGCTGGGTAGGCCTCTCAAGCCTAAGTATATCTCCAATCAAAAATCAACATTCTCCCTGGAGCAGTAATACCTATGCTAGTGGATAAAGCATAAATGGTCGTACGTGCAGCCTTCTACAACATAGAATATCCCTTTCATCCCACACTTATGAACGAGCGAGAGTGACCATGAGAGATTTGGCGGCTAACAGAATTGTAAGCGCCTCTTATCGCGGATTACGGCACGTGACCGCGGCTGACGTCAACGCTGCTAGGAACGCGGGCAACTTTCTTTCTCTGTGCTCTAGAGCTGTTCTTTGACCTTCCACAGAACAGTCCATCATCAACATACCCACCCATCATCGTTCAACCTTTACCCATCGACATCATCGTATCGCCTCTCCTGGTTATCCCAATATTCATCCTCTACAGCTATACAAACCATGGTACGTCACTCCCCCGCCCCTCATCCCTCAGAGCTCACCTGTGATAGCTCTTTGTGCTGATATGTAACCAACAGTTCGGTGGTAACTTCTACGAAGAAGACGATGGCGGTATCTCCTATGGCGGGGGCCGTGGTAGCTCCCGCCCGACCCGCCGCTACGATGAGTACCTCCGCTGCTATCCTGTAATTATGATGGCGGGGAACGAGCGAGAGAACGTAAACTATGGTGGAAAGGTCATCATGCCGCCGTCAGCGTTGGACAAACTTACAAGGCTGCACATTGCGTATCCTATGTTGTTTGAGCTTAAAAATGGGGCAAAGGGTACTGGGACTCATGCGGGTGTGTTGGAGTTTATTGCGGAGGAGGGGCGGGTCTATCTGCCGCACTGGGTGAGACTCTACTATCTCTTTGACTTAGAGCTTGAATAGGGCTAACGGTTATATTAGATGATGAACACATTACTTTTGGAACCTGGTGATCTTCTACAGATCAAGTCGACAGATCTCCCTTCTGGAACTTTTATCAAACTTCAGCCTCAATCCGTCTCCTTCCTTGAGTCCATCACCGACCCCAAGGCTGTTCTTGAGAATGCCCTGCGAAACTTCTCGGCACTCACCAAGGGAGATACGTTCTCTTTTCTCTACAACGAACAAGTTTTCGAAATCAACGTTCTCGAAGTCAAGCCCGAGACCCCTCAGGGCGCTATTTCGTGTGTGGAGACAGATCTTGAAGTCGATTTTGCCCCTCCACTCGACTATGTTGAGCCCGCACGTATGCCACGATCCACCGGAAGCTCCAGGCCTGGTTCCATAGTTGGGGGAGGAAGAGTCACCCCGTTGGGAGTACAGGAAGGAAGTATGGCAAGATCAATCAACTACGCTGCCATCGCCCCTGGCTCAACCCAGCCTGCCGCAACGAAGTCATCATACTTCTCTGGAGGTGGGCAGAAGCTGAAGGGATCAAAAACATCAACGCCTAGGGACAAGCCTTCTACACCTGTTGCAGGTACCTCAACAAACAAGCCACCTCCAACTGTACCGACAGGAACCGTTAGGAAGGGGTCTGGACCACAGCCATTGAGGGTGCCGCGGGGCACGTTGTTCTTCGGGTATGAGATCAAACCAGTCAAGAAGAAGGACGAGGAGAAAGAAAAGAGCGGGAATGAAACTCTATTTAGCGGTGCGGGACAAACCTTAAGAGCCGCCGCCAATGCCAAGAAAGGCAAGGGAAAGGGAAAGGGTGGACCTGATATCATTGAAATTGATTGAAAAGGGGACGTAGTGATAATACCCGGGTGTGGTTATTGCAATCCCATTGTCTAGTTGGGTTTTATTTCTTTTGAGGCTCTCACTTTCTTTGGCGTTGTGTCGAAACGTCTCTTCCACAGTTATTATTGGCGAATGGGGGGCATGAAGGATTCGGAAGTATTCTTTTTTTCCCCTTTAATTTCCTATCTCTTCTCATACCAATGCATGGTGGATTGAGTGCCCGCGGGCGGGGTGATTGATGCTGGTGTAGCATGAATTGATTAGTATTTTGCGTGGAGATATACTCTGGATGTAGGAATCAATGTGATATCTTCTCCCCGTTTTTTTTCTGTCCCTTTGAGTGAGTTACAATTCAGCAGAGCTGGTCGAAGTAGACCAGACAATATAATTTGGGCCGCTTATGGCCCATTCTCCAAGTCCAAACCGTTACCAGAAAAGAATAGAAGAATGGGACGACACGTTGTGGGACAGATGACTTGTTTAGGTATTAAAACACGTTGCAGTAGTTACGTGGCTGTAAGCAATGAGGGATAGGTATCAGTTTTATAAGCAAGTATAAATTAAGCTATGGCAAGCGGGCGACAGAATCACCACCACCGTTCCATCCTTTTATCGGAACAAGAGCAAAATCAAGAGTAAAATCTAGACAGGGCTAAATCCACGATAGACAAATCAGAACACTCAGGGCTTCAAAACGTCCTCGGACCTATTGACCACCTACATGGGACAAACCTGGCGCTGATTCAGTCATAAACTCTGCGAGCCATTCTCCATTCTTCGCAGAGACAGCTGAATTCTTATCACTCACTCACATCACATATACGAGTGATATCCCATGATTGGAGCCAAGGAACATTTTTCTCCAATGAGCTCAAGGGCAATGATCCCCCTTTCAATTAACCGAGCACTTCACAGTCAGCTCTGAAGATACCACATACCCAGCGCACCCGAAGTTAAAGCGCTCTTCATGTCTTATAATAACAGGTCCCAACCTGGATACCTCCAATTAGCCGGAGGCTAGGACTTAGAAACAAGGGCTCTCTCTGGTCTTTTGTTGCTCGCTATGGTCATATCACCTAGTACACAGACTTAAAGCGACCAAGATGATCGCTACTCAAAGACTTACAGTAATTCATCAGTGTCAGTCAGCCATATTAAAGGATCATAGACGGAAGTTCATGTGGCAGGCTGGATCGGCAGCCCCAAAGGCGGCCTGGATAAACGCAAGGCTAGACCATGGTCACTATTACTCAGGGATGTTCTGAGTGATCCTTTGGTATGGCTGGGTATTGAATGGTGCACTACACACAGCGATATTTTCCCACGATACTTGAAGCTCCAGGATTACCTGGATAGACTTGGCCCAGGACTAGCTATCAAAGCTTATGATGCCATGTTAAAGAGTCTTTAGACTAAGGGAGAGGTCTTATGGGAGTGGCGGATCATATGATATCACTCGGTTTATTCTGCAGCCAAAAAGTGTCACCCGGTGGATGAGGGCTAGCTAGTAGTGACGCCTTTTATATTAATTCTAACCATTCTACAGAGTGTCACCCACGATTAAAACCTACCTACCTATCAAGATTACGACTACGACGTCGGCTCTACTACTGCCCTAACCCCTCCCTCCCATATCTCGAAACCTATTTCACTCCCGCCGCCAACCCACGGCGCAAACACAACCCTCACGCTCCTCCTCCAGGAGCCCTCAACCTCCACCACCCTCTTCACCACGACTCTCACCGCAAGCAAACACGCCCACACCATGCCCAGACTCGGCACCTTCGCTGCCCCGCCTCCGCCGCCCTCCTCCTCCTCCCCCTCCCAGCCATTAAACCACCTTGCCTGCATATCCAAACCCAGCTCCCCCCCTTCACTTCCCCCACCACCGAACCAATCCGCAACCTGATTCGCGACCACCACCGCCACCCCACACCTCACCGCCACCCCCCTCAACCCTTCCGCCATCCTCACCAGTTCCCCACCCCTCCTCGCCCTCGCTGCTGCACCCCCCGCCTCCCCGTCTCGGAAGTTGGCTGCAACACTATCGATAACCACAACCCCGACATTATGCCGTTCCACGAGAATAGGCAGTTGGTAGCGCAGGACGTGCTCCTGCGCCTCGAGATCGCAACACGTAATCGTGTATACCCCGTCGAGGGATGCCCCTGGATATTGATCTGATGCTAGTAGCTGGGAGAGCCGTGGCGTGCTGAGGGGTGCCTCGGTGCTGATATAGACGGCATTCCTACCCAGGCCGCCGCGGGATACGGGGAGCTGCGCGGTCAGTAGCAAGGGTAGAAGGAACTGGGACTTGCCGGCTCCGCTGTTGTGGGGCGCGTCAGCGCCGTGTTGAATGCGAGGGGGGGAAGCATACCTCTCGCCCACAAACTCGGTGATGCAGCAGGTACGGATACCGCCGCCGAGGAGGACATCGAGGGCGGTGTCGCCGGTGGTGAGAAATTGGGGGGCGGGGGTGGTGGTGGTGGTGGTGTCGGCGTTGAGGGCAGACGCGATGGAGTGTGTGAGGAGCTTGATGTCAAGGACGCTAGCGAGGGTAGTGGTTCCGAGGCGGCGGGAAAGGGCGAGGGCGTCCTGGGTGAGGAGGTCGGTGGTGGGGATGAGGGCGGTAGAGAAGGCGGCGAGGAGGTTGGCAGAGGAGGGGGTGGGGGGTGTGTATGTTGGGAGGAGGGTGTGCAGGTCACTCATTGTGGGTGAGTGAGTTTCCTTGTGGGGGGTGTAGGGGGTGTGAGGGTCAGGAGTACTGCACTGGCTGGCCGGGTAGGTACAGGTACAAATCCAGAGAGAGAACTCGATCTTCTTCTGTGCTTGGTTTGATTGGCAAACCGAATAATTGCCCGTTCACCAGGTCTCGATCTCATTACCTACGAGTCTCCGCCCTCCGGGTCCATCTACGAACTCCCAACTCCACTGATTGCATCGCCAGATCTGATATGGACCTCGAGTGATATCACATGAGGTCAGTACTCTTGTAGTTGCTAGCAGTAGAAATCGGCTCAAGCGTTCCTCTAGATATCGTGTTGGTTTTCTTTCTTTCTTTCTTTCTTTCTCGACCGATGTGATGTGATGTGATGTGATGTGAATTGATGCTGCTGGAACGAGCTCTCTCTCCCACGGCATGTGCTGTGCTTGGTGTGTGTGTGGCACAGGGCTGGCGGGAGGAGCTGTACGGCGCGGGTGAGTACATGTGATTAGTTAAGAGGTAAGGGTGTCTGCGAGGATCCTCAATCGCAGCCAGCTCTGTCACTCACTCACTCACTCACTCACCCACTTCACATCCACCTCACCTCACCTCACCTCACCAGCTCTGTCTATTCAGCCTTTCTCTCCTTCCTGTAGAGATATCGTCTGCTTCATTGTCTATTTACCTACACGGCTAGTAACTAGCTACTACTACTGCTACTACTACTGCTACTACTACTGCTACTACAGATACAGATACAGATACAGACATCTCCCAGAATGTCGCCCAAGAAACGAACATTGGACCTGGACCGAGTCGTCAGTGACATCGACCCCAAGCCTGCCCCCAAACGGCGCTCCAGAAATACCACCAGCACCACCACCGGCACGAGTACGAGTGCGAGCACGAGCACGAGGATTACCATAGACCCCCACCGCCACAGCCTGTCTGCCCTCCCCTACCACGTCCTCACCAACATCCTCTCGCAGCTACCTCCTACTACATCGCCCGCCTTCCTCCTCACCTGCGCTACCCTCTGCCGTGCTCTTCACGACCCGGCCATTGCTACTCTCTACTCCTCACCACTCACCTCCCCACCCGCGCGCGCGCACAAGCTCCTTGCCACCCTCCGCGCCCGCCCCTCCCTCGGCGTCAAGATCCGCACCCTGTCTATCGAGGTCGAGCCCCTCCTCACCACAAAGCTCTCCGGCGTTCCCTGGTATCTCGCCGAATTCCTCCAGCTCAGTGCTGGCCTGCGTCATCTCCGCTTCATCCATAGCGCCGACCATCCAACGCGCTGGCGATACCCAGATACCCTATGGGCGGCGCTCGAGGCCTCCAATTCCACCACCCGCCTGCACACTTGGCGATGGGACCGCAGCCTCATCCCAAAGTCACTGGACTACGCTGACCTGCGTGCCATCACAATCCGCTGCTTCACAGCCCTGCGCGCGTTGGAGATACAAGGCTTTGGCGGCGACAGCGACGAGGACGAGGACGATGAAGATGCACAACACATGATAGACATACTCGCGCTCATGCCCCGCATCACGGACATCGACCTCACAAACTGCTACATCGTAAACACCCACTTCCTAAATCTCCTTTCCACCACAACCGCCCGCTTCCACGACCTGCAGTTCACGGCCTGCATCAACCTCTCTGGCGACGACCTCGGCGCCCTCCTAGCCTCCCCAGCGTGCCAGAACTTGCGCTCCCTGTCCGTGCAGAAGTGCAACTACTGCTCGCTCACCTTTACGTCCTCTCTCCCGGCGGGGCTGCTGCATTTCGCGTTCGACGGGCAGGGCGCAGAGACGGAGCTCCTCCCGAGCACGAGCACCCCCGTGTGGCCGGACAGCTTACAGACGCTGCAGGCGACGTCGCTGCGGCGCTGGTCGTCGGGCGAGTGCGAGCGCTTCCTGGAGTCGGTCGTGCGGGCTGTGCCGCAGATGCGGGCGCTGAGGACCGTGAGGGTGTGGTGCATGCTCACGGATATCGACTGGCGGGAGAGGTCGGCGTTCCGCGAGAAGTGGCTGGCGGAGGTGAGGGGCGTGTTTGGCGGCGCGGAGGTTAGGTTTGATAATGCGAGGCCGGCGGAGACGTTGTGGGGGGAGGAGGACTTTGTGGAGAAGATTTTGGGTGCGGGGAGGAGGGGTGGGGGTGCTGTGAGGGGGAGGGGGGTCGCGGTGAGTGGGAGGGGGGCGGCGAGGGGGGGGGCCAGGGGGAGAGGGAGGGCGAGAGGGAGGGCGAGGAATACGGTGGTTGTGGTGAAGGAGGTGGTGAGTGAGGGTGATGAGGACTATGTGGATGATTAGCTGCGTGCTGTAGGCATCTGTAGTAGTATTGGACAGTATGCTGCGAATGGGAGCCACTTATGCCCGTTGGGCATACATAATACATGTAGTCTGTAAGATAGAACGAATAGAAATGATCTCGAGCTTCATACTTGTTACTATGTCTACCTACACAGCATTAGCACCCTACTTTCACTTGGTCGAAATGTATAACTCGTATTGTAATTGGTAGCCTCCTTTAATTAGCTAGCTAGGTAGGTTCTCTCATGGGCATCTGAGTAGGTGGGCAGGTTAAACATGGAATGAACAGTGATAGCTATCTTTGTAGTATCACGAGCGATCAATACTATACCTGGAGGCGCCGGTCATGGAGTATCACTCGCCGCCATAAAGTCCGTACATGGTGCCAAGGATTACTAGGGGGTGCGCTAGGCGTGAGAAAGGGGGCTAGAGGGCCCTACTACCTACATGTACACATGTATATAGATATCCTACGCTAACGTCTACGTTCATTGGCACGTTGCGAGCGTTACTAGTGGCTACCTGCTGTGTGTTAGTGGTCGATTGCTAGCATTCTTTCTGCTTTACAGCACTCGGGGATAGACTACCAACACAACACTGACCAAAATTTAAAAAAAAACTTCAGGATATATAGGGCTGTTATCCAGAGAGCTCTCATATATATATATATTAATTACACACTGTGCCCGAGCAGGGATCCCGCGTATATCAGCACCGTTACACACAGCCGCCGCCGCACCGCAAGCCTGAGCCACCCACCCCACGCTGCTCTACTTTTTACCGACTCCCGAGTGCCCCATGTCCCCTGCCGCCGATCCGCGGGGAATATATGCCGAGTCGAGTACCCTGGAAATGATTTCTCGCCACTTTTTATGTACCACCCCCACCCCAAAAAAATGCCAGCTACTGTTGGGGGGGGGGGGGGGGTGGGGATTCTCGGCCATGTGTCCGGCGTAGCTAGAAAATTGTAGGATACCTATTCTAGATGTCAAGATGTACATATGTGCTATATACATACAAGGAGTAGGGTGTAGCTCGTGACCTCGCGCTCGGGAGTCTGGATCCCTGTTTGGGAGGGAGAGAAGGGAGGGCTTGACCGAGTATTAGCCGTGGGTAATTGGGTGCTTGCTTGCCTGTGTCTTCTGCGATCTGCTAGATACCTGTAAGGTGGTCTTGGGAACGGTGCCCGCAGTCGAGCTTGACTAGGGCATATAAGTAGATATCCATAGACGGCCTCCTCCTCCGCATAGCTATATAATTAGAGCTTCACCAGCTCAGCTCTCTATCAGCTCCGATCCATAGCTTCCAATCTCCCCAAACGCTCCTAAAATGCCCTCCAGAGTCGAGCCCACCCCCACCCTCTCCTACGACATCACCGTCCACCCCCTCCTCGCCAATGACGGCCTGCTCGAACCCCAAGACCTCGCCCCCCTCCGCCCCACCCCCCTCGACACCTCCACCGACGAGATGCGTCACCGCTTCACCACCGACGGCTACCTCTGGATCAAGGGCCTCCTCCCGCGCGCCGACGTGCTCACCATGCGCGAAAAGTACTTCACCTTCCTCTCCCCCACCGGGCTCCTCAAGCCCAACACCCCCGCCGTCGACGGCATCTTCGACGCCGCAAAGACACCCGACATGTTCCCCGGCATCGGCGCCGCAACCGTCAAGAACACCTACCCCAACCCGCTCGCCAAGGAGTTTGTTGAGCGCGCCCTGCAGGCCCACACTGAGCCTTGGTACGCCGACGACTTCTGCCAGCACCCAAAGCTGAGGGAGTTTGTGGCGGGGATGAGCGGGTGGGGGGAGCACACGGTTGTGCTGCGGAGGACGCTGCTGAGGAATAATATCCCCGGAACGACGGCGATTGGGGTGCATTACGACCAGATCTTCCTGCGGCATGGGGAGCCGACGGCGATCACGGCGTGGGTGCCGATCGGGGATATACGCGTGAAGGGCGGGGGGCTTATTTATCTTGAAGGGAGCCATGAGCTTGGGAGGGAATTGGAGGCAACGTTCAAGAGAGAGGCGGACGAGGCGGGGATGAGTGAGGAGGAGCGGAAGTATGCGTTTAATCGCAACATGATGGATAGTGGGCTGCTGACGGATGGAGCAAAGGGATTTGCGAGGGCGTGTGGGAAGAGGTGGCTGGTTGCGGATTATGAGGCCGTGAGGATCCGGAGATGTTCACTGTATAGATTTTGAGGTTGCTTTGCTAACTGGGATATTCGATATAGGGTGATGTAGTGTTCCATAACCCGTTCATGATTCATGCGGGCACAGTCAATGAGGACCCTGATAATATCATTCGATTGGCGACGGATCTGAGATATGCGGATTCCTCGAGGCCATGGGACAGCGTAAGTCTTCTGAAAATATCATCTTTCTTTCCAGACCCAGCTAATATAATCCGTTGAAACAAACCTACAGAGATGGATGAAGCATTACACAACCGACGATGGACTGTAGATCGACTTTTATTTGGACAAGCAAATGGTTTTAAATAGGATTGATATGTAGATAGTTGCTATATACTATTCAATGAAACATACACATCTCTCTGAAGCTTTACCGTAGCCATTACTACAACAATCTCCATACAAAACTGCCCAATTCTCATAAACCCATCTCTATTACAACGCTAGCTTCACCGTTAAAAGTAACTACTCCACTAATCCCTTCATCCAAAACCACCCTACCCACCCCATAATTACCCCACACCCGTCCCAAACCCCACACTCTCCGTGCCCCAGGCCTGCTCACCCTACCCCCGCACCTACCTGCAATCACTCCACAACCGGAGTACACCACGCCGCCTCACAACCCATCACTCGGCCCAAACCTTTCCTAATCCGGTACAAACAACTAGAACAATGTGCAAGTGTGCACGTGCTCACGGGTGTATATAGGATTACATCCCTAGAGTCGACCGGCAGTTGATTATAGTAAAGATCAAAGGGAGAGTTGATAAGGGGGTAGTAAGGGATCCCAATTGGCGCATCCTTACTTGGGAGTTCACAGTGACTCGTGAGTACTGCTGGCATGGGTGTGGATAGACGCCTTCCCGGGCCACTCGAACACCCCCCTCACTCGAACAGTTAACTTAAAAAAGAAAATATCTGCGCTGTAACCGGTTTCTGTACCTCTTGAATTGGGCTTCTCCACCAATAAGCATCAACTGTTCGAGTGAGGGGGGTGTTCGAATGGGTCTAGGACAAAGCTATTGTTTCCTGGTAACACAGCCCTACCACTACTAGAATTGTACTATGCATCTGGTTCCTGCTACTCTACAACTATCCATAGGGTCCTGCGGGAAAACATATGAAAACGATGAAGCACTTTCTGCCTACGGCGTTTACAGTGCAGAAAATAAGTGACAGTATGTACGTCCTTGTACTTGGTTGAGATGTGCATTTCGGATTTCGCTAAATGCTCAAGGAGGCCGGGTTTGGTGAATCACGTAGTACAGATATCGGGACAAAAAGTTAAGTTGAAAAAGTGAGATTAAATACCTCCCCTACTTGTCTCGGAATATTCCGCAGTACAGCATAAGGCTATTTTAAAAAAGGAACAAGAAAGAAATAGAGAAAGCAGTTAAATCAAGTAAGCGATACAAAAATCACGAAGGGGATCTAGAATGGAAAACGGAAATGGGAACCATGTAAAGAAAATTATCTCCAATTTCGTATTCCATTCAAGACAAAAAACAAAAAACAGTATATGCAGTTCATCCCATTCGCCGTGATATTTTATGCCGCGTCCAAATTTATGGCAAACTTCCTCTAACTACCCACACCACAGCGAAAAGAAAATAGTTGTTTTTGCTGCTTAGTACTCGGCCTCCTCAGCATCTTCACCGAGAGAATCGGTGGCAACCTCCTCGTAATCGCGCTCTGAAAGGTTATTAGCATCTGTTGCACTTGGGTTCGAAAGTAGATTAAGAATGTAAACTTACCAAGAGCAGCCAAATCCTCTCTGGCCTCTGAGAATTCACCTTCCTCCATACCCTCACCAACGTACCAGTGGACGAAAGCGCGCTTGCTGTACATGAGATCGAACTTGTTGCTAAGAGCGCTCCATGCTTCAGCAATGGCGGTGGTGTTGGAGAGCATACAACTATGTTTGACGTTAGTCTAAAAATCACATGTAGAACACATTGAGAAAAACTTACACAGCCCTGTTAACCTTGGCCAAATCGCCGTTAGGCACAAATTGAGGAGGCTGGTAGCAGATACCGATCTTGAAACCAGTTGGGCACCAATCAACGAACTGAATGGTCCTCTTGGTCTTGATGCTGGCGACGGCGGCGTGAACCTCCTTAGGAACAACGTCACCACGGTACAACAGACATGTAGCCATGTACTTGCCGTTGCGTGGATCGCACTTAACCATCTGGTTGTGGGGCTCAAAGCAGGAGTTGGAGATCTCCTGGACAGAGTTGGCCTCATGCGAGGCCCTAGATGCAGAGATGACAGGGGCGTATGAGACGAGAGGGAAATGAATACGAGGGTATGGGACAAGGTTGGTCTGGAACTCGTTCAAGTCGACATTCAGGGAACCGTCGAAACGGAGAGAAGCAGTAATGCTAGAAACGACTATTCAAACAGTTAGCCGGGCAAAAAAAAAAAAAAGGGTTGTTGTTTGAAGAGTTATGTACCCTGTGCAATCAATCTGTTGAGGTTCTCAGTGTTGGGCCTCTCAATATCCAAGTTGCGACGGCAGATATCGTAGATGGCCTCGTTGTCAACCATGAAAGAGCAGTCAGAGTGCTCAAGAGTTGTGTGGGTAGTCAAGATAGAGTTGTAAGGCTCAACAACAGATGTGGACACCTGGGGAGCAGGGTAAACTGAGAACTCGAGCTTGCACTTCTTGCCATAATCGACAGAGAGACGCTCCATCAACAAAGCACCGAAACCAGAACCGGTACCACCACCAAATGAGTGGAAGATGAGGAAACCCTGGAGACCAGAGCAGTTGTCTTATAAATCGTCAGTTCGCTATTCTAGAACAGACCGGTAATTTTATGGAACAAACCAGCAACACGGCGGATCTTGTCCAAAACCTGATCAATCAACTCCTTTCCAATGGTGTAGTGTCCACGGGCGTCTAAATAATCGTTTTAGCCATTTGCCATAAATCAAAACTCTAAAAACACGATAAACATACAGTTGTTGGAAGCATCCTCCTTTCCAGTGATCATCTGCTCGGGATGGAACAGGTTCCTGTAGGTACCCGTTCGTACTTCATCAACGACATTGGGCTCGAGATCTACATAGATGGTACGGGGGACGTATTTTCCCTGACCTGTAGAGATATATTGTTTATTAGCACCGAACCACGTGATGGGATTGTCATCCTCAAAGTGCAGAATGGCCCAAGGGTGAATTTTCGTGACATACCGGTCTCAGAGAAGAAAGTGCTGAATCCCTGGTCCTGGGGCCCCTTTTGACGCTCCTCGGTAAGGTAACCATCAGGCTAGAAACGATATATTAGCTACAATCCTCATTGCCGTGAAGCTGGCCAATTGCTTCTGGAAATGCATTTGATGAACGGCTCTATGGGTGCTGAATTACCTGGATACCGTGCTCAAGACAGTACAACTACAGCGATCAAAGAAGTCAGTTACTGAAATCCGGAGGAATTAACAAGCTTGATAACTTACCTCCCAGCAAGAGTTGGCGATCTGAACACCAGCTTGTCCGACTGTTGAAAAATATCAGTAAAATGGACCCCTGGAATTTCAGGGGCAACAGCAGCTTGATAACAGCTGACAGGGGCAACCAGGTTGTCTGATAGGAGATGCGGGGAGTGGATACGAACCGTTAAGGGAAACGACTTCTCTCATGATGAATGATTATACTAAGTGGTACTGTGGTAGAGGTGGTGCTATTGATTGATTGATTAGGAGAGTCGTAAAAGGCGTGAAGTTGGAGGATGGATGAAGAGAAAGGGAGAAGAAGGGATGGGATGGGGGAGAGAAGCGGGATAGAAAAAGAGGGTGAAGGAGGCGGTCTGTGGTCTGTGGGTTGAACAGGGTGTGTGTTGTTTTTTTCGCGTCGAAGGGTTCGGTTTGTCAGGTAGACGCCGCAGCTAGCCAATTACAGTTAAGCGACAGGCAACCCTTAACTTTCCCGTGCTCTTGTTGACCCACGCAACTACAGCCGTGCACGACCTCATGGTAGTGCTTCCCTCCCCACAGCGGAAAGCTGAATGTATGTACATACTACATCCGGTTCCTGCTCGCCAATTCACTCAACATGATCTTCAACGCTTCTCGGAGTCAAAGGCTTCAGTGCCGGTCGCTTGTATTTCCATCACTGCTTCTACTGCTACTTTGCCTGGCCCTTTTGCCTTCGGTTTCTGCGAATACTGAGAAGGAGATATTCATTGCCCCACATGAGCAAGACGAACTATTGTTCACTGGTGCGAACGACGGGCAGTCGGTTGAGCTTGAAGCTCTCAATCTCGGACTTCATAAACTTACACCTTCGCCTCTTTGCGGCACCAGCCCATGTCATAATCTGAAAATCGCATTGAATACTTCGTTCGTCCCCCTTGAAAAACAATGGGTTCTCCTTGATCATCTGAAGCCTGGGAAGAGGTATGAAGTTCGGTTATGTTGGGCTGCTACCGTGAGTGCACACCAAAAGGCGCGATTTGTAGCTTTGACCGAACCCCCAAAGATTCATTACTCAGAGCAAAATAATCTAGTCACCAACAAATTTCCACCTCAAGCTATACACACCTCTTCAAGTTCTTTCAGACCCGAGTCTCATCACTAGCCTAGTGTCCTACTCTGCTCGAGCACCTCCGCCGTTGCGAACAGTAGATGAGGTTGATCATGCCGTAGAAGCTCCCCGTTCCCTACTTTATTTGGAGATTGGAGCAGTGGCAGCTTATTACACGCCCAACAAGTATCGAATGGAGAATCCGGACAGTGTTGGCGTTGATATAAGTTCGTATTCCCATAGCTACCGTCCCTCGGAAGCTATAGCAACTAACTACTAAACGACCAGTTCTTGATCCCTACTTCATGAACATCATTCCAGAGTCCCTGTTTCCCATTATAGGAATGATTACTCTGGTCACTTTCTTTGCCTGGTGGTGCAGTGGACGGATATACAGAGCTCTTCAAGATATCGAGACGACGGAAGTGCCAGAGAACGACGATCGAGAGAAGAAAACCACTTAAACCTAATTAGTGTTTAATTAATCGCGTTAACAGTCCCTAGGAAACTTAGATTTCTAGCCATCAGCAATATCGGAGAAATGTTTGAGTTATCCAGGAGTTCATTTGTTTTATTTGTATGGGACGAATTTTCATAGTAGGGAGGAAACGATTGTAAAAAATTACTCATTGGGTTTTAGCCTACATGTAGTTATCACCGCACCTGAAGTGAGTGTAATCTCGATTTGGGAATCTTAATCCAGTTAGGCAAGCCTTAAAAGCTTACTCAGTATATTGGCGAAAGGTTTACTTAATCTATTGCGAATTACTCCTTGTCCACCCACCACCTGTTCTGACGAAATAGAAGAAACACATCAATTGAATCCACCAACGTCTAGAGAAACATGCGCAAATATTATCCTCTCGCTTAATATCAGCTCATGCGGCATAACAGGAATGCCCCAAAATATGCCTTCTATCCTCTTCAATCCCATCTCTAAATACGTCTTAGGGAAAGTATCGTAATCACAAAATACAGGAAGCCACTTGATCAGCCCTATTAGAGATATCATCATCGTTGATAACCATGGGGTTTTTCTTAGATGCTGCGCAAATCTCAACGACCTCGTCTTCATGGTCGAGCTCGAGGTACCCATTACTGGGGGAAGATACTTGAGGGGAGGGGGTACGCCACTGAGGCTTCTGAGACCCCTTTACCGGAGGTGGGGTAAAAGAACTAGGGGATTTTTCTCTGCCACAATTTGGATCTGGAGATTCGCAGGAAATTTCCAGTGGTACCCCAAGCGGAATTTCAAGGCCATCAACCGTATTCACATACGTCGACGAACCGCCAAAACCCCTAAAGCTTGGGCTTACCGCGTATAGGAAGGATGGATCCTCCATCCCCGGCTCTTTTATGAAGGGCTTCACGTCATCGCCGTACTCATACCCAAACTCATGTCCGTGTTCGTCGTAATTGAACATCCCAAACTCCCTCTTGACAGTCTCCATCTTGATCATTCTGTTTTCCTTTTTGATCTCAACGTCGTCGGAAACAATGCCCTTTCGATACAGAAACATATCCGGGTCCTCGATGAATTTGCCCTTACAGCCGTCCTTTCCACCCTTCCCAGCTTTTTTGATCTTCGAGGCAGGATTGGTTTCGTAGCCACACTCTTTCGCAAGCTTTCGGAGCTTCTTGATACGTTCTTCACATGCACGAGCAGTGCAGCCAACAATCTTTGCAACACGGTTGTGATCGACAATCACTTTGTGAGCGCTAAGAATGGCAAGGAGGAGGTGTTGGTCCGCAGCAGCTATACATATGACGTGGTGATATTAGTACTACACACTAAACCCTGGTCTAATCTGTATGGTCGACTTACAATTCCACTTCATATTGGATAATCGACAACTTAATAATAGAGCTTGAGAATTTTAGCTACTTCTGTGACCCGGTCCAATTGGGTCCCTTGTGACTGCGGTTCATCAATGTTATTATGATGAAGTTTGAGAGCCGTATCAGGTTGTTTGATTCTTACCTAGCTATTATCTCTAATCTATGCGCTCTAAAGAGGCTCTCACGATGCTCGTAACGACTGGAATAATTTGTGTGTCTCGAAGCTTTGAATGAGTTTGCAAGGCTGGAGCTGTGCTCTATATCTGAGCTAACAACAAAGCAAAATATATGCATTAGGGCTCGTACTTGGACTAAAACTGCTGAGTGTGCAACTTCACTGAACACTGAGCAATAGACCGCATAGCTTACGACGGTATCGGGAAGCCTGAGGTTTGTCTATCATTTCCATTTTACTTTGAAGTGCGGCTTGTAGCCATACATATGCTAGCTTCGGCATCACTTAGACTGTGAAGTTCCTTGGTGCTTCTCCACCGATTACCCTGTATATACCCTTTTGCTTAATTAGATCTTCCATTATATTTTTCAATTCAAGTACAGCAACAAAAGGACCAATTGATTACACTTAATACTACCTATACGATTTCTTGCATGGACTCCACCAACCGAACGAAACAAAGAGAACCCAGATAATCAAATTCACACCGGAAATCCCCCAGGGTGGCGAGGAGTTAATATGTGTAGACACACATACAATGTTGACCACCTAATCTTCACATGCATTCGTTGTACCAACCCGCTATTCCGATCCGCAATCGGGCATGCATATATCCAGCTTATCTCTACCAATACTTTACAAATGAGAACAACACACGCACCCCGGATCCCTGATGATATGCAGCACGGTTTCCAGAAACAAAGGTAATTAGCCAAGCCGAGTGATACCTTATGATGGGATTTCTTTAAAAGTACCTACCTAGCACATGGAGGAGCTTAATTATCTCTAGTGTTATTAACTTTGGCTTCAAAAATAAGTTGCGGGAAGACTGCATTTATTCCCGCGATATCACCTGTTTCCCGGCGCATACCATGTTTTTACGAGTTTGATAAATAATGTAGCTCTTAATTTCGGGATATGAGATCCGTCCTGGAAGGTATCACTTGCCATTGGATGCCGAATAAAGCTTGGGGAGAACCTAAGAAATCCTATTTAAACATAACAGGCCTACATGAATAAGAATAAGAAGGGCCATGTGGTCGTGGTTGGATCGTTCTGTTTATTCCCGATCGATATCGATCCTAAATGATTTGAGATCAATGAGAAGAAAATGAAAGGAGCGAAAAGTATATGTAGTCGCGAGTTCATGTGGCAGTTATTGGTGACAGTTTATAAAAACATACTTATGGATGAAAAACCAAACTTCAATGCTGTGGGGCTACAGGACCGATACCGGCGATATCTATGCCCGGCGCGGAGGTCTAGATACGGGATGCTACCTTAAAACTACATGTACAAGTAATCTTTTTTAAAATTGATGTTTAAACCACATGAACTTCGTAAACCAAGAGCTTCCACTACATATAGTTATCTCTCCGTATGCGTGTCAACTATTAGATATGAATAAGAATAGAAAGAAACGTTTTCCAGAATAAATAACCATCACTAAGACCTTATCCCCAGATCCTACAAGCAATAGCTCCAATCCAAAACTACATAAACTCAGAATCCGCGTCAGAGTCTAGCTCCGACTTAACAAAAGCATCATCCTGGTAATCAGGGTCCTCGGCTACCGATTCAGATTCCGATTCTACATCATCATTGGCGTCCAGCTCCGGCTCCGGCTCCGGCTCCTCCTGATCATCTTCCTGATCACCTTCCTGCGCATATTCCGGTTCAGATTCCGTATCATCGTTCGACTCAACCTCACGCTTCACCCCCATGGCCACCACCGATTGGGTCGACGCTTGGATCGGACTCGAAGCCAGTTGCTCGCTATAAAGCGAACGGTCCGATAGCGCTTCTTCGTCCTCCCCTTCCACCTTCGCCACGAGTAGGTCGTCTACAGCTACTGTATCATCTACAGCATCAATACTATCACTAGTGTTGATGCCATTGACAGCATCAATGCCACCGTTGATATCTATGCCATCGTTTGTGAATATGCCATCGTTATTGTCAATGCCGTCGTTGGCCCCAATGCTATTATTGGTATCAATTGCCTCGCCGTTGTCGACGACATCATCAGCAGTTCCACCAATGTCGACATCGGCACCTCCAAGCTCAGTACTGTCATCCTCATCCTCTGCCGTCTTAATCTTCTTCACTGCACCTTCTTCCTCCTTAGGAACTATTGGAGGCGGTCGTTTCTTCGGGCCACTCTTCCCCTTTGGATGGTTTCTCGGCTTGGGGTGGTCCATAGCCTTAGCCTCCCGTTTGAGCTTTGCTATCCTTTCCTCGATGGCTTTAGGGGTTGCTCCTTGATGGGCACACCGTTAATCTACTATAGTCATTGTTTGCGAGAACATGAAACACACCTGGGAAGATTTTGCATAATTCCACGGTGTCATAAGATTTTGCAGAGCGCTCGATGAGACGAATGAGAAGCTATGATTCAAAATATTATATTAGTAATATCCCACAAAAACAGTCAAGTGGATTGAGCGGCGGAAAAATATTTACCCTACGATCATTCTCTGAGGTCCAGACCTAGTGTCACACTTATTTAGATCATATCATATTATCTGTGTCGGTACGTAGATTCACTTACAACTTTCGGCATGACGATACCACGCAGCTAGATAGAGAGGCTAAGTAGACTGAAGAAGTAATTCGATTCCTTACTAGAATTACTCAAGGCAGCCACTGCAAGGATAAGATAACGGGGTAGAGCAGGAGTGGAATCACAAGAATTTTTAGAGCTGATATTCCTCAACACGGGACCAAGGAAGAGGAGGAGCTTGAGGGAGGGAAGCAAACAAGGATCAAGTCAATGTTTGTCCCTGCCATGATATCAAATAGGACTGAGCTGCATGCGAAAAGCCACCAACACCAGGTATCCATCCCATCGGATAGGGTAAGGCAGGAGCTAGCTAGATGGACGTTCCAGATTTACGGGTACTCTCCACGGTGCTCCCGCGTTTTCGTGTTTCCATAGCTGAACAGCACTCAAGAGTACTCGACGTAAGTTGAATCTTGCAGAGCCATAACTTGCTACACAGATGTTTAACGCAGATCAAACCAGTCTAATCTTACAGTGCCTAGGAGTCATTACAGAATCGTAGGAGGTACGGAACAGCCAAGCTGCTAAACTGATCGATCAGATATGTACCCGCCACCCAGCTTTTTTATTGGCCTTGTTGATGCATATGTACTACCTATGTACATGTAATTATCATTATGTGCCCGTATCGATAGGTACGTAGTAATCGATTAGGTATGTACCCCACCCCCACATCAGTATTTGTATTTGCTACACTACACCTCCACATGCCCGCGGGATTAATACATATGTCCTAGGCAGTTACTAACATGATTCGGACACTGTACAATAGACTAAGTTCACGGCCTCATGCATCTATTCCCGAGATACTATCAATTTCAAATCGTGCACCAGCTAGCATACAGGTTCCCTCTCCACTACATCACACTCTCCCAATCAAGGATAACTATGATACATCCACTGTGTCATAAATATTCTACTAATCGCTGTAATCGCTGCTGCCACTCCATGCAACTATGGAATCCTCCTCTTGGGTTGATTCCTGCTTTACAGGTGTTTTCTCTACAGTTGCCATTTTCCTAGCTCTCCCTGCCCCGCCGATTTTTCTGGGAGTGCTTGGGGCACTACCGTTCGCAAGTTTGCGTTTCCTAGGGGTTGGCGGTGCAACTGCTGGTCTGCTGCCAGATTCGATTTCTGCTTGGAGAATTTTCGCCTCTCTCTTCACATTTCTGAACCTGGTCTCGATGCTATCATATGTTGCCCCTTCTCCGAACATCGCCGCAACATGGTTATAATTCTAGTTTACCAGAATTAGTAATGAGGTACCAAGATATTAAAACCGTAGCGGATACACATACTATTTTGATTTCAGGGTGAGCTGCGATTGTAGCAGCGAGTAAACGCTGGTACTTCTCCGCCGTCCATGTGATTTTCTTTTTGTTGTTGGACATTTTTCAAGAATAAAGTTCGAACGAGGTAGACAAGAAAAAAGAGCCGGACAGAAGGAGCTAGCCGAACAAGAAAGGTGGGGTTTTGAGGATGCTTTGTTGTCTTGCACAAGTTTACACAAGGTATGAATTCACAAAGTATGAAATCCCTAGAGAGAAGGTTCAAGATATGTATTGTAATGGCCTCAAAGCCAGCGAATACTCACTCTATTTAAATAAAATCGGCAACATCAGTTACAGGGAAAAGAATATGAACTCCTGCGGTCTGTGTAATGTGGAGGTTGTTATCTCGTGGGTGGGTTACAGTGCCGTACGTACTGACCATTCAACTCCTGCGTGACATGTTGCGGCCTGCCCACGGAGACAGCTATGGATACCTACCCGCCATACTCTAGTAGGCGGGGCTTCTGAAACTTCATGGACAACCGGCCTACTGAGCCAACGTCGAGATCAACGATGCAGCATCTCAAAACGTCCATCCCACAATGTACCAGAAAAAAGAAAAGAAACGTGCATGCATAACCGAAGGTAAACCTCCGAGCTGAGCGTGAGACCCCTGTTAAAACCATTATATGGGTCATAGAGTACGTCTCCCTGTACATATTAATACTGCAATATATATGGCCTATACGCGAACTAGCACCACCTCACTGATGTGAAGCTATGCATGTGCTTGACATGCTATTGAATTAATGTAAACGATGAAAAAGCTCTTTATTTTACAGAAAGACTCCATGAGACTCTATTGTCGTCGGTGGCGGCGGTTGATTTCTAGCTCTAATAATCATTTCCCGAAACCGTTACCGGCCCTCTGTAGGTAACAAAGTACATGCAGTACTGGTAATAAAAAAAGCTTACTGGCTGACAGACTACGAACCAATCGCCACTGCGGTCATTGGGATACTCCTATTGGCTGTAGCCTGCCCGTGAGGTACCTCCGAAGTTATTGCTGCCAACACAACGGCAAGTTGCGACGAAATGAAATTATGTACCGATACATTCAAAATATTATTTCCTCTGTACGTACGTACATACGGGATCCTAAAGTGCACCTGATCTGATCATGGCCCGCTGGCCGGCACCAATTCAAGTCCTCGGCCTGCCCTTTCCCTACTACGTATGTACATACATACATTTACATATGTGTGTTGATTTCCTGCTTTTTAGCGGGCACTCATGTGGGATGTTAATTCCAGCTAGTCTCCTAATAGCGTCAATATATCCAGAACTACATGTAGCCCCTTGTTAAGATATGAAATCTTTCGTGTACTATACTCAAGAGTACTCTACTCCACATACGTGGCTATTCTAAATAAGGACATACTTCAATTAATTGAGACATCGGCAGATTGCGCGACTCTGAGGTGATCGAGGCAGTCACTCTCCATTTCTGTAGCATTCCGTAAGCTTATAAGTACTAACCTCTAAATTCTGATTATGAGATAACCAACATCACTATCGACACGCACAGACTATGATGTAGAGAAAGTACTCCCCCTCCCACCCCACTTCACCAGCTGACATAAAACCTTTATCCTCCCTTACTCTCGCTCACTCTTTTCCACTCAAGCTTCCTCATCTAACTGGACATCTATACAATCGTACAACATATAATATCATGAAGTGGACAGCGGATAATGACCAGCTGGTAAGTATAGTTCTATTTTCTGCCTGTATCTAAGTTATCAAGATTAACCGCGACCTAGCTGTTCGTTAAACTAATCGAAACGCACGATGTGGCTATAAGAGCGGAAAAAATAAGGGAGGCATGGCGTACGTCCTCCATGTATCCTAATAACCTCATTAGTGAAGTACATCATTAACATATATACGATACAGCCAAAGACGGCCGCGAAGTACCCACTGCAAGAGCAATAAGTGAACGGATCCTACGCATCAGAAACGGCCTAAAGAATGCCAACAAAGGTGATGGTACTGGTACCGTCCCAGGATCCGTCCCTTCAACCCCACGAAAACGCAAAAACACAGCAGCCTCGGTTACCGGAACCCCAAGGACTGCAAAATCACGGCGAGTTGCTGCTACAAAAGAGCTTGATGGCCCAGATAGCCCTATCAGAAGCGTTAGAAAGCCTGTTGCTAATGCGGCAGTAAGGGTGGCACACGTCCAGGAGCTGGGGGATACGCCGGGATCGTTTGATGCATGTAGTACGGTCGTCGATGCGGCGAATATTTACTATTCGTTTGGGAACTATGGAACTCCGGATGAGAGCTAGAGTCCCAATTAAAGCCTGTTTTCATATTGGTAGCACATTAAGGGACATGTACGTAGACGGTGATATATATCAATAGCCACGGCATAATTGTATGTGTTATTGAAGCCCCATTCATTATAAATCACTATATATATTTATAGAGATATACATGTTTAATCCATTTATGTGTTTAAATCTTTAATTCCCTAAAATCTGCTTTGCAATTGGTTGGATCCATTGAGGAAAAATTGATAAATGAATTACCGGACTGACACAAGCTTGTTCAAAGAACAGCCTTGCTTTAAAATCATGGGGGCATTCAATATCAAGTGAATACATTTTGTAGCAAAGGCAACTAATTACATGTATTGACCAACCACCCAAACCGCTAGAGTTTTCTTACCTTCTAACATTAAACCTAGTGAGTTATAGGCGTCACGTCAAGCCACACTAGATGGGGTATTGGTACATCAGCGTGTTTGGCTACATAAGTACTAGCTACTTACCAGGTCGGTTCTATTCTGTAGTTTGTCCCTCTGCCTCCTCTTCCTTCTTCTTCTTCATATGCATGCTTTGTGGCTCCTTCCCTTTTCATAATAATAAAGATCTAGATTCTTAGAGCTTGCAACTCCTCGAAGATAAGTCTTTCTGTTTCCATCTCAAACCAAATCTAAATCCGATACACAGACCGCCGTGCATTATGAAAAGTTTCTTCTGCCCTGCTCTGCCCTGCATACCTACAAGGTTGGGATTCCTATCGTATGTACATATCCGATAGAATTTACCACCTGCTAACAAAAGGGTTCTCCCTGGGATAGTAACTCGAGCTCTGCCCTCTGGCCTGCTTCTGTCCTTTGATCACGCCTTGTAAAACCTCGTGGGCTCAGATATCTTTATCGGAAAATGCAAGGCTTATTTGATCTAAGGATCCTAGTGGGCAACAAACTTTGGCAATTACATGCCACAACCAGTACAGTACCTAGCAAGCCAGCAGTTAAAAGTTTCCTAGTTTCACTATCTTCAAAATCAAATTGACTGCGAACGATGGGCTCAATTTGGGATATTCTTTCCGGCCTTCGTGATGCTTGGCCGGCCTGACGTTTGATTTACATGATCAAATTATGGAAGCGCAGCAAACAAGCTAAGCACTGGGCTAATCTTAATCAGATGCAGTGGGCCGATACTGCAAGATGGAATATCTCTCTGGTTTCAACGGTTTGAGTCTCGATTTTTCGTTTGCTCTCCCCAGGAGTCTAGAATATTAATATCCGGTCGAGATAAATTGAAGCAATTACATGTACGGTGTCCCTGGATCATGGATTTGTGGAGAGCAGAGATTGTATAAAGACCAAAGGAAAGTATATATACACATCTCTTCATCTAGTATATCATCGATCTACAACTTTCGACTTCGAACCCAGAGAAGATTCTGCCTGCTGAGAAAGGAACAGAAGCAACACTCACTTACTCTTCGATACCATATTCCACTCGAGATATAATGGAGATCGAGAAGCTTCTCAATCCCGGTACGCGCACACATCCTTTTCCTTCTTCATATAGGTATCCCACGTGGTATCAGACTGACGGGAGTGAATAATAGACAAAGGAAAAGGCAAAGGCAAAGGCACTGATGAGCCACCAGCCAATGAAACGCCAGGAAAGAAAGAAGCGGCAAAGAAAGATGCTGCACAAGCCGAGGAACAGAAGGATTGGGAGCAAAAGATGAAAAGTAAGGGAATGCCGACTCAAGGGTTGAATACATGGCGGGTCAAGAAACAAGGGTCATAATTTGAAATACGAGTACTGCAGCTAGCGCTGGAGAGTCTAAGAGGGATAGCGACATAAATGAGCATTAGTAGATATTATAATAATCAATATCAATTTCGCTACCGCATCACGTGACACATTTTATGGTTACTGTAATACCGCCATAACTCGAAAAATTGGCTAGATCAGAATTACTTGTATGGGAAACTTCTGATGTAGATCGATGCCATCCAACCAATTATCCAAGCGGTAGTCCCTGGACGGAGATAGCCAATTTTTCGAGTTTTGGCGGTACTATCATAGCTATATTTATCTAGTATAAAATCCAATATCACATTCTCCAGACATCAGACCTGCAGACTGGTTTCCCTGTCTAGGTATCCCTAAGCGCTTGCCTCCAAATCTTCCGCCGTGAGCTTTCTCTTTTTCGGGGTGGCAGGAGTAGGTTTCTGTCCCTTCGCTAACCCAGAGCAGCTTGCGCTTGAAGACGTCGACGTTGAGGTCGAGAGTTCAGTATCCAGTGCCTGTTTCAGCCTTCCCCAACGCTTGCGGGCCGCGTTTTTAGTAACTCCTCCTTCGAGAGTTTGGGCAATCAGGTCCCAATCAAGCTATTAAGTACCGTACACATTAGTTGGCTACATCCATACAAGTAATTAACCACATGTATACATACCGCTCTCACATCCATCTGCTTAATGATGGCATAAAGCAACTTTACGTTTTCTCCGTTCAAGTGTGCAAGAGACATTTCTTTTGAGGGCTACTATAGAGTTGATCAGGAAGAGGATGATGCGTAAGTTGGTAGCGGATCTAGTTAGAGGATTCGAATGAATGTGGGTTTTTGAGTATTTAATAAGATCGCGATTGTATCATGAAGGCACAAATATGTAAGTACGGTACATACATGTAGTTTGTGTCTGCTAACCTTATACATCATTGTCGGTGCGTCTATAGATTCACAGGGTTGCATATCATACATACAGCATGTATCATTTGAAGTGTTGCACAGACCCATTCATGAGCGATCCAGGGCCTCCCGAACGTATGTACATACATGTATGTACATGTATGTAGTAGAATTGAATACCTGATACCTAGCCCCATGCCGAGCCCATAGTGAAGCTACATACAGGTACAGATATGTAGTTTTATCGAGGATATTCCCACTCTTCGTCTTACACACTCATCCTCCCACGCTCATCATCTTCCCACTTATTTCCAAATGCCAGTTTGGACAGACCAAAACCGTTGCCGTCTGCTGTTGACTATCCTCGAAATAAACAACCAGAAACCTCCGCCATGGGATGAGGTTGCACAGAGAATGGGCGCTGGATACACTGGGGCGGCAGTCAAGTGTGTAAACATGATTAATTGCTCTTGAGATTAATGGCAAATGCTGACACATCGAGACAACAATATCAAAAACTACGAAAAGAGGGATTCCCCCGTCCTGGTGGTGCCAGTGGAACTACACGTGACCAAGTTCCGCCTACTCCAAAGCGAAAGAGAGCACAGCCGCTTGGGGAAAAACAACAGCCACCAGTCGATGACGTAGAGCACGGGTCCAGCAGCGATGAGAGTAGCAGGAACAAAAGAGCGCGCCTGAAAAAAGAAAGAATTAGCGTAAGCCCAGAAAGAACAATAGTGAAGACGGAGCGAGTGGATGAGGATGGCGTTGTGAGGTTGGATGATGATGAGTATGTGCCACTTATACGCGTAACTAATATCGCATTGGTATATTTTTGTTTAACTGACGCGATTTAACCACTTTAGTTTATACTACTGCTGAGCTCGGGAAAGCACGTTACGCGCGGTTATTTGGAATAAAAACTTGTATTGCTAGCATCTATTATTTTATAGTACTACATGTAGTACTTACACGTTCCTGTTGGATGTGATGTGTGCACGTGCTTAAAATATAATTGTGTTCCCCGAAGGTATGGTTGATGCAACGAGTGATAAAACATGATCAAGTAACCGTGCCTTCATCACATCTTGCTCTGGACCTCTGTAGGGGTACCAACACTATCTTCATACATGCATACCCACAATACCATCATGATCATCACCACAAGGAGTTGAAGCAATCGAGGTGATCGAAACCGTGGAGCAAGCGGAAGAATCAACAACCGCCGCCTCTGGACCCACTTGTTGGTTTTCCTCATGATCATCACATCCCTCGTTATCCACATCTTCATGGTTCAATCCCGCACAAACCTCATTTGCCACATCACTAACAACCTTCTCGTCATTCTGATACTCATAGAACCGTTCCCCAGCCCCCGGTACCTGAGCAAGCTCTTGCTGCTCTGGCCCCCATCCCATACCTGACCACGCCACATGCTCTTCTCTAGATTTTTCTATCGCCGCCCCCTCTTCCTCCTCAATCCCGGGCTCAGCCTTCACAACAGCTACATGCTCAGCTTTGACCCTCTTTCTTCTATTATCTTCATCGTCTCGAGGGCTACGGTAAGTTTTCGGCTTCGGACCACGTTTCTTACCCGTGGATGTAACACCGTCATTGGAGTTTTTGTTACTTTGGTTGTAGTGTTGCTCCCAATCAGCGTGGCGGCGTGCTGTAGCCTTTTCCTTGATCTTCGAAATACGGTGGGATATGGCCTTCGGAGTTACGTCTATGGTTTGTGGGGGATTAGCATGTGGCCATGAGCAGGTGGGGATATTGGAAGCGGCGTTACTTTCTCCCATCGATTTAGCAAGTGCTGCGTAGTCGATCTTTACGACATGGAGTTTGAGAACGTTGGCAAATAGCTACGTAAGGATGTTACATTAGAAACAATCTCATCAATCAACCTTTTACCGCATTCGGAGTAGGGACTAACCCTGGCATCGGCCTGTTCGTTCCATTGCATAGGCATCTTTTGGACTTTGAGTTGAGGGTAATGGAAGTGGCGGTAGAGGGAGAGCCTGGGGAAGTTGAGGGCTATAAGAGGGTCGGTGGTTTTTTTGTGTTTGGGTAGTACAGGCATGCGTGGGCACTGTATACGGCGGAGTTAAACAAACGAAGAAACAAACAGGGCCGATACATGAATCAATTGTTTGTTCGTGAAGGTTTAGGAGGGTCGATGATTTTTTTAGCTAAGAGGTTTCCGCATGGTACGTACGGGCTTCTGAGGAATTCGATTAGGATTGAGATGGCTGCATTGTTTACGAGATGGGGCCGGTGTATGGGGTATGTATTGGGTATTTCCTTTGTTTAGCTTTGCTGATTCACCACCATTGCAGTCACCCTTCCCGTTGTACCAAGTGCAGTCTTGAATTTGTGGGTAATCATCCATGATAGTTTGGCGCGCTCGACATGATGTTAGAATATCATGAGTGGCCATTTGGACTCAGAAATTTTAAATTGATATGTACCATATAATCATATAACATACATCTATGGTTCATAGATTTATGATATCATAGTAAACCTACGTGTGTTTTATTCCAGCGGTACAATTTTCATATCAATAACTAAATGTACGTATGTAATTGATCCCGTCGTTATCCCTAGCTTGTGGTCTTTACAGCCTTCGAACCCCCCTTTGACCCACTACCGGCCCCATCACTTACAGGATCATCCTCCCTCTCAACTCTTTTCAAGGTGGACTTTCTTGCCTTCCGTGGCGTTGCTGGTGCCTTTTTTTTTACCGGGGAAGCGGTGGTGCTCTTCGTGGTACCAGTACCGGTACTGTTATTCCTTGCGAGAAAGCCCTTCTTGAGAGCGGTAAGGCGGTTGAATGCGGATCCAGTATTCGTATACCCGGTTTCTTTGGCGACGGCGTCAAAGTCGGTCTGATATCAAGGGTTAATACGAATATTAGCTAAATATTATGGGGCTATTTACCTTTCCATCGGTGTGTATTATGCAGCTGAGAAGGAACTCAGCCTCGCTCGCTATTGTTGCAGGCATAATCAATCGTGTATTTGTGATTAATTGTATCGGTGGGAGATCACTTGCAATTGCAATTGATCAATTGAATGCACATATGTGCCGACTTTATATAATTCAAATACAGGTAGGATAATTGTGGATTCAATAAGCTGTTACTCCATGCTACCGGCGTGAGACATAGTAGCATCAGGCCAACCTCGCACACAAGCCTTTCATTTGCCTTTGGATATCGGTTTTCTAGAAACCACTCCATGACGTAGGAGGGGTGGAGAGAGAGAGCGTTTAGAGCTCGGGCCTCATATTGTGCGCCCAAATTTCAGATACATACATACACGTACCTAGCAGTATTGGTTCTTACACGTTGGTTCTTACAAGTAGGTTTGCGATGATCTAATTTATCTAGATCAGTATTAGATTGCAATTATGATGCAGGTCTTCGAGACACGGGCTAGAAATGAGTCATCCCATATAATGGGAGTATAAACAGTGCTCACATCATGTAGCCATTTGTTGCACTGCCGAACAGATACTAACTAGCACATACATGTACTCGTTTACCACGAAAAGAACCAGAAAATGCAAGTGACGGAAACAGGGATACTTTGTATGAGAGATCACCGCCACTCCATACAAATAATCCTTGCCCTGAGCAACTGCATTTTCTGGTTCTTTTCGTGGTAAACAAGTAGATAGTGCTCCTAGCTTTTGTGACCTGCATATGCCCTTATTGACAATAGTTGCGAGTTCTATGTTTGATGCACTTCTTGTCTTATTCGTGATTGACAGATCACGGATTGGACAGTGCACCCACCCCCGAGACATCACATATTTGTGGTAGAGACTTTGATTATTTGCTTATGATAACCACTAGCGTATGACTACTTGATGTACCAGTAAAGTACGTCAGTGGCTGTTTGGTTAGATCCAACAGTATCGATATCAAAGGAGGTCGCGCAACTCAACTATACGTATTTCGCAATTGGAGAAGGTTGGAACGGCTGGATCAATAAATGATGTAATGGGCACAAGAAATAAACCTTACCGCCTTTCAGTACTAGAACTAGCAAATATGAACTGTAACAATCTTATCAAAAATGGTACACAGGGTTAGGCCGTAGACCCCACGCTCTCAAAGGATCAATAGGATATAAGTAAAGCCGAAATATTCCCCCTACCTAGATAGTTAGATCGAAACCAAACTCCTAAAGCTCTCCCTCCGTACCTCTTCACAGTCAAAAATTCAGCTTTCAATATTATACAGTCAAAAATGACCGATACCGAAAAACCCACAGCTAAGAATACCAAAAACGAAGGCCAGTTCTGGCTTGCAGTCTTTGAGTGTTGCGAATCGCCCCCCAAGGTACTACATACCTCGCCTTCTTCCCCCTTGTCGTTTCCTAGCCTCATCCACTGATAAAAACTAGATCGACTTTGACAAATTGGCCGAGAAATGCAACTACAAGAATGCCACCACCGCCAGAGTCATGTTCAATGGCAAGCGTAAAGCACTCCGTGATGCTGAGCTGGCTCTCAACGGTGGTACCGGTGCTGCAGCTCCACCTGTAAGCCCAAAGAGGGCCGTAAGCCGAAGCCGAAAGCGGACGGCGAGGATGGGAGGACGGCGGCGAACCGGTAAAGAAGAGGGGCAGAGGCAGACCGAAGAAGGTGGTGGCAGCACAGGAGGAGGAGGAGGAGCAGATTACTACTGCGGAGGAGGATGCTAGTACCTAGAAGGATCTCACGGAATGATTTGTGGTTTGCTTGTACGCATGATATTATACATGTTGGTAGTGGATGCTGAGTTCGGTTTGACAAGCTGTTGTATTGTTAGTTTGCAGCCAGTGACACTGAGAGCCGATTGATTTAGCAAGTTGCGATAAATGTGACAAGAATCACACTGAATGTTACTTACTCCTACTGTTTACCACCGTGATATTCTAAAGAGTCTGCGTCACGCGTCTACCAAGTCGATGGAACCAGAAGTAGACAGAAAGCTCCACCGCCCTCCCGGGATGCCCACACGTGCGTACACACCCACACCCACACCCACGTGCATAAACCCAGCCCAACTGTGCCACACGCAAAGAGGTCAGTGATCTTTCTAGCATCTTATCCAGAATGCAAAGACATGCACATCTCGATGCATCTATGACAATACGGAAGATTGATTAGTCCGTATTGGGGGGGGGGGGGGGCAGAAAAAGAATATATACGAGCACATGTAGCTAGCTGTACCCATAAATCCACACACTCTCCCTCTCAATCTTCCATATTCACAATTCATCCTGATTCCTATTCACAGCAGACATGGTGCGCCCAGGAGCTCCATTGGCCATAGCCAAACAAGAACGCAAGTTTGAATTCTTTCAGGCCATCCTTGAGTGCCAGGTCGGGCAGCCAAGGGTATCTTTCCCCCATCCAAAATCTGACAGTGATTCACTGTGAATCCCCTAAACAGAAATCAGACTAACAAGCTCCCAAAAGATTGATTTCGAAAAGCTAGCTCATAGACTGGGCTACAAGAATGAACGCTGCGCCGCTGATAGTTACTACCGCTTCTGTCGAGAGCATTTGAAAAGGATACACCCAGCCGCACCAGCAGTAAGAAGTGGATCAGGTGTAGACGGAGTGCCGCCCAGGCCCAGAAGACCATCAAACTGGAAACAAACGTATGATGTGAATGGAGTACCTACTGATGGCTTTCAAGACGATGAGGAGGTGGACGTAGAGGAGGAGGAGGAGGAGGAGGAGGAGGAGGAAGCTGAAGGGGCAGGGGGAGGGAGGGTAAAACCAGAGGTTAAACAGGAGTTTCCGGTATGGAATCTGGAGTCGTTTCTTAGGTCTACGGAGGAGATTGCTCGTGAAACATCAGTGGTGGTGGTAAAGGATGAGGATGAGGATCCGAAGGAGGTTGATGGGGTGGTAGTGAAGAAGGAGACTGTGCCGGAAGTTTGGAAGTGGTGAGTGAGAACTTGTGATGTGGTTGGTTTTTTATTTATTTAATTATGGATATCGTAATTGAAGTCTTTCATCTTTTACCATTATTTGATCGGAACTTTATAATTTATCTTCTGGTGGATACAAAGTAGACCCTGGTATCTGGATCACTCGTAGGTACTAGGGTGTCACAGACCACAATGCCTAGGAGCTACATGTATGTAGGTGCACTACTACAGCAATATGTCTAAGGGACTGGCGATTAAGGTACATGTGGTGACATACAATATTTTTCTAGTTAAGCTTTTCCCACATATCCTAATTGAACCTCATGGATTTATCAATTGAAGTGATTAGAATTCTGCTATGTATGTTACAGGCAATGCTCATCGGATGGCACGTGGGCTGCCGGTAAATTCACATTAGCGAATGAGTGGTATGTGCTTCGCATCATTGGTGGGTAGGATGGGCTGCCGGTGCTGTGTTTGGTTCGTCGGATGGAAAGAGATGCATAACAGCAGGCCAAGAAAGAATATCTCGCATAAACCGAACCTGAATGGTATTAATAGTAGCGTACCACCATCACCAACAACAACATCATCGCCTTCAATATCGTCGTGACTAGTATGTAGAGTAGGTTAATGATAATGCGAATATTCAGAGTGCTGGGTGGCTGTATGGCTGGCCTATGGTGTGCTAGGGTAGGTTCTCTGGCCAATCACGATAAAGTGGGGAAGTGTGAGGTGAAGGTGAGAGGGAGATGAGGGGATGAGGGGTTTAATGGGGGCGTAGGTAAAGTAAACCGTAGATACTTGTTGGTGGTTTTGTTGGTGGTTGCACTGGTAGAGTAGGCAGTAGTTGATCATCCTCCCCTAATAATCCGCACCCCTACCACGCTCTGGGCAACGTTCCCCCTTCCGTTTCCTTACTACATGCCCCCTCTCCGTACCAACACCACTCATCATCGCACTTCCGTCTACCCCGAGTGGATTCTCACAGCAGGAGAGGCCATTCGATCTTCTTCTTTCCCCCTCTCCGATAAACCCCCTCAACCCCCCCACTCAAACACCCCTCAACTCACCCCTTGCTTCAGCATCTTACTGTTATCCTCTACCATCTAATTAATCCTAATACACTCTACAACCGAGTGATCGCGCGCTCGCATCACTACCAACTTTAGCCACCTTTCATCACCAGCATCGCGTACATCACAAACTATGACCATGAGTGAAGTGGACAGAGCATCCGAGACTGGTTAGAACGCCTCCCCCCACCCTCCCTTTCTCCCCCACTCCTTAGTTGATTTAAGCTTTCTGCCACAAAACGGGTTCTTCGATAGCTGACTTGGCTCCTCAGACCATGTTATCGTCCTCACACCCGAAGAGAAGAGAGTTTTCGGGCAGCTTTTCCAGGCTGCTGACCGCGACGGACTCAGCGTTGTTACGGGAGAGCTAGCTGTTAAATTTTTCGAGAAGTCTGGGCTTAACCCGAGAATCCTTGGAGAGGTGAGTGGCTGTAGCGATACTGAATGCTATCTCAAGTCTCAAAGCTAATTTAACATTAGATTTGGGGAATCGCGGACACGCAAAACCGGGGACTGCTTACGAAGGTCGGCTTCAGTGTTGCTCTTAGGTTGATTGGACAAGCGCAGAATGGGCAGCATCCTCGCCCCGAGCTGGCGCAACACCCTGGACCTCTCCCAGTGTTCGAGGGTGTAAACATCATAAATACACCGGCGCCTCCAGTTACTTCTTCGCCGCCGCCGCCGCCGCCGCCACCAACAGCCCCAGTTCAACAGGCCCAACTTTCGGGCCCGGGAGGAGGAATGATAAGAGTTCCTCCTATCACTATTCAGGATGTGGAGAGATTCACGGGACTTTTCGAAAAGTCCGGGGCCCAGGATGGTGTCCTGCCGGGTGATGTAGCGAAGAGCATCTTCCAGCGTGCCAAGCTTCCGAACCAGACTCTAGGATTGATTTGGAACCTTGCCGACCGACAACACCGAGGCGTTCTCGGCCCAGCAGAGTTCGTGGTCGCTATGCACTTAATTACCTGTTCCAAGAATGGATCACTGCCCGTATTGCCTCAAATCCTTCCCCCCGGTTTCTATGAAGCTGCAGCTGGTAGAATTCCCGCGCGACCTGGCCCAGATCGGCGACAGGCCGGGAGAGGCGTTCCACCGAATATGCCTCCTATTCCACCAATTCCGAAGCAATTTAGTGGAAACCTGCAGCAGCGTGCTCAATCGCCTTGTCGAGGCAGTTCACCCCTCCAGTTACGCAGGCTCTCCCTCGTCAGGGAACTGGGGACTGGGCAATTAGTGCTGCCGATAAGGCTCGTTTTGATCAAGTCTTTTTGACAATTGACAAGCAGAACAGAGGCTTCATCACTGGTTAGTATTCGGGTTCTCGATATTGCGTTTTGACTTTATCTAATGCAAGATTTAGGAGAGGAGGCTGTTCCTTTCTTTGGAAACTCAAACCTTCCAGAGGATATACTTGCTACTATCTGGGATCTTGCAGATATTACTAAGGCGGGGCGTTTGAACCGCGATGAGTTTGCTATTGCTATGCACCTTATACGTCAACAACGCAACTCTCCTGGTGCAGGTTCATTGCCTGAAGTTCTTCCTATGAATTTAATCCCCCCGTCTATGCGCCAACAGGTGCAATTCTCACATCGTATTGACCCCACCTATGACTTGAATGAATCTCTTACTCACTATGGATCAGCTCTCCCAAGCTCCTACGAACCGCAAGCACCCCCAGCCCCACCCCTACCACCAAAGGCAGCTTCAGATGACTTGTTTGATTTGGACTTTTCAGGCACGCCAGCATCAGCACCGGCACCGCCAGCCTCTGCCCCTCCTCCAGCTTCGCTAAGTCCATTTGATACGGATGTTTTTGGTATGAAGTCCGCCCCGCCAACTGGTGCGACCGCTGGAGCCCCCCCAGGGATGGCTTCACAAGCTCCCAATTTTTTTGCAACCACTGCACGGACATTTGTGCCTACATCTGGTTTTGGACAGGCCATGATTTCCCCTTCACAGACTGGAGGCTCTACTACTTCTGCAACCGCAAATCGTCCCGCACCTCCTATGATGGATGATTTGCTTGGTGACGCCGACCCGGAAGTTAGCAAGAAACTTACAAACGATACTACTGAATTGGCAAATCTGTCGAATAATATTGGTACTTTGACTAAACAAACTACGGAGCTGAAGGGAAAGAGAGCTTCTACTGAGCAAGAGTTATCTGCTCTCAGCTCCCAGAAGGCAGCTATTGAAGCACAGTTGGCTACCTTAAGAGCAGCTTACGAGCGGGAGGCGGAACATGCCAAAAAGATGGAGGATCAGCTCGCGGCTTCAAAGGCAGATACCAATAGGCTGCGCATAGAGTATGCATCGGTAGAACAGAATTATAATGAGCTTATCTCCCGAAAGCAGGAAGTTTCCTCCGCACTCGATTCCGATAAAAGAGAGAACGAGAACCTGTCTCAGAGGATGAAGGCACTCAATGCGGAAAATATTAATTTAAGACAGGAGCTAGAGAGATTACAATCGCAGGCCAGACAACAGAAAGGGTTAGTAGCTATCAATAAGAAACAAGTTGCCACTGGAGAAAGCGAGCGTGATAGACTTCAAAAAGATATCGAAGATACCAGGTCAAACATTGCTAGTCCTCCTCCTCCGGGCAGTCCGACGCCTTCATCTGCCAGCATAAATACAAACCCTTTCCATCGTAGGTCACCGCCAGCGGCTGCAGATTCAGCATTTTCACCCTCACCATTTGCTCCGGGAGCTGCCGCACCCCAGGCCCCGAGTCTAGATGATGTTTTCGGTCCTGCATTTGCTGTTTCACCGATGCCAACTGGGTCTTCTTTGACCTCCTTCCATAGGGCACAAACTGAGGCAAGTGCTCCTTCGGCTTCCGAGGGCGGAAACGCCGAACACTCAACCCCGCCCACATCCCCACCAGGGTCCTCATACCATGGTTCTCCTCAAATTTCTGAAGTTCCTCCGGTTTCTGCCGCGGTTCAGATGAATCCATCCTTTTTACCATTCCAAATCAATCGTGCAGACTCAATGACCTCCTCTGTACAGGTTAACCCACCTGCTAGTGCCCACGGTGGCGATGAGTTTTCGAGACCAGATACACCGAACTGGGCGACCCCCAGCGATACTCCGGCCAGGGAAAGAGATGCATTTGTTAAGGCTGAAGACAGGAGGGGTAGTTTCAGCGTAAAGAGTGATGCTGGTACCGAAGCTTCAGCTAAGGTATCGTTCCTTGATGGCGGAAAAGAGAAGACGAACAACGATAGGTCGCCATTCGCCTCCGTTATGCCCGTGGAGAAGAATACTACTGGAAGTACTACTGGTGGTGAGAGGCCTGGTATGAGACCCTCTGAGAAGAGAGACTCCTTCTCAAGTTACGGAACACCATCCCAGTCGATTCCTGGCGCATTTCCAAGCATTGAAGGAATGCAGGCTCCAATCAAACCCACTGCGACTGGCGAAAGTACTATGAGTAACAAGAGCAGTGGCAGTGGTATTGGAAAGTCTGCATTTGGGTCAATGCTGGCTAACCGGGCTGATCCCAAAGATTTTGATGATGCATTCAAGACCTTTTCTGTGAGGACTCAGGAAAGACAAAACACCGGCGGATCCGCTACCGGAAGTTTGAGCGCTAGTAGATTCGATAAAGAATTCCCACCGATAGAGGAGGTTGGGCCAGATGATGATAGTGACAGTGATGTCGATAAGGGATTTGATGACAATTTCACTTCCAGCCCTATCCAAACCCATACCCAACCGGCCACCACTGCCCCCCCACCGACAACAAGTCCTGCTCCAATGGATCAGGGTATATCTAGGCCGCCTGCTCTGTCAGCTCAGCAGTCCCCCCCTGCATACACTCCTGGATCGAAGGCTGGAGAGAAGAACCCGTTCCCGGAATATAGCGGGCTTCTTCCCTCCAGGACTGATCCAATGAAGCATGAGGGCACTACTCCTGGTGGAGGTACCAACACAGTTATTTTCCCTGGTTCTGCTCCTACATCCCCCCAACATACCGGCTCAAATACCTTTGGTCAGAATAACTCGATTTTCTCCTCATCACCCTCTGGTGTAAAAGGTCAATCGTTGAGTGCCAACAACACTGGAAATGTTTTCTCTGCTTCGCCTCCGATCGTATCCAAGAATCCTGCTCCCTCTGCAGCAAATACAGCCCAGCCGTCGGCTAACCCCATTATTTCTGACGAATTTGATGACGAGTTTGGAGATCTAGCAGAGGCCAAAGAAGCTGACGATAAGGGCGACGACAATGATTTTGGCGGATTCGATGACTTCAACCCCGTGTTCGATTCTCAATCCAGTCATAGCAATAACCATACAGCATCCGGTAATGCTATGGACGCCGATGAAGGCTTCACAACGTTCAACTTCAATATCGATTCTCCTTCAGCGCAGACACAAAAACAGGGGCAGCAACAACAGCATGAAGAGGACTGGGATGCTATTTTTGACCCGCCGCAACCCCCAAGGACGCAGACAAATGGAGGAACTGAGGAGACTTCTGGACAGAGTGGTACGGGCCCCGTCGATGTCGAGGCTGGGGGCGTTGCCCTGGCTGGTGAGAGCGACGTTGCATCAGAGGATGCAAAGATTACTGAGTTGACCGGATTGGGTTTTGGCAGAGAGAGTTCGGTGAAGGCACTCGAAAAGCATGGTTACAACCTCGAACAAGTATGGATTCCTTGAGCCCAATCTCTTTCTAGGTATTCCTAACTAATGTGGTTCTTTAGGCGGCAAACTCCCTCTTTTCGGAAGCGGAGTCGAAGTAATTTGAGGTAGTGGAGATAATAAGTGGGTGGAAGGGTGGGTGAATTTACGTTTTCTATTCATTGTCTGATATCATTCTTTTATTTGTTTTGTCGTTATCACCAGACGAGTAAATTTGGTGATTTCGAGCGTGGAGCGGACCGAGTCGAGTTGGGAGGCCTAGATGAAGGAGCTAGGCAGAGGCAGAGAAAACCACTAGGACCAAATAACTCTCCTTACTATGTTGTTTTGATTTTTTACATACAATATTTCTTTTGTTATAGTGTGCTTGCTTTGCTCTGGACAGGTCGTTTTTCACAAAGTGCGTAGAGCGGGGAGATTTTTTCATATCCATGATTTTCATCGCCAGCCAGTACGGCACCACCATACCTTTGTTGAGTGTTGATTTCGAGTTGTTTCTGTACCCGTAGTTAGTTTGCGCGCGTGCGTGAGGTATCATTACTCTCTTTTTGGCCGACAATAGCCGGGCCTTTCCTTTTTCCTTTTTTGTTCTCAGGTATTTTATCCTACCTGCATATTTACATACCCCCCATCATCATGCGACTGTTTCTTTTATTTGTTGTTTTCTTTTTGGTTAGTTTAGGCGGCCCAGCTTAGACTGGTTTAATCGAGGTTGTAATTTCTTTGGACGTGCTTGAGGAGGCCAGTCGCTTCAGTAATCTAGTTGCGGCTGCATTCGCTATGTGATAAGACACAATTAGAGCTGAGGAGCGCGAGGAGGGTGTATTCATAATACTCGACCACAATATCAAGGTGATAAATGACGGTCTCGGGTGTGGAAATTGCGCCTGAGACCTTCTCGTATTGGTGGGTTAATAGGTGGTGTAGGTACATATTACTTCTTTGTTCTGATGACTTGGTGGCTGTTGGGTTGAGTTAGTGATCCTAATATGCAGACAGACAGCCTTCTTATTGAGTTTTTACAATGTGAAAGTGACTGGTAGGGTGTTTCCTGTCTACCAGCGCCCATCTAGGTATTGCAGCCATTGCATTATCTGATCCGCTCCCAGCAGTAGCGTGATCTCTGAACCATGGTCACGCAATCTTGGCAGCGTGACAGCCTTGTTCCATAGCTGTAGGTACGACTTCGTACGAGTAACAAGTTTGCTCCGTGATTTGCGAAAGAAAATAAGAAACATAGCTATCTGGTCTACCCTATCGCCCCCAATGCCGCCTGCCCGTGGCCGCCCTTGTCCAAACGAATTGGAAAACACAACCCCTCTCAGAAGCTCGAACAGATGTCGCACAATTACGGGCTGGTGATTGCAGCAGCAGAATAACGCCTTTCAATTGGCCAGAGGAGGGAGGGGCAACCTATGGGAGGTAACATACAGACCTACCTGAAAAAAAGGTTTGTGTTACCCCCGATCTGACCCCTTCCCATTTATCTGGGTTGTTCCAATCCCGCGGGTTTGGGGTGACAGGGAAGCTTCCGCATATCAAACCTGTGGAAGGAAGGTCTTACTTACATCTAGGTACTTAGCAATGGGGTATGGAACGAAGGGGAATCATATCTACAGTTAATTTGTGGTCTTCTCCTTTTTTTTTTTTTTTTTTAGATCTATAGTGATTTATGTCTATTTTCTTCTTAATCCTACTGCACTAGTGATGATGAATTCCTTCAGCAATTCTTTGACTTTCTTGTACCTATACCTCTTCGCCAACACCAGCGGTGTCTCTCCTCTGCTCCCTACTGCATAAACATTTGCCCCCTTACTTAGCAACAGCATCACAATCGGTACACTGCCATAGCTAACCGCCTCATGTAATGCTGTCCACCTAGAGTTCACACTCCTCGCCTCCATGTCCGCCCCATGGTCCAACAGCAAGCTTATAATCCCCGTCTTCCCCCTCTGCACCGCAATCTGTAGCGGTGTTGCCCCCATGTGGTCTCTCGCCTCGACACAAGCTCCATATTCCAGCAACATTCTCGCCATCCCGGTGAAGCCCTCCATGACCGCGTGGTGAAGCGGTGTTTTCAGGTGCTGATCTGTAGCTGTCACGTCGGCGCCGTTCTCTAGCAGTAGCCGCACCAGTTCCTCGTCGCGGTGTAGAGCGATCTTGTGTAGTGCTGTGCCTGTTATCCATTCTTTTCTATTCTGGATGTTGATGTCACAACCCATTTCTAGCAGTAGGGATATGAGAGGTTTGTGGCCACGTTCGGCCGCCCATAAGAGAGCGGGGGCACCATCTATATCTTGCTGGGCATGTCGAATAAGGAGTGGAGTGAGAAGGATGTGAAAAAATCGTGATGTGCGGATGAGGTGGTTGAGGGAGCACAAGTCGAGGTCTTCAGCGATAGGAAGGAGAAGCTCATTAGGGAGACTAAGCAGGGACATGGTATGTTTAACGAAGATCGATTAGAATGTTCGGCTACGGCTATTAACTGGCGGGGGTGCGGTAGTGAGAATAATAGTTTAGATGAACGTGAAGTGCGTCGCAGGCCCACTTTTAGGGCTTCAGGGGGGGCGTAGACGGGCTAATGGGTCGAGTATTGGTGTAGGCAGGCACATGTATAATAGGGGATGAAGTCAAACGGTTGCCAGGACGCCTTCATCGCGCAGACTACACAGGTAAGTATTCGCTGTAGAGCAGGTACGTGTTCTAGTAAGGTGTGGAACATTAATTGCCTTCAAAGAAGAAGTTATCAGACGCAATAGTTATCTGGCCGTGGCAGTCAGGCAGTCAGCTGTCCCATTCTACCATATCTATGCATATCGAGGTCCAAAGCTGTAACAGGGGCCCGAAGTGTGGAAGAGGGCTGGCCAATCAAACAACACTCGAGCACTTGACTAGGGTCGTTATCCTCCAAGCCTCCGGGATGTTCCACCTGTTTGCGCGCGGGGACATTTATTAACAACGCCTCTCAATTCCCCACCAAGGTGTTTTTTTGGTGGTACCCCCAGTAGTTTTGCAAAAGCTAGACACCCCCTGGTCCAGGGTTAGGGTTGTGTTCAGCCACAGTTGATCACTCGGCGTCCAGGCAGTGGGCAATTAGATATGCTATCAATAGAGGCTATTGAGTCATATGTAAGGAATAAGCGGACAAGAGCATAACGTTCGCTCATATCACCGGTATCTTGGCCAAATAGCTTCAGCCCTGTGTACTATTGCTGAACAGAGCTGGTTGACAATAAAGATGGCGTTCTTAAGCTTAAGTCGAATAGTTATACGAGGAAAGCTTGTATGAATCTAGATACTTGATTAGAATGATATCATTAGTACCCCCCTAAGATTACTCACCAGTAGGTAGTACGTTCCTGTTTACAGGTGACTCAGAATCGATGAAAGGGCCCGTCCATTCCCGCGAAGTAACCTGTTTAATAGATGTATTAGACTGAATAAGCGATAACCTGCCAGACGATGTAGGTCAAGACATCTGTGAACAAATTGCCATGTTTGATCTTCATGCTAGTGGAACAACCGACTAATCAAATCCAAAGGGCACGTGCACTGTCTCTGAGAGTGAGTTTGACTGAGTGAATGAATGCGATGGAGAAGAAAGACCGCATACCTCGAAATAATCCTGTGCTCAATCGTGTCACATTCATCTCTATGGTTTACCTCTTGTCAGTCCTGCATAGATATATAAAAAAATTTTTACATATGGTGCGCCTACGCATAAAGGTAGCGGATCGCGACAAAATCTCAAAAGCCTAAGGCTTCGTAAGGAAAAATGGTAAAAAAAAAGCGGAAAAATAGAACTCTAGTTCAAGAGATGAAGTTTAGTTCTATTTTTGCAGATTTTTGATATCTGTCTGGGTTGTAAAGCCTTAGGGATTTGAAATTGTGGATTTTTGTATGTAAAATGCGCCAAGACTGAACAGAGTGGAACAGTATTATACCCATTTATACCCCCAAAAAGCAAACCTGACTGATCCGTGGCAGTAATGCAGCAGAATGGCTAGAAACGGGCCCCCCTATTGGCCCATGAGGCCTATTGCAGCCACAATTGTTCCACTTCTGTATGCCACCATATCACCTTTATGAGTGTGCGCACCATACGTGGTTATAGATGTGTTGTCTTGACCACATTTGAGGTATTTGTAACTGCTGGCGTACCGGTAGCCAAAGTACATAGAAGTACGCGCGTACATCGCAGGGCAAATATAAGCCCGCCCCCACCCATATATGGAGCGATCATCCTCATAACCTCGACTATACCCAAGGCAGCTATACCTCAAACCATCGTGAGGAAGGTGAGATATTATCTGTTGAGGAGAAGGAAAATTGGCCCCCAGTTGAATCGTCTGTTGATTATCGCTATACAGAAATCCAACCAATAATGCGGTCCGTTGGCCGTATCAATTCTCCAATTGGCCAAATAGTAGAACAACGCCAAGCCAACCGGATGTTCGGCGTCCAGGACATCAGACTTCCATTTCCTGGGCCGATATGCGGTGAATCGTTGTAGCATCCAGGAACAACAAAGCTTAAAGGATGTTTCGGATGACAGGCCATTCGAGATCATGCAAACTAGCACGGAGTTGAAGGTGTTGTGTCGGCCGAGCGAGTTGTTACTAATTCACTGTATAAGATTACCCGGCTGAGCGAGCGAGATTCTATGATTCACTCGACGAATTTGAGCGACGTCATAAAACATATCAAATTTTTTTTGAATATGAGAGGGTGGATTCAGAGAGAACGAAAATGAGGTGTGTGACTTGTATATACTCCCCAATTTGTTGGATGGGAGAGATATATATGTAAGGGGAAGAATTATACTCTACTCATCTGCAGTTTCGCCCGGCCCCCACGCAAGCCCCCACATAAGATCCTAATGGGGCCATTCCTCGGAGTATCTATATCATAACTAGTCACGATTATTATATATTACTGAGAGGGCTGTTACCTTGTACGAATGGCCGCACTGCAGGCTGGAAACAAGGTCCTAGGATAGCGACTCCTAAACAATTGTTTCATGGGCCATGGGATTGTTTACGATCGATCAACAAGCACAAATTTCTCACTTTAGGTCTGCAAGGATCTTCATGATGAGCGCCATAGCACTTCCCCTTCTAAAACGTCCTCATACCACCGCAATAAGTCGCTGTGGCCTAGTTCATGGATAACACCGTTATTTGGTGACTGACTTCTCTCCGTATATTCTGCTAGACTGGCTCCCTTTACAGGAAGCTTAAGGAGCTACGGTCATGGGTTGGACCTTTTCTTTGTCCTTATTTCCCCATACCTCGACTACATACCGAGTACTAGCTACTTTACTCTAGCTATATATCAATTTTTATAAGTGTATCAATTCACGTTAATGAGGAGACCTAGAAGAGACAGGCCTTGATTGTCGCAGGAGCACTATTAATCATGACGGGTAGAAGTCTCATATATATACATACCTTCAAGATCTCGGGATACCTCATGGAGGAAGGGGCGTATAATGCATCTAATATAGGGGGCCTGTGCAAAATTAGCATTTGTAGATGAGCGCATATATGCATACGCATTTAGCATTTAGGTGTATATTAGAGTAAACTACACTTGGGCTTTCTGATAAAAATAAGACTAGAAACATATCGATCAATATATCAAAAGAAACCTTTTGGTAGCCTGAGAAACGTCGTACCCACCACTCTTTGTTTGTATATACCACAGCCTCGAATTATAACTAAAAGGTGGAATTCTATCACCGATGATAAAGTATTTTGGTGACAATGGTTAAAATTATTAATTAGGCTACATTGAAAAGCGAGCATATAAATAATCTAAGTAGTAATATATGCTTTTCGGAGCAATTGCTGTTATCTGTGTTATCTCCATATATACATTTGCATTAAGCTTGCAGCTGACCCCCGGAGCTTTATACCACTGGCGGTGAATTTCTTTGCAGCCGGCCGTTGGTAAAAAGATTTTGAAAAATTTGCAGCCTTATAAACCTCGGAGCGTCTCGCCTTATGGAGTAATATAGGCCCTAATATCTGTTTCGGGTTACAAAAATGTAGTGTATATATAATTTATCATGAGGCTGATAATACATATCCATGTCAAGGTCCGCACTTGTTAAAGTATGTCGAGTCCCAGGTATATAATACATGTATATATCGGTAACGATCAGGTTTATTATGATCAGCCAAGACTTACTAGTGATAATACTAGATCACACTAGTAGATATTAGACAACCCAAGAGTTTGGTATCCTACGCCACAGTACTTATCTCGTGCCTAATATATATATATTTGCATCATGGGCCTGAAATGATATTATTTACCAGAAAGGTTCTGGGACTGTCTTAGCTTCTCTGGTACGTTTTATGAGAAACAATGGTGCTTTACTAGCTTGTGATTGTTTGCCATGGCCAGTGATACTTACTATTTCAAAAGTTATGTCATTGTGGAGTAATGGGCAACAGCTCAACCTGCACCTTGCACGTACGTAACACTGATCCAGATTCTAGTCTAGTTTAGAAACTCTAGAACAATATGCGGATAACGATAGGCGGGGAGCCAAGGAAAGAAGGAGTTGTGCCCGTACAGTAGCTTCGGAGGAAAACAGGATAAGGTAGAGTACATAAAACGAATAGGTATGACTACGCGTGCTGCCGGTACCGGTGTGGATTGGAATATGCAAGGAGTTTATCCGGGAACCAAGAACTCGACAACTTCAAAGTCTACATGGATATACACTATCATGGAGCCGCACTTCCTCGGTATCATATATATTGGAATTCCTCTAATCGTCGGCCTCTCCGTGCTTGATGATATCACGTGAATAAGCTTACATGCCTGATGTATATACCAGGTCCACTGAGCACCCAGAGTATTGATATTGACTTTAGGTACCAAGGGTATGGCACAAGCTGGACCGGTTGTTTCGATACCGGCATTAATAAAGAACGTGCATCGGTAATTATCTGGAATGGGAACAGCGGCATATGCATTTAAAAAGTGTTTTTTTTTCGTTAGTCGATTCCTAATTCGAGTGATGGAGTAACATGAATAAAACAAGATATCGTGAGGCGTAAAATAAACATAAACATAAGTTTCATAACCAACCAACGCCGAAAATAACAAAAGAGACCCTTATCCAATCGAATCAGAATCCCATCAGCGCCTAAAAGATATCCTGGCCTCTAACCCAATTCAAAAAACAAAGGAAAATAGACCAGCCAGTGAAATGCAATCAAGTCTCAGGATCTTTAAATAACCTTACAAGAGTACCCGGATAGGGCATGAATGTCAGCGTCAAATCGCCGAGCTCCTCTTTATTTGTATCCGCATTTTCTATCCTCTCAAAGTTCTGCACCATCCGCACAATAACATATGAAGCAACCGTTAATGCGAGTTGTTCTATCCGTGCCACAGGTTAGTTAACACCCTTCTGTTACACGAAAGAAGCGAAGAGAAGAAGGTAAGATTGACCGAACCGAGCGAGGGGTATGATCGATCATGCATGAGGTGCAGGGGTTATGTAAGACACCACCACCACCACGCAAGGCAAGGCAAAGGTAAAGCAAAGAACACTTACGTCCCAAGCATATTCTAGGCCCGCCGTTGAATGGCAAAAACTCCCAACCCCTAGGCTTTCCTTCACCCCATCTCTCGGGTCGGAAGATGTCCGCATCCTCACCGTAAATATCCTTACGGCGGTGAGCGGAATAGACGCTATAGACGCAACGCTCTCCCTTTTCGACGAAGATTGGAGAAAGCCCGTCGGGGCCGCCACCAAGAGGAAGGGTAGTGTTTTTGTTTGCATACCGGAAGTTGGTAGGGACTAGGGGATAGAGTCGAAGGACTAGATTGTGTGTCAGTATCTCTGCGCAGCGCTTCTAAAATTAATTTGTTAAAAGGCCAGAATTTATGTACCTTCATTGAGTACCCATTTAAGGTACTTTGCGTCCTTCAGTTGCTGGTATGTCGGTGTGTCGCGGCCGAAGTCGGTCAGGATCTCTCGGCGAAGAATATCCCAGACCCTTGGATTCCGAGCTAAAGAGTAGACAATCCAGGAAAGAAATCCGGCCTGCATAATAATATATAATCCGATTATTAGCGGACCGCATCTAAACATGGTAATCCTGCAACTATAGGGATTTGGGATACTTACAGTAGTGTCTCTTCCCGCCACAAGAATGTTCATCATCTGGTCCCTTAGTACAACGGGATCCTGTGTTTCGCGAGCTAACGCCTCAAGGAAGACATATTTCTCACTAGTCTTGCCTTTTTCCGATTTCTGTTTGTCGAGAGCCTGCTGCACAGACTCACCTATGAAGGCTTGCACATCTGCCACAGCCTTCGTGAACTTCTTTGGGCGATAAAGCCACCAGAAATTCTCAAGACTGACTCTGAAAGAGATGACCTTCTGGGCATAATCGAGATCTTGTGCAAATTTAGAAGTCTGGCCTTGACAGAGTTGTGAACCAACAGACTTGCCGAACAAGAATGCAGTTGAAAAGTCGAGTGTGAAATTTAGGAAATACTCGTGTAGATTCAGAACACTCCCACCGTTCTCTGCGAGCGATAGTCTTGAGAAGAGATTCTGTACATGAGTCTCAAGATCTTCGAGGTCTGTGATTTGGTTCTTATTGAATTGTGGCTTCAACATTGCTCTGGAGTGTTCCCATTGGTGTCCATCAACTGTGAAGATTCCGTCACCTAGAACTTCGCCCCAATTATCATGTCGAAGCTTTCCCAGTTCGAAGTCCTTGAACTGTGTTGCCAATATAGCCTTCATGTTCTCCGGCTCACAGGTCATGATCAATCGTTTCCCAGCAATGGAGAATGCAAATGTGTTTCCATTCCTGTGGAATGACTCTTGCTGGGTAGGCATAAATTTATGTGCCTTCCGTACCTTGGAGAGAATGAAAGGACGGGAGATGTTGAAAGTCCAATCTGTAGGAGCCTGTGATGGAGGAAGACATCCATGTTCGCGGGAGAAACGGGCGTTTTTAAAACGGCGTCTGAGGGCAAGAAAGGTGAGGCAGATGATGTACAGCCCAAGACCAGCGGAGATCTGGACGATGAGAGTTGACATACCCATATTCGTTGGCTTTGATGTTTTGAGTTCAAAATTTGTTTGGCTTGGTGGGGGTAAATTTGTTCCCGGAGAGGGCAGTAAACTTAGGAGTAACGGAGGGGTGGAGGGGAAAACAGTGTCATATATTACGCACGTATGTATGTACTGGATGAAACCATAGAGTGGTTTCTATACCACAGATTCGAAAGCTGAAAGAACGGATCATTGGGGCTGAATGGCGTCCAATAAATAGATTTTGAGTCCACCACCACCATGATACAATGAAACAGTGAGAACTCTAAAACACGTGGGCAAACACAGAGCGGACGGCTCACCGGCGCGGTATAGGGCTCTTGCTGGTAATGCACGAGATACATAGAATAGCGTAGCGGCACAGCTGATCAGTCCGGCTAACCGGTTCATGGTTTCGATTATTTGGGTTATTGGAATTCCCAGCTGCCTGTTAGAAGTTTCGAGCCTCATTAGCAACGGGGTACAAAGTCAAGTCAGGGATGGATCATGGAGGGCGGGGCTGAACTACTAAATTTGTCGAGGAGGAATGAAAGATCGAAGGGCGTGCATAAAAGGATTCGAGCCCAGATTTCCACGTTAGTAACCGATTGTGGATGTGAATTAAGAATTATACTTATCACGATATATATAACCGCTCTCAATTCAACCAACTATTTCTAACCAGGTTTTCTTTCCCTTCTACCTGTAATGCCTTGTGGTCATGCAGTGGATGCGGTGATATGTATAGTAGAAATATCGATCAACTCCTCCGACAGACAACTAGGTTTGCTTAATTCGATTCAAAAACGAGTTCCGGACCCGTCGTCCACTCAGAGAAACCATATGGAGCAAGTAAGTAACCGCTGCAGTGGGTCACGGCCTCCGTTATTAATTTGGAAGCCCCGTCCCCTGTGTTGCGAGCAGGTAGCCTGGGCTTGCTGTTCTTGCAAGTCATGAAAACGTTCTTTATCTTTTTTATGAGTAGCTTGGCATTTGTGCACAAATTTATCACTTTTTTTTTCCTTTTTTCTTTCTTTTTTCTTTTTTAGATATTTGGGAAGACGTTCGGGAATGATCCTAATATCTGGTAGTGATAATACGCCGTTATATGGAGTAAAAATCGAATTAATACATACATATAGTTACGTCCATACTCGAGTTATACCGTTATAATGTCACCGATCCAAACCAGCTACTTGGTACTAATATTAAATTACTGTTTCATTAATTTCTTCAGCTCGGGGGGCGAAAGAAAGTTTCTTATCGTTTGTGCCCAGTGTGGTTTTCTGTTGGCTCAAACAAATTCCAAATTCCGCAGCCTGCCTTCCGATATGCAGCAGAACTCGATTTTTTTCCTGTGGTGGCTTTTGTGATTCATGCACACACGTGGCATGAACACAGTACAGACAGTACAGACAGTACTGATTATGTCAACAACATCATACAGGCATCTGAGTGGCTGTAGGTTGTTAATACTAGGGATTAATAATAGCATTTCACAATTCTCGCTTGTTATCACTGGGCTGGGAGTAGGTCAGATCCGTCTGCTAATAAGTCCAACGGTGAAATCATAGTACGCGCTTAACGGTTTTTTTACGCGCTGTGTGTATGGGTGAGGCTGAACCCAACGCCTCTGACAGGCATGGGGAATCGAATCAATATTTGTGATACTATCGGCGTCCCCGTAAACATACGACGGCGAGGGGTAAATACAGGGAGGTTAACCAAAGTTGGGCTGTATGTGGTCAAACATCGCATAGATTCTCACTCGTCCCTTATCTACACATCAAGTTGTAGCTCAACATGTCAGTTAATATATAGGTATCATTACATATCAACTGGAATAGACGTTAGAATAGAGTTGAAACACGATATCTCACGCAATAGGTATGTACATGAATACTAAGCGCACAGACGGTATTGGTATTCTATGGGTCGGGACTTTAGTTGAAGAGAATCAATCTCACTCTCCGTGTCTCAGATCGTCAAAAACCGTTCGTGCACCACTCACCGGTGCCGAGAGATGCCAAGTTCTTTCGAAAGTAAAAGTTGGGTCAATTGTGACTCAGGACGTTTTTTTTTTTTTTGTGGGGCACGTACATACACGTAAATACCTAACAGGTGTTAACCACGGTACCAAATTAAGGGTCCGTATCACGCCGCCATCTATGTCTAGTACCCGTCCAGATAGTAGCATTCTTTGTATAGCAATCATAAAGATATCTCTCTCAGATAACTCGCTCATTAAGCCGCAAGGTTACCCTTACCCTTTAAATTGAAATAAAACTCAACTAAACGGTTCTTTCTCGGTTCATCCTAATCGAGACATATGTCCGAATGCCTCTTTCCGTTCCAACCAATCCTCCTAGATGAAAGCTCTGCTGGTCCTGCAGATAAGGCTTGCATAAACATCGACACGAATGTCGATTGACAACAACTGTAGGAGTACAATCACTCATTTAGCAAGTATAACACCTCCTTGGTCAGGTGACGTCATCCGGTTTCTTGAGTAGCATTACACAGAAGCTTCTTACGCATCTCCACTGGTAAGAGTCCCTGGCTATGTACGTGGTAAATATCATCAACGCATCTGCCCGAGCCCTTGTTCGATATAACCCTAACCTTGAAAATGGAATTGACAGCCCGGCGTAACCACGAGAGATCGATCTCCGATTAATAATAGGCTATCATTTTCTTATTCCCACCTAGCCCTTTCGATTTCACTCCGAAATGTTCATTAATCTATACGGTTTAAAGCTATAAACTTTCCATTTATGAGCCTATATCTATATTCTCAGTCAGAGTTTTTCCAGTTGAGATTGTATGATTATGCCGTCCCAGAATATTATAGATCGCCATCGCAGCCGGGAATCAAAAGTTCCTTCCAAATCTAAAGCTCACCACAAGTACATAAGCCCTAGAAGAAACCAACTTTGTTGGCATTGATATTGAAAAGGCCGACGCCGGTATCCGGTAGTTCATTGTGTCAAGTAAACGTTTCTACGAGCCTTCGGCCCTTGCGGTAAGATATGGTCCAGTTGGGCGAATGGTTCTAGGCTGGGAAAAATTGGCTACCTAAATTAATTAACACTAACTGTTAGAATTTGATAGCTATTTAATTTGCTGACCACCAATAAATACCGACAATTCAGCCAAATTGTAAGCCACCAATCGTTGCCTGATTTTCTTCATTGACTTAAAGAGATTGTAATTCGTCAACACAACTAAATCTTTGATATAATATGAAAACTAGTTATCGCCCGGTTTATAATTGTAAACGGTAAGTACCGATTAATAGAGAGGGGCCGGTAAGGAGGATATGTAATATGAATACCAGTTATTGCCTGATTTATAACTATAAGCGGTAGGTACTGATTGAGGGCCATAGAGGGGTAGGGGGATATCCACACCGAGCCTCCGAATATTTCACCAGCCAAGAACTAAGGAACGATGTAGCCTTGCAGGGCCATGAAAAAAAGAAATTCAAAATGCTAGAAACACAGTCAGCCAGGCTCGAACACCAAAGGATAGTTACGCACGTGCAGAACTCAAGGTGTACAAATTGCGGGGTATATATACTATACAGATGGCAGGCTAGATAGGACATAAACTTAATGGTGCCAGAAACTCTTAATTTTATTTATCCCAACGAGAAACCTTTGGATCATAGAGGTCGGAGTTCAGACCCCGTTGAAATGGCTTATATATTCGTCTTTTGTAGGCTTAATTACCATTACATAGAAGATAGCACGTTATTGTGAGTTGGTAATTGGGATATCTATGTCCAATAACAGATTCTACCTGTTGATAGATTATATGTAGTACGATTAAGCATGGCATCAAGTTACCGGAGTAGGCTCTACCATTGAATGCAGGCCCATATTCGCCGCCAGACCAAGTTTGCCGTCACCCAATAAGTGGGTATCCCTTAAGCCGTCAGGACCAATTTCAATCTCGTTACTCATACCTAATGCGAGAGTCGTGATATGAACCTCGCAGAGAAGTGATCATGATGAGGTGATCTATCACGGTTTAATGATAAGAGCTAGCGTGAGCAGCTACGCATCCTGATCACTTCTCTGCGAGGTTCATATCACGACTCTCGCATTAGGTATGAGTAACGAGATTGAAATCGGTCCTGCCGGCTTCAGGGATAGGAGACGAGGCGGCGCCCTAGGCCCGCAATAATTGAGAGTTGAGCCATAACCCCGTGTCGATCATGTTAGATCACTCGGACAAACCCACGAAACTAGATTTTGATCTCAAAGTTTGATATAGACAGTGAATAGTGCTAAGCTTCCTATTCACTAAATTGGAAAACGGGGTGTAGTGTTTACCAACCGCAAAGAAACCCACTACGTGAATCTTTCTACTAAGTTGACTTTGGCGGGCTGTAATATTCCCTTAGTCCTGAGTATAAAATCTGTAGTTGTGTCTGATATCACTAAGAATAAAATTCACGGTTTTAAACACTCTCATGAGCGCACATATAGGCGGAGCGGCAGCCTCTAGACCCTTGGGTTACAGACACTTTATTTCACTCTCCTTCGGTTATGAATGGCGCTTCATATCAGATCGTACTGTAATTCCATATCAAAGCAGGTGTGTGTCCTTGTGGAGTCGTCTTATTGAATAGATTAGTTTCCTACCGATAGGTAAGCTTCGTGATATTCTTGGTGCGTAAAGACCTCTTGTGAGGTGTCGTAAGTAGGGAGCTTTCAACCTTTAGAATATGATCAAGAAAGTTTTGCACGGGGTGGAATATCTGCCTTGCCTAGATTAACGCCTTTGCGACGACCTCCCAAGAAAGTATGACATGGTTAAGGAGTCTTTTATATAGCGGACTGTCTGGTCAATTGGTATCCGCCCCGTTCCCACCACCGAACAGTTGTGGTTTTTTTTTTTTTTTTGTTTAATTCATTAATTTGAACAGTTGTGGTTCGTAAATGATGATATAGCTTACCAAATCTCGTTCTATTTCACTTATTCAGCAATAATGTAACAGATTTTTG